TGCCGCTGTCGCCACAGAGCCAATACCCCGTGGCCGCGCAACAGCAAGGCGAGGACCGTGCAACGGCAGTGGTAAGAAAGTGACTGCATCACACACCCAGAGCAAAGGCACTATTAAAGCTGACAGAAAGTATTGACATCCACCTGAACTCCTGGTTTATTGTACGACGGGTGGAGGCCCTTTTGGAGGCGCCTCCACGGATTGCAATGTGAGGCTCGTTTAGAAGGCTCACATTTCTTGCCGAGGCGATCCAGTCGGCCCCCAGACGTGTAATAACCGCATTTGTGGCAGATGCAAACGAAACTACCATCCGAACAATCAATGAGCACACATCTATGCCCCAGGTCACGCAGCACTGACGGGTGCACATGCAAAGCGAGGGAGCAGGACCCACCAGGCGGTTCGACACCGAACGAGCCCCGACGACCTCGCAAGCACGTAGCACATTGCCAATAGGAGCCTACCCAGTGCCATTCGTGTGACGGTTTAGCGGGCGCCTGCTCTTTAGCAGGAGGCTTGGTGCGCACTATATCATCACCCAAGTCTAATCTAGGCCACAGAGACATAAGTCGAGCACCCAAACGTCCTACAGCACGGGCCACGGCCACGGAAAGATCCAGGCCCTCAAGAAGCCCAGGCGACGGGGCAGGATGCAAGGATGCCGCAACCTTGGCCGATGCGTCAGCCCAACCATTGCCTTGCCTTAAATAGCGGTCCCAATCATCGACCGCTTCATCAACAGCAAGATGGGCTTTCACTTTGGACACCGTGACTTTATGTAGGTGTGGGCGAGCAAACTGAGCCACACCAGCGAACATATACCTGGCCGAAATCTGTTCAATCCATGGCATCCTGAAAAAGTTCACAACGTTCAAACAGTCCGAAAAAATTTCACACTGGCCTGTGCTCCACTGAATGGCGACAGACATAGCAAAAAACTCGGCAGCTTGCGGAGTCTGGGGGCATGGCCCCCAAACTGGTCCACGAACTCTAACTAATTCAAGCCCAGTCTCTCTGTCAACCAAAGTGAAGGCCCAACCAGCTCTGTTCAGTTCGTTCACAATGCAACGGGAACACGACCCATCCACGAACATGTCTCCCGCGAACACAGTATCCAGGTCCCCAATAACACCTTGGGCCCAGTCCACCTGAATACCACCTTCATCCAAAGGAGAAGGAAAAACATCACCAGGGTGAGGAAACACACCGAAGACAGCCAAGTTGTCGTCCACCTGGCTGGCCCACTCCTGGATCTTAATAGGCACAATCGAGTTCCTTAGTTCGACTACATCAGGGCACTGGCAATCCCACAATCTATGGCGGAGCGTATCAGGCGCCTCACCACACAGCGGGCACAGCACGTTCTGCAGCTGGTAGCCTAAGTCAGCCGCACGCGTACGAGTGTACACCGCGTTGCAAAAAAGAGCCCTCAGACAGCCTTTTTCAAAGGCCGAAAACTTCGTGCTACGAAGATAACTAAGGACCCCATCAGTGCAAGCACGCCCAGACATGTTCAGACGAGCCCCCAGGTCCCACTCGAGCCCTCTCACAACAGCTTTGCGAAGCAAGTTCTTAATCAAGGTAGGCGAGAACTCCGTCAGTTTGACCTCCTCCCCCTTGTCAGTCCTAAAAACAGCGAAAGAAGGCATGGACCAGGAAATCCTCTCAACGATTTTCTCAACGCCGTGATCGGTCCCGAGACCGACCGCCACAAAGGGGAGTCTCCCGCGAAACCAAACTCCCACGCCTCCCTGAGTTCTGGGAGCGAGAGACAGTGAGGGTAGGTCCGATGGTGCGCAATCCAGATTTCCTTCGACCATCTGACAATCGGAGCGACCGACGCATACCAGCAGGGCTCGCCATACGAGAGAAGAAGAGCCGTCAGCGATCGTCCAGACGCTGAAGGTTGCAACACAGAAGCCGCCTGGCGCCTTAACTTCAACAGCTCAAAGTCACTCACACCAAAAATTTCGGACCCGAACAGCTCCGAAGCCAAAGCCCCCGAGGCAAAAACGCTTTTGGTCACACGGGCCCCAACCAAAGGCCTCAAGCGGGCCAAACGCGAAACAAAACCACGAGCTTTATGCTCGCGCTTCTTTTGCTTCGAGCTCCTCCCCGCAACACGCCCCGGGCGACCCACACAATCATCAACCCCGAGGTTCGCCGCAGAACTGACTAAGGGGCCAGCCAGGCCCCCTAATGCCTGCGCGAGGTCACGCCCAAGCGCCTTAGAGGAAGCGATCAAGGATCTCTTTCCCACATCTTGACTCACCTTAGCTCCGATCCCCTCCTCCAGAATAGAAATCAAAGCTCTGACCACCGGTGGCAGATGCTCCACAACATATCGCCGCGACCCCGTAGCACTAAGGCCAGAGTCGTCAATGCACAGCTTAAAATGAACCTGCGGCGGAATGTACAACTGGTCGAGGGAAGCGATCGAGTACACTCTGATCAAAGTGGTGGCAAACGTACACCCCGCGATGATGCCACCAGCGGCCCAGTAGGGCCCATCAACAAACCCGTTCAACACAAAAAACCGAGCCTGAAGATACATCGAAATCGCGAGCCGAGCGATCGCGAGGGGAAAATTCACCTGCTTACAACGCCACAGGAGCAGCTTGAGATCGATAGTCTCATAGTATTTGTAAAGATCGAGCAGGACGGTGGCCGCTTCATCCTTGCTCAATGTCGAGGCCTCCGCACGAACCGCCTGTCTCCAGACCACATCCTGGGCCCCCTCGAACGGACCAGCCGCGAAAAAACTCCGAGCGTTTTTGAACTCCCACTCTTGGGCCAGGGGCCTCCGCACCTTACCATAAACACGGTAAAGCGCACAAAAATTCCCAATCGGGCGAAAACCCGAAGCAGGTTTCGGGATCAACGTGAGGAGAGTGATGGCCACCTGCCTCGGTATTAACGCCGTGGACTCCATCACAGCAAACAAACCAGACAAAATACTGAGCAACTCATCACTCATGAAAGAGAAATGCCTCATGTGAAATCCGTCGACGCTGACAGAAGTGTTAACTTTGAAACGCCTAGAAAAATCACGAATCGCTTCAACAGGAACCCCAGGAAGGTCAGGGGCAAGTTCACCGACATGGAACCAGGGACCTCCACCAGCATCACCCCAGAGGTCGGAAAAACGTTTCGACTCCGCTTGGAGCAACGACAAGGGGTCCGCCACCACCACTCCGTCCAAGGAAAGGGTAGTGGTGGGGACCCATGGCGTCGCTCCTTTGGAAACGGTGTGAACCCTGCGGGCTCCCCGATTCGCCTTAAACAGTAACCAATCCTTGAACTCCTTCCTGGCACGCTTCCTAGAAGCAGCTTCGATAATCACGAGCATGTCTCGGCACAGCTCATGAAGGTGCTGAAAAAAATCCAGCATAGGGCCATCTGCTGGCTCGTACATCGGGAGCTCGCGGACGAACTCGTCAGCGCAGACCTAAAATTCTCCATCTGGCCAAGATCATTGGCGCACTGAGCTGGCGGCTGCTCCAGGCGCTCGAGCACCCGTCCTATGCCAGCCTTGTCACCCTTGGTCCAGCAGCACTCGAACTCTCCAAAGAGATTGGTCAGCCACCTAGCAGCAAACAGAGAACCATCACCTTTGCCAGAGTCCTTGGACAACACCGGCCGCCAGCACATTTGGGGGGGCTTACCTCGAGAACCCCAAGCGGGAAGGACCTTGCCCGTGGCAGCGGACACCTCACGCTCGGCAGCGTTGGCCCAGTGCTTATAGACCAAGTCGACCGCGTCCTGCACTCTTTCGAAATCCCCCACAGTCGCCGCTATACGAGCCGAGTCCAGCACATCGTGCAACCACAAAGGAGGCACGCAAGTGGGGACGAGACACAAAGGCGGGAGAGGCGCCGTGGGCAACGGAGGGGGTTTCCGAAAAGACAGAGCCTGCAGCCTACCGAACTGCGGATGTAAACAAATCCTGACTGGGACATGCGTGCAGAGATTGGTGTCACGGACCACCCGCACGCTGCTGACCGTCTTGGCCAAATCAGAAGAGGCGATAAAAAAATCGAACTGCTTAAGACCAGCAACGGATTTCATCGTGTGTCCCTCAGGCACCAGGAGCTGGACGCTTTTCTGGTCTCCCAGGCCCCCAGACAAGAGCTTCTCAGGCTCCATGTTAAAATCAGCCCCCAGGAGGAAAGGGAACCCGAGACCCTCCCCAAGGGATAAACACGAACACAAGATATCAATGTTTGAATCCGAAAGGTCCTGGCAATCGTGAAAGTAGGCGGCCATCACCAAAAACGTGGGCTGACCAGGCACCTCGACGATGCCCGCCACAGCCCTCGCTGGTGAAATAATGGCTCCAGAGTCAGGAGCCCGAAGACCAAGCCCATCACGAACAAATAGAGCGACTCCCGATGACGGGCCTTTACCATCGCCAGTCACAGCCGCACTCCATAGACTTTTCCACCCGTGACGTCTAGCCCAGGAAGAACCAGAATCGATTTGATTAGCCAGTTGCTTATGCTCCTGCATGATCACGATATCAGCACTAGTCTTCTGCAACCAGAGCTGGCCAGGCCCCCACCCTGAGACATTACAGGTTTCGACTGAGGGCGAAAAAGATTCAACAGGAAAAGCATTGGCCTCCATGGGCCTGATCAACTGCACATCGGACCTGGGCGAAACACCAGGCGGCCGTGGGCCCCTAAGGGTCATAGGTTTCGACGGCCGAGCAGGGCAACCATTCGCCAGCAAGGCCCCCTTGGCCCTGACTAACGTATGTTGAACAGCCCGACCGAGAGAGCCACTGTGGGCCCACAAAAAATTAGAACGACAGACAGTGTGAGCCTCAGGGGAGCCCTGGGAGATCCACTCAGGGCTGGTCAAAACCCAGGCTGTATTGTGGGGGACACCCCCTCCGACGGAAGTAGATAAAAAGTTATGCTCTCGCTGTCTCCCCCCCTCAGGCGGTCTCACCTTTGGGGGGGTCTGATTGTAAAATCTTGGCTGCACGTGCCTTGACATCAGCACACGCCGAAGTCGGGCCCGTACCACTTGATGAAGCCACCGAGGGGGAAGACGACTCTTGACCAGCATCCGGAGCTTCCCCACCAGGAGCCTGTGCAGTGGCTGGCTGACCGTCATGTGGACCATCACTCTCAGCTCCTGCAGCGGCGCCTGGCATATGAACCTTCCGCTTCTTGCCAGCCAGACGTGACTTCTGCTCCTCCATCTCTTTGCGAACTCGCTCAGCGTGAGCCTGCGCGGCACCGAAGAGCTTCTTCGCCTGCTTCTGAATCTCATCATTGAGTGTCTTGAGCCTTGCCGCAGCCTCGTTTCTGTCCTCTTCGTTGAGGTCGTAATCAGCTTCCCACTCCAAAAGGCTGGACATGTCGATGGGAAGAGGTTGACCACCAAGCAAGTCCGAAATCGAAATCTTGACCTCCTGCTTGACAGCGCCCTCGGGGTTCCGAGGCCTATCATCCACCGACTGGTGCAACTGCTCCACCAGCTCTTTATGCAACTTCTCCGCGGCCTCCAACTGTGAGGTGATGGACTCCACATTGGAACGTGCCTGGACCAGCTCGTTGGAGATGCGCTCGAAAGCCTCCACCGCCTTTGACAGTCTGGCCTCCAGGCTCCGCATACTGTGATACGCCTGGTTGACCTTCTGCTGCAGGGGGGGCTCGACCTTCTTAGATGCGGCCATCTCATCGAGCTTAAGTTGATAACGCTTATCTGATTCTTCGTCACCTTGGGCTCGCAACAGCTGAACGAGGGATGCAATCCGCGTGCACTCATCAGAGGGAAGCTGGACACCTCCTGCCCCTGGAACCTGAGGGCCAGGATGACGAGGAGCAGCACTGCTGAAAGCCAACATCGGATTGGCGACCCACGTACCTGGGGGCGGCGGCCCCTGTGCCCATACACCACGGGGGGCGGAGGGCTGCTGGAAAGATGGTGACGACCGCCAAGCCCAGCAGTGCTTGCACTGCTGCCAGGCCTGCTTGTTCTTTTTGCAGCCACAGCTTGGGCAGGTCCACCTCGATGAGGGTGTGTCACCAAGCAGTGCATCACCTTTGCCATCGAGCATAGACCCCGACTTGCCTCCTTTGCCGACTCCTTTGCCTCTGTGGTAGGACTGGGCATAACGCTGCTGCTGCGCCTCCAGATGCCACGGCGGGATCGGCCCTCCCCAGTTCGCCGCTGCTGGAGAAGGCGCTGCCATCGCACACAACACTGGAAGGGTATCGTGGTGGGAAACGCGGGGCTCCGCCCGCAGAAACGACAAATGGCTCGCAGGAACGCGGGCCCTTCTGAAGAACAGTTCCTGCAACGCTACTCGAGCGCAGAAGGGCTAGGAGGAGGAGGAGAAGGAGGAGGAGGAGGAGGAGGAGGAGCGAAGAGGGGGAGGAGGACGAGCAGGAGGAGGAGGAGGAGGAGGACGACGGCGACGGCGATGACGACAACGACGGCGGCGGCAGCGGACTCGGCGAGACCAGCCCCAGCGAAACCAGCGCGGCGAAACCAGCGGGGCGAAACCAGCGCCAGCGAAACCAATGTCGGGCGAAACCAGCGCCGGCGAAACCAGCCCTGGCCGAGACCAGCCCCCGCGAAACCAGCCCGTGCCTCCCCCTCTCCCTCCTTTCCTCCCCCCTCCCTCCCCCTCTCCCTCCTCTCCTCCCCCTCTCCCTCCTCCCATCTCACTCCACCTCTCCCTCCCCCCATCTCGCTCCCCATCTCCCTCCCCCTTCTTCCTCCTCTCCTCTCCCTCCTCCCCCTCTCCCCCCCCTACCCCGCTCCCTTCGTCGTCCTGCCCTACCTCTCCTCCCCCTCTCCCCCCCCCTCCCCCTCTCCCTCCCTCGTCCTGTCCTGTCCTCTCCTCCCCCTCTCCTCCCGCCCCCTCCTCCTGCTCACATGCCATCTCCTCCTCCTGCGCACGCAGCCCCTCGCTGTTCCGATGGCGCACCACACGGACTGGCATGCCTGCGGGGAAGGTGCGGGACGGGACGGGACGGGAAGGGAAGGGAAGGGAGGGAGAGGGCGTCAGGCGAGGCGCGACCGCGCCTAGCTCGTCGCCTCCCCCTCTCCCTCAAAACCTCCTCCCCAGAGGAGCAGAGCGGCACGGACAGAACCTTTCGGAGCTCTGCCCGAACTGTTGAAATCATCGTTGGACTGGTCGCTCCTCTCCTCCTCCCCCTGCTCTCCCCCTCCCCCCGTCGTCGCTCTCCTCCTCATCCTGTCCTCCTTCTTCTCCTCCTCCTCCTCCCCCTCCTCTCCTCCTCTCCTCCTCTCCTCCTCCTCCTCCTCCTCCTCCTCCTCCTCCTCCTCCTCCTTATACCCCCCTCCTCGCTCTCCTCCTCCTCCTCCTCCTCCTCCTCCTCTTCCATTCCTTTTCCTTATGTGTAACTTATCCCTGTCACCCCGAGGCCAGTTCTTAGGGCGGGCTGGGCGTTTCGCCTGAGACTCCCTCACCATTTATGACTCTGAAGCTGAAACATTGGCAGCAGCTTCACAGATGGATGGCGGGTGGTTTTCAAAATGTGGCTCTCGCCATAGGGCGGCGCACATTCGTTTCAAACATTGCAAGAGTTCCATGGATTGAAGGCGAGTCGTTTCACGGATTGAGGGCGGGTGGATTTCCAAATGTGGCTCCCGCCTTAGCGCGGCGCACATTCGTTTAAACATTTGCACGAGCTTCACGGATTGAGGGCGGTTCCTTTTCAAACTGTGGCTCTCGCATCAGCGCCGCGCACACTCGTCTTAAACATTTTCAAGGGTTTCACGGATTGAGGGCGGCTCCTATTCAACATGTGGCTCTTGCATTAGCGCCGCGCACACTCGTCTGAAACATTTGAAGGGGTTTCACGGATTCCCATCATCAGCGCACCAGAAATGGTGATATGGAAGGATTTAGGATGATGCGGGTGCAACAGTTACGTTGATTCTCTGTGTTGAAGTCCTAAGAATGGCGTTCTGGCACGATTCAATATCGCCCAAACGCAGCAATCAGGTTGATCCGTGGCGTTGGAGTCCCGAGACCAATATTTTGGCATGCTTCAGGGTCTTCAAACGGGTGTCTTCCAACGAGGCAGTTCCATCAATGGAAATGAACCGTTGTAGGGACCTATCCAGAGGGAGCTTGGAGGGAGGTTTACCCCAAAATTGTTGATGACTCTTGGCTTTACACTCCTCCTCCTCCTTTTTCTCCTCTTTTTTCTCCTCCTCCTCCTCCTCCTCCTCCTCCTCCTCCTCTCTTCCTCGGCCTCCTTTTTCTCCTCCTCCTCAACCTCCTCCTCCTCCTCCTCCTCCTCCTCCTCCTCCTCAACCTCCTCCTCCTCCTCCTCCTCCTCCTCCTCCACCTCCTCCTCCTCCTCATCTTCCTGATCCTCCTTTTTCTTCTTATTATTCTCCTCCTCCTCCTCTTCCTCCTCCTCCTCCTCCTCCCTCCGCCTTCTCCTCGCTCTGCTCCTCCACGGGATATCCCCTCTCCGCGGCCGCAGCCGGCGCGGCCGCGCGCCGCGCGATCCATCCCACCCCTGCCGCTGCTGCTACAGCGACGTCTACTGTCTCGTGTAATTCTGCGACTGGCCATCGCTCGGACGTCCATTCCCTGTGTTTTTTTCGGTTTCGTGCGTGGCTTTTTCGCCAAATGATCAAGGATGCTCCTCGATGGCCCTCGCCGAAGGAAAAACGCACACGTCCGAGCGATGCCAAGACGACTACGACGGCTGACGCACATGCCGCTGCGCCTGCGGAGCAAGAAGGCACCCATGCAGTCGGCCTTGATGGAACAGGACACGCGAGGGGACACAAGACCCTTCCGAGGGCCACAGCGCCACAGGTGTAGGAAGGCACGCGTCGCAAGGCACAGGACATCACAAGGGCACCCTTGAGCTGGCAGGGTCGACCTACTGATCCGGGCCGACTGTGCCGCTGCTCCCCGGACCTCTCCCGGGGTGTGTTCTGACCGGCATTTCGGGGCGAAGCCAGCGGTGGCAACGAGGGCCTCCCAGGAGGCCCGATAGGGGGAAAGCGGGCACGAGGGCAACGGTGGCGTGACTTGCTCCTCCTCCGGGCTCCCCCCCCGGGCGGCGCTCGCCCGCTGCCATACATCAGGGACAGCGGCCAGGGCACTCTGAGGAGGGCCGCTGGGCGCGGAGCGCGCGGGGAGGCACAGCGAGAGGCCGCGGGGAGGGCGCGGAAAGGGGGGGGGGCGCGGGCCCGGGAAGGGGTCCGCGGAGAGGGCGCGGGAGGCAGCGGGGGGAGGGGCCGCGCAGCGAAGGCGCGCGCGCGGAGGGGCAGCGGAGAGAGCGGGAGGAGGGCGGGGAGCGGGGAGGGGGGAGCGGGGGGGGGGGAGCGGGGAGGGGAGGGGAGGGCGCGGGAGGAGGGCGGCGGGCGGGAAGGGGAGGGGGGAAGAGGGCGGCCAAGGGAGCGGAGGGCGCGCGGGGGGGGGGGGATGCGGCCGGGCCCAGGGCAAGATGGCATCCTTCGAAAAACACGAGACCCTCCGCCGGCCAAGCCGAAGAGCATTCGAGAGCATCCTCCCCCAGGATGCACAGGAACACTCAACAGTAGGCGGCGAGCGAGGGGTGGAAGTGAGAAGGAGAAGGCCTTCTCAGAAGGCTCGAGTTCCCACGGCCTTCTGAAAAGTGTTCTGAGCTTTCCCCGAAACACACAACACAATTCTCAGCAGGCGCGAGATTTGCTGAGAAGTCCCGCCGCCTTCTGAAAGGGCCTTCTCCTTCTCCTTCTCATTCCCCCCCCTCGCCCGCCGCCGAACTTACACCGCGGTCCGACCGTGCACAGCAGCTTCCGGGGCTCCGCGCGAGTTGCTTGCACTGGCGTTTGGGCAGGCCGTCAGGTAATGGGGGGGTCATAGATGGTCCGGATGGTTACTTTTTGGTCCCTTTTTGGTGACTTTAGGTGCTGTTTTGGACTGGCAGCGTTTTTGGTCTTGATACCGAAAGGGGCGCGTAGCGTAGTTACGCGTGCAAGGTACGAAGAGTTGTTTTGTCTTTATCCTCGTGTTTTTTTGTCTTGAGCCCTCAGCCCTAACCGCTGACGCCCTGAGCCCTCACCCCGAGCCCTGACGCCCTAAGCCCGGACTCCCTGGCGCCCTAAGTCCAGGAACCCGACGCCCTGAGCCCTCAACCCTATGCCCTGATCGTTGAAACCTAAGCCATAAAACGCAAATCCCGGAACCCTAAGCCCGAACCCCTAAAACCCAAGCCCGAAACAATAAGACCCGCGCCCTCAGCCCTCAGCCCATTCCCCTAAGTCCGAAGCCCTAAGACCTGGCCCCTGGGCCCTACGCCCTATGAGCCCTGACCCCTGGGCCCTCAGCCCTATGCCCAAACCTCTAAGCCCTGGGCCCTAAGCTCTCAGCCCTAAACCAAAACCCCTCAGCACGCCCTACGCCCTGCACCCTAAGCCCCCAGCTTGAAGCCATAACGCCTAACTCTTAGACCCGGGGCCCTAAGCCCTAAGCCCAAAACTCAAGCATCTAAGCCCTAAGCCCTAAGGTGTAAGCCCCCAAACCAAGGGCCCCAGCCCTATGCCCTAAGCCCTTAACACCTACGCCATAAGCCCTGGGCGTTCCGCCCCAGCCCTTAAGCCCTGCTCTGAGCCAGAGCCCCCGAGCCCGGAGCGTAGAACCCGAAACGCTGCAATTTCAACTCTAAGCCATGTGCCCTGATGCCTAAGCCCAGAATCTTGAACGTCGAAACCCCAACCGCTGATGCCTGAGCCGTAAGCCCCAAGCCCCGAACCACAACTCCTCATCCTACGGCCTAAGCCCGCAACCCCCAAACCCGAGACCCTGATACGGAGCCCTAAGTCCGATGCCTTATGCCCTCAGCCCTGAGCCCTGATCTCTAAACCCTGACGCCTAATCCCAAAGCCCCAACTCCTGAACCCAACACCGAAGCCCCATGCCCTAACCCCGAAGCCCGAAACCCTGAACCCTCAGCCCTTAGCCCAACCCCTGGGCCCCAAGCCCTAGCCGCTGAACCCTAAGCCCAAGGCCCTAAGCCCGAAGCGATAAGCTATGAATCCAAAGCTCTGTCCCCCGTGAACCCTATGCCCTGCGGCCTCGGCCCTGGGCACTACTGCCTAAGGCCCATGGCTTAGGCCCCAAGCCAAATGCCCCATAGCCTAAAACCCTGATGCCGAAGCCCTAAACCCTAGGCCCGAATGCCGAAGCCCTACGCCCTACGCCCTAAACCCTAACACTTAAGCCTTACCCTGAACTGCCTAAACCTTCAAGCCTGATGCAGAAACCCCCTAAGCCCTAAGCCCTAAGCCTCGCTGGCCCCCGAAGCCTTCACCCCTGAACCCGAAGCCCTAGGCCCTATGCCCCCCTTTTATATATATATATATATATATATATATATATATATATATATATATAAGCCCGAACCCCTGGCGCCTCAGCCCTCAGCCCTGAGCCCTACCGAAGCCCTCCAGCCCGAGCCCCTGGACCCAAGCGCCAAAGTCCTGACTAAACCCTAAACCCCCAGCCCTGAGCCTCCCCCCCCCCCTCGTTCGGTCGAGCGTTTTGGGCGCTTCCTGCAAGGTGCTGCAAAGTTCCTGTCGGGCGCAAGCGGATTCCTCGCACCCCCCCCCCGCCAGCCCGCGCCCATGGTTCTGAATTCCGGCCGCGCGATGGGCGAACCTGTCGGAGTTGCGCAAACAACCTGAAATTGCATGCGAAAATTTGCCAGCGTGCATTTGATGCCGCGCTGCAAACTGCCCCTAGTTGATCCTCATTCGGCGCCTACGTCCAACTTCCTGGACTGAAAAGGGTTCTTAAGCGGCCCCTATGGGAAATTTTGTGCCAGGCCTGAAACTGCCCCTAAGCGGCCCCTGCGCGGCGTTTCGCGCCGCGCCTGGAACGCCCCCCAAACGCCCCCTACCCTTTGTTGCATGCGCGCAATGCCGCCAGGGCCGCGCCCCCCAAAAACACCAGACTCTGCGCCCCACCAGCCCCGCTGCCTGCGCCAGCGCAGCGGCCCCTCCCTCATTTTCTTCGCGCGCCAAAAAAAGCCAACCTTCGACTTCCACGCCTAGAAAATGCACGCGGCATCAGAAACTGCTGTCTGCAACGCCAAGGCCGCCCAATAACATATCTGCAGCGAAGAACGCATGCATATTACATTGACCCGCCAGATGCGGCGCCATCGCCCGAATCACTTTCGTCGCACTCGGCCTCGCCATGCTCGTCTGAGTTCGACTCGTCATAAGTGTCCTCGCCGCCGGCGGTTCCCCCCCCGTCTTGGCATCGCCCCATGCCGCGGGGATTTCTTCCTGCCGTTGAAAGTTCAATGTGGCACCCCCATGAATTCGCATGACAAAAAAAAGTCATCTTGCCAAGTGAAAGCGTGGCATCTTGGGAAGTTGGGCCCAACCAATCAAGCAGTCATGAAAACGCGGTCAACCGCTCTGGAAATGTTGCCCACCCAATGTTTCATGGCAACCCCCCTGGCCTTGCAGCGTCGCACTGGGGGGCGCGACCGAACAATGATCCGTGAACTGTTTGGGGCCTTTTTCGAACGCACCGGAAACTTCGCGCGCCTGCTGAAACAATGAAGCTGCGCCTTGGCCCCAGCAATCCGTTCCAGAAGGCGGAACAACGACTTGCCCAGCAGCGGGCCCATGCCGCGGACACATTTCCCGCGCAGGTGTTACTTGGGCGCGCACATCCCGCCCTTCCGGAAATATCCGCTGCCGCTCTGCGGCCAAGCGCGCCTTCGATGAACAACCGACGCGCTCCAATCGCGGTGGACTGACCAATCCACAGGAGAAGCCGCTGAGGCACCGAAACCCATCGCCCCCCCCCCCCCCCCCCCACCACCACCACCACCCACCCGCCCACCCACCCGCCCTTCTCTCCCCAGACGCGCCGCGGGCCGCGAAAACCCGCGCGACTGGCCTCCAACGGCGCCCTTCAGCGACCAACGCCGTAAAGCCGCTTCAGGCGCGGCCAACGGGCGGCGCGTGTAACGCGGCGAGCGGCATCATAAATGAGACGCTCGTTTGGGCGCCTTGGAAATGGCATTATCCACAACCTTGCTGCGTGAAGGAATTCCGCCCTGCAAGCTGAACACGCCCATTGAAATGCTCTGCTCTGCCGCCGCCTGCTTTGCAAACCTTTTTCCAACTCGTTCACAAAGCCGCATCCATTGGACTTGCGGAGTTCATGGAGGACGTCCTTGGCGTACTGAGGTGCTAGATGACCACAACAATATGGAGACATGCCGCAACGCATGGTGATCTCATGTGTTGTGCAACACTTCTTCTGCCGCACAAAGGTATGATCCGTGTCTTCGTTGTTAATTTTCACCGCGCGCAAAAAGGCGAACGGGGTCAATGCGCACGCGGCGATGGATATCAGGACGCGAAGAAAAGGTCCAGCTCAAATAAAAAATCGGGGCGGGCTTCCGAAGGTTTGTGTCTTGGAGATGCTGCCCCACTTCCCCTGGTGGTTTGGGGCGTGCTTCGTGGCGGGGTCGCGCAAGATCGCTTCGCAGTGGTGCGCGCGCGGTTTGGGGCGCAAGACGCGCGGGCCTGCGGGGCGGGTCGGCGCGGAACAGGCAGGGCAGGACCGAGACAGCAGCTTGGGGTGCCCGCGTTCCGCCGTAGCCACAGCGAGACCGACGGCGCCCGATTGCGCGATGCGACTCACCCCCCCGCCTACGGCCCCTGCATGCACAGCGCTGTCGCCCCGGGGAAGGGGGGGGGGGGGGGGGGGGGCGAGGGGGGCGAGGCGGGGGCGGGGGGGGGGTGAGGAATAGGTGGCGCGGGAGGGAGAGGCGGAGGAGGAGGCGGGTGTGGCAGAGCTCATGTGCTCGTACATGCATACGTATCTACGTGCATGCAAGTATACATACACACATACAAACACATCCACACATCCACACACATAGATAGATACATACATACATACATACACACATACATACATGCATGCACACATGCACAAAAGTGTACACATGCATACATACATACATACATGCATATATATATAGATATACATACATGCATACATACGGGCATGTCTACATGTGTGCGTGCAGGCATGCACACGCAAGTACAAACATACATACAGGCATACATGCATACGCACATACATACATACATATACACATACACACATATACATACATACAACATGCATACATCCATTCATACATATATACATGCATACATGCCTACAGACACACCTACATACATACATACGCACTGACAACCAGACAGGCAGACAGAGAGACGGAGAGACAGACAGACATATAGACAGACAAACAGACTGACAGACCGACATACTAATCTACCTACATACATACACTTAGACATACACATATAAAAATGCATGCATCCATACTTACATGCGTACATGCATGTATGCATGCGTGCGCAGATACCTGCACGCAGACATGCATGCGTAAAAATATACATGCACGCACACATGCATTCATACATACGTGCATGAGTATATACATACACACCTACATCCGTACATACACACAAATTTATAACGACACAGGCCTACACATACATGCGTACATACATCGGTCAATCCAAGTAGACAGACATACATACATCCATATGCCCTCATTCATACACATATACATACGTGCTCCCAAGCAAACATGGATGCGTTAAGGCATGCGTACTTACATGCATACATGCATGTACACAGTTCATTGCATGCATACACGACACGCACTGCATACACACATATATACATACATGCATACACACATATACAAACATTACTATATACAAAGCTACATACATACGCACTCACATGCATGCATGCACACCTACCGACCTGCACGCATGGAGGCATTACTTTTTATTTGGACAGCGTGGGCGCCAGTGCGAGGCGCCGTTGCATCTTCGAAGCCCCGCGCCGAGAGAAGAGGAGAGCGCCCGGGGGCCAGGGGGGGCGCAGGCCAAGGCGACGAGGACACAGGAGCCCAGGGCGGCCCAGGACCCCAGAGGAGAGGAGGAGCGGTCCGAACCCCCGCTCTGCTCTCGGCGGCACGCTCGCGCGAGGAGGCGGCGCGCGCGCCCCGAGCCGCCCCGCCTTCCGCCGCCGCCAGGGCCCCGCGGCCGAGCGGGCGCCCCAGCCGAAAGGGCGGGCGGGGGCGAGGCGCCCCGACGGCGCGCCTCCGCAGGCGCGGGCGCGGGCCGCTCCTCCAAGGCCCGCCCGCCGCGCCCGCCCACCAGCCTGAGGATCACGTCCATCAGCGCTGGCCCAACCACTCCTGAAGGCTCCGATGGAGCCTGCCCGGCGGTGCGGCACCCTGGAGTTCCACGCCGCCGATCTTGATCACCGCCTTCCTGAACGTGGTCGCGATCTCGGCCGCCCCGATTGCCACGCGCACGCGGGTGCGCCGCGTGTCGTACATGTCCTTGAGCTTGAAGTACTTGAACTTCGCCGTGATGAAGTCCTGCTCGCTGACCTGGGCGTGGAGCGCCCTCACTGGCCCCTCGAGGTCGGAGCCCGCCATCTCTGGTGAGTAAGCCAGCGAGGGCACCGCCGCCTCCACGAGGCACGGCAAAGGCGGGCCCAGGCCGTGCTGCGCAGGGCTCTTGCCGCGGCACGTGTTGCTGTAGGTCTTGCCCGCGTCCATCACGCTCTTGATCATGTCGTTGTCGAGCGGGGCCTTGAACGCGAGGTCGCAGGCCGACTCGAGGTCGCGGATCTGGAGATCGTGCGAGAGCACCAGGCGCGCCAGGGTGGCCACCGTCTCCTCGAACTCGCCCTGCTGGCGGCGGGCGCGAGGCTTCGCGGCGGCCTTGGCCCTGCCTCGCGGCGGGGGCGTCACCTCGCCCCCCCCCCCCCCCTCTTCCCCGCGGCGTGCTCCTCCTCCTTCGGGGCGCTGGCGCGCCCGACGGCCGCCTGGAGGACCTCCCGCCACCGCGCGCGACCCGCCCTCGGCCACGGCTGGCGGGGCCGCCAAAGCCCAACCGGGCGCCTGCAGCGTCGCAAGGAGGCTTCGGGGGCCGCGGCGGCAACAAAACTGGTCTCCTCCCAGCGAAGTGCACTGAGAGAAAATGGCTGTGATGGTGGTCCAACGTCGGAGACTGCTCGCCACAAACAAGACATCGGATATCTTCTGGGACCAACAGCTTCGGCGCAGCTTGGGCCAGCCCGCCACGACAATGACCTCGAGCAAGAGCGAATATGACACGTTGCGTTGCCGACGCCCGAGAAGCAAGAACAGCACAGCATAACCCGCACTGGTTAGACAAAAACAAGGACGACTCCACCGCTCGATACAAGTGAGAACTGATTTTGCGCCACGGCAAAGCTCGCTCCGAACAGAAGGCGGCCCCGCGCGAGCCCTCAGCGCAGGGCTCCTGGCACGCGAACTCGAAGTCCCCGATCTCGATGAGGCCGGGCGGCTCACGTGCTGGCCTGAAGTGGTCGTCGTGCAGGGTCCACCAGCGATGACGCACGGCCGCGGCTACCTCGCGCGACGGCGGGCACTGGGCCGCCCAGCCGCGAGCCCTAAGCACGCGCGGGTCGAGTTGAAGGACCTCACCCCGCAAGGCCCCCCCCCCCCCCCCCCCCCTTGCAGCAAGAGGGGGCGCGCGCCCCGCGCCTCCAGCAGGTCCTCGCGCTCAGACGCGCGCAAGAGCAACTTCACGTCGTCCACCAGCAGCCTCGCGAGCGCAGAAGCCCCCTCGCCCAAGCGGCCGCCCTCCTCCAGCACGGGCTGCAGCACGAAGGGCAGCTGGCCGAACAAAGCCGTGAGCTCCATCTCGTGATCCGCGGGGCGGCGCACCATGCGCTTCACGAACCCGAGCCTCACCACGCGCAGCTCGGTCTCGATGTCCGCCATCTGCAGCAGCTGGCGAACGACCTGGGCGGGCATGGAACTGTGCTGGTAGCCCTCCTCCGCCAGGAAGCCCCGCGACGCCCGCGCGCCCAGGGCCGAGCGGCCCGGGCGAAGAGCGGCCCCGCCCAGCGACGCCAGGAAGGACTGCGCGGGCACGGCCGCGGCCGTGCCAGAGATGAGCGCCCCCAGTAGAGCGGAAGGTCTGGCGCGCCACCTCGACGGAGACCTCGGACTTCCAGCGGCGGCCCATGTCCGCGAAGCCTCGCGTGGCAGCCGCCGCCCGAGCCCTGATCCCCGTCGCGAGGCCGCCCTGGCAGTGCAGCATCGGGCCAAGGCAGCGAGCAACCGTCGAGCAGTTGCCGCGCACGCCGAGCCTGCCCGCGAAGAAGGCGCGCGTCTTGGCCCTGGCCCCCTCGCCACGGAAGGCGCACATGGCGCACTGCTTGGGGATGTCATGCTGGAAGCCGCGCGGCTCCAGCAGCCTGTCCAAGAGCTCGTCCGAGGCCTTGTGGTTCTTGATCGCGGTGTCGTGGCGCCACCAGACGAAGCGCTTGCAGAGGTCGTCCGCAGGCTTCGTGAGGCTGAGGTCCAGAACGGTCCCGTGACGACGGACTTCGCCTCGAGCAGCTGGGCGTCGGGGCGGTCGGAGTCCGCGATTGCCCACTCGGCCGCCGTTGGCGCGAGAATCTCGAGGAAGAGCGGGGGGCCAATCGAGTCGCCGATGAGCGCGCCCTGGTTGGTCTTCATGCGCAGCGCGCCCTCGGCCGTCTCCACCTCGCAGTGGTAGTCAAGGACCCTCCGCGAAACAATGGGGTGGTCCTCGGCGCGCGCCATGCCCTGCAGGCCCTGCGCCATGTCGCGCGCCGACGGGCACTGGAACGCCTTGCTCAAGTCCTTGAAGCTCGCGAGCGCCGCGAGGCCGTAACGCGCGGCCCGCTCGGCCACCGCCGCCGCGACCGCCAGGGCCCCGCCCCGCGAGCGCCTAGGGGCGAAGCCGAAGTCATTCGGTGCCGCCTTCACCTTCTGGGCCCTCGCCGCCAGCACAGAGGTGTAGCCCTTGCCGACGGGGTGCATCATGTGGATGACCCTGACGACGTCCGCCGCCCTGGACCTGGGCCACGCCAAGGGCGCCGTCTTGAACAGGCGGACGAGGGCCAAGCAGCGCAGCATCCGCCCCCTGAAGACCTCCATGCTCGGGGGCCCCGCCCTGTAGCCGATGCCCTGGCCCTGCCCGGCGGCAACGAGAGGCGCCGAGCACATCCTCCACGTCGGCGCGGGCGCCGACCACGGCGGCGCCGCCCGCCGCGGCTGCATCTTCCGCCGCATACGCTCCTCCAGCTCCTCCAGGTCCTCCAGCGCCGCCTCCTTGGCGTTCAGCGCCGAGCAGCGCTGCGCCAGCGGGGGCCGCAGCTGCTCGAGATACGGTCGCGCGTCCAGCCCCCAGTCGCCCAGGGCTCTTGGGGAGCTTGCGCCGCGCCGCCGCCGCGTGCTCCAGGCGGGGGGCGCGGTGCGCGCGACGGCGCGCGCCCAGCCCCCGCTCGCCCAGCAGGTGGGCCAGCCTCCAGACCGCGGCTGCATCGCCCACGCGCTCCGCCTCCGCCAGCGCCTCGCAGCGCACCGCGCGGAGCCGCCTGCGCTGTTGCCGCTGCAGCGCGCGCAGACGGCGCGTGGCGTCCTCGAGCTCCTGCACGCACCTGTCCAGCTCGAAATCCGTCGAAGCCCGCATCTCGCCCTCGAGCACGTGCCGACGGCGGATGTCAGCCCGCTCTTGCAGCAGCTTCTTGCGCTGCTCCGTCACCTCCTCCATCCCCCTCGTGCCGCGCCCCTTGAGGCCGAAGTGCGCCAGGCCCGTCTTGCGCGCCGCCTCCGCCAGCTCGCCCCAGGCCTCGCCGGGGCCCTGCTCCTCATCCAAGGGAGGACGAACCATGTCCTCGCACTTGTACTCCAGCTCCGTCAAAAACTCCAGCTTGCCCTGGTGCCGCGTCGGAGCCAGCATGCAGGCGTCCATGTCCCACTGCGCCAGTGCAGACCTGGGAAGAATCTCAGGGTGCACAGGCGTGATCATCACGGAGGCCCCCAGCGGCGCGCGGGCCCTCCTGCCGCGGGCTCGGATAGCCTGCAGCCTGTCTCCGATCGTGTAGAGCGGCTTGCAGTCCGCGACGCTCGGCATGAGCTCGCGGGGCATCGCGATCACGTCGGGCCTCGACCTGGCCCCAGTCGGGCCCGAGAAGGTATAGTCCTCAAAGAAGGTGCTGACCGTGGCGAGCTCCCACTCCTCGCAGAGCCGCCCGCCTCCACGCCGTGCCCGACTCGTGCTCCAGCGCGGGCTCGACCTGCCCGATAGCCTCAGACAGAGGCGAGAAGACCACCGCCTCGTGCTTGACCGTGCCAAGCCCGTCGTCGAGGTCAGCGCAGAGCAACGGCGTGCAGCGCGTGGGCGTCTCCATGAGGCAGCGCTGCGCCCACGTGAAGAGCGCGTCCGCCGCTACCCGCTGGACCGCCACCCCGCGCACAGGAAAGTAGAGGGCCAGCACCAGGATGTCCAGCGTGCCCCGCCTAAGGCGGGCGCCGCCGCCACGCCCCCGCAAGGCCGGCGGCGGCGACAGCAGCTTCAGCACCTTGCACCCCTTCTTGAAGAAAATCGAGACGCCGCACGCCTTGTTAGTGCGCCCGCCTCGTCCCCATCCCCAGTGGAGCGCGTCGTGGTTCGGCAAGGTCTGCTTCGGGACGTCCGCACCGCCACGCCACTTCATCTGCGTGCCCTGCAACGCCACCGCGTCGTGCCGCCCGAGCTCCTGGCTGATCTCCTCGGAGCGGAGGCGCCTGCACAACGTGAGCGGGTTGCAGCTGACCGCGCGCATCGGCGCGTCCCCCGCAGGGGGGAACCAGCTTCAGCACGTCAGGGGCCTCGTGCGAGCGCGGGGAGGCAAAGGCGACGACATGGCGCTGCCCGCTGGTGCCGTGAGCCACTTGGCGTCGCGGCCCGCCAGGCCCTGAGCAAATGTGCGGCGCTGCATGGATGCATGTATACATACATATAAACATGCATACAGCCATACATGCATACATGCATTCATACGGTCATACATCCATCCATACACATACACATACATATGCATGCGTGCCATGGATGCATGTATACATACATATAAACATGTATACAGCCATACATGCATACATGCATTCATACGGTCATACATCCATCCATACACATACACATACATATGCATGCGTGCTTGCACGCATGTAATCCAGAATGCGTGCATATATACATACGTGCATGCATGAATGCATGAATGCAAACATACATGCGTGTACATACATTTAAATGTATGCATGTACATGTATAATAGTGATATACATATCCGCCAACGTGCCTCGAGGCACGAATCGGACTTACCCTTAGGCTCTCATATGCTCTCGGTCCTCTGTGCTCGAGACTCTGGGACTCTAGTTTTCTGAAGGCCCAGGCCCCAGCGTCTCGAACTTCCTCGGCGCTCCCGCGCGCACCTGAGCTGCCTCGCGTGACTTTCCTAGGGGCCGGGGGACCCCAGGACGGGCCCAGAGGGACCCAACAAGCGCCCACGAGACCTCCAAGACAGCACAAGCGCGTTCCAAGATGGACACAAAATGGCCCAAGAGGCCCCAAAGAAGCCCCAAGACCGCTCCAAGAGGACCACCAAACAGGGCCCAACGAGACATAATTCATTGATGTTCCTTGATTTTTTCGTGTGCGCATGTTCGGGTTTCCTTCGCTCCAAGATGGTTCCCGAGGCCCCGAAGACCGCCCCAAAAAGCGCAGAGCTCCGAACAACATGCTGTTGCGCAGTTTTGTTTTGAAGAGGACGGGGGGGCTGAGCGAGGGGGAAGGAGGCGGGGACGGAAGGGAATAGAACGCACGCGAGAGCGAGGTGGAGGAGGACACGGATGCGGATGAGGACATCTATCTGGTTATGCATACAGGCATACAAACATACGTACATGCATGAATGCATAAACACATACGTACAAACAGTCATGCATGCAGACTGTAGGCATACATTCATACACACGTACGTACAAACGAACATGCATACATACAGACATGCGTACGTACGCACGTGCATCTATACATACATGCATGCACACATAGACGTACACACATACATACATCCGTTCCTGCCATCATGCATATATACAAACCTACATACATACATACGCACATACATGACTACACGAACGCACACATACATGCATGTATACATACGCGCTTACGAGCATGCATGAATGTATGCATGCATCTATACATACCTACATGAACAAATGCATGTGTCCATACATGCATAGTTACAGACATGTACACATACAGATGTGCAAACACTACATACATATGTACACCGAATTCCATAATGCTACATTGAACTGCATTGCAGGGCACGACCAGTCCATTACACTGACGTACAGTACAATGGATACGTACACCCATACACAAACATACATACCCCATACACGTACAAGACATGTCTACCTATCGACCTACTGACCTACCTACGTGCATGCATGCATACACACATACAGTTGTACGTCCATGCGTACACCTGCGCATGCAAGCATCGGCACATATATGCATCACCAAAACATACACATTCATATGCATGAGTACGCACATACATACATGTATACATGCATACATGAGGGTGTAGACATACACACTTATATAGTTTTATAAATGCAGTATGTGTATGTGTGTGACTACATATATAATGCGTATATATATATGTATATATATATACATTTCCGTCGTCGTGCCTGGAGGCACGAAGTGGATTTACCCCCAGGCTCTCATGTGTTCTCTGTTCTCTGTACGCAGGACTGTGGGATTCTAGAATTCTGGGGCTGGGGCCTCAAAGCCTCAAATTTCTTCGGCGCTCCCGCGCGCTCTTGGGCTGCCTCGCGTGATTTGTCCAAAGGCACCAGGGCACCCAAGACGGGCCCAGAGAGGCCCGAGAAGCGCCCAAGAGACCTCCAAGACAGCCCAAGCGCGCTCCAAGACGCCCGAGATGGCCCAAGAGGCCCCGAAGAAGCCCCAAGACCGCTCCAACAGGACCCCCAAAGAGAGCCCAACGAGGCATAATTGTTTGATGTTCCTTGTTTTTCGCGTCCTCGCGTTTTCGGGCGTCCGACGCTCCAAGATGGCCCCAGAGGCCACCAAGAGGGTCCCAAGACCGCCCAAGAGGTTCCCAAGAGGGCCCTAAGACGGTCCAAGAGGGCCCTCAAAATGGCCCAAGAGTCCTCCTCCTACGCTCTGCTCCTCCTCCTCCTCCTCCTCGTCCTCCTCCTCCTCCTCCTCGTCCTCGTCCTCCCCGGGTGAATTCGGGTGAGGACGCCCCGCTGCGCGACTTGGCGGCTACCGACGAGTCATGCTATCACACGGCGGTGGGCACTCAGGAAGCCAACCGCGACGCCAGCGTGGCCATCGCGGCTTCGGCCGCAAACAAAGGCTGGCTGCGCGAGGCTCGGTGCGCGCTCGCGTATGCGGTCATCAGAGGCCATTTGTCGACCAGGACGAACATGAATTCAGGAGAGGCTGAATCGAGAATCTCTTGAGGTCTGGCGGTTCGGGATGACGTCTCGGGCGCCGCGGCCTACTCAGAGCGTTCCCGGACCGCTCTGGGAGCGCTCCAGAACGCTCTGCAACGGCTTTTTATCCTCGTCCTGGCCCCGTCCTGGCCATCGCTCGGACGTCCACTCCCTGTGCCTTTTCGGTTTCGCGCGTGGCTTTTTCGCCAAATCATCAAGGATGCTCCTCGATGGTCCTTGCCACGGGAAAAATGCACACGTCCGAGCGGTGCCAAGCTGCCGAAGGGTCGAGGGCAAGGCTTGGCAGCCGCACTGGCTCCGCGGAGCGTCTGGAGCCCCCGCGGGACTCCAGGCCTCCCAGGCAGGGCTCGAGCTAAGCAGTGATCTCTCCTGGGGCCCGCTCTAAATGACGAACGTACGACTGTGACTACGAGAATGCATATGATGATGACGGTGGTGATGATGCTGTTGATGATGATGATAATGACGGTGATGATGATGATGATGATGATGATGACGATGATGATGGTGATAATGACTATAATGATGATGCTGACGATGATGCTGATGATGATGATGATGACGATGATGATGATGGTGGTGATGATGATTATGATGATGATGCTGACGATGATGCTGATGATGATGGTGATGATGATGATAATGATAATGACGATGATGATTATGATGATGGTAATGATGAATATTATGATGATGATGATGCTGCTGATGATGATGATGATCTGTTTTCGTGCTGTTTCCGTTGTCCTTCGCTCCGTCTTGGCTCTGCCTCTGCTGCGGAACGACAGCCAGACGACAGCGGTGCGCGACATCGCCCACGCAACGTTCAGCTCGAGCTCGGGGTCCAAGCAGACGGGGTCGGGGGATCGGGCCGCATCGCCGATGCAGCGGTGATGCCGCTCGATGTGGAGCCCCAGGTGCTCCACGCCCCCTCCCGACCCTCCCCTCCCGCCTCCCTCCCCCTCCTCAAGGAAGCTCTGAGCACACTGCGGACAAGTAACTGTGAAACAGTACCGTCTTCCTGTTGGCCCAGAGATGCTGAGGTGTAATCTCTGATTGCCGCTCCTACCTAGGCCCCTTCCACATGATAGCTGACGGCGTGGGCCCAACCTATCCCTTCGGCCAGGTGGACCAAGAACGAGAGAGAGAGAGAGAGGAAGAGGACGGAGAGGAGAAAATAACACGAGATGGGGGACGAGAACGGAAAAGGTCATCATCCCGGGCCCCCCCTCTTCGCGAGAGGAGGCATAGCACAGCCTGCGTTCTCGTGCAAGCCCTTGACCCAGGCGGGCTGGGCGCGCGCGCGAACGGCAAGCGATGGCGCGGACACAGGCGGGTGCATCGCAAACTGGCAGAGAGGCTGGTGGGAGATGCGAATGGTGAGTGACGCGCCAGCCAGTGCACAGAAATCGCTGCGCCATAATGACGATACTTCTGCTGGGTGATATGCACTGCGTGCGCACGGCGTGCTATCGATCATCATTCAACGGGGTGCACAAACAATACACCAGAATACAGCCCTGATCCTGGTCTTGCTGCTGCAGAAAGCACAGCACCAACGAAACCACTCACCCTTTCGTGTTTACCTCAGGAGCGCGCGTTAATGGCGCTGTCCGGTACTATGGGGGCAGCCTCGGATAGCGACCAGAACGCTGCTCTGGACTTGTGCAGAAGGCGACCCGCGCTAGGAGCGATTCGATTCACATCACGCCTGAACGATGCCACTCCAGGCCTGCAGCCTCGAACCAGGTGATCCAAATCTGGATGCAGAGCGCCCCTCCACTCGCCATCGCCCGGACGTCCATTCCCTGTTTTTTTTCGGTTTCGTGCGTGGTTTTTTCGCCAAATGATCAAGGATGCTCCTCGATGGTCCTCGCCGAGGGAAAATGCATACGGCCGAGCGATGCCAAGCCCATCCCCCGAAATGAGGCACGAGAGACGGGCAGCAGTCAAGACCCGCGAGCCCATCCGTTTGCACTCGCCACCCACGTGATCCGCTTTCCTCGTGGCATCCTGATGTTCGTGAGCACCTTCCATGCTTCCTTCGTCCGTCGTCGTCCTCCTCCTCCTCCTCCTCCTTCTCCTCTCCTCCTCCTCCTCCTCCTCCTCCTACTCCCTGCTCTGTCCCTCTCCCTACCTCGCCCATTTCCTCATGATGCCCCTTCTCATCCCCCATCCATGTCCTTCTCTCTGCCTCCCTGAACCTTCCCACACGTGTCTTTCCCCCCCGTCTCTCCATCCGTCCCCTCCTCGACCCTCCCTCACCCCCCTTCTCGTCCGCAGCACCATCCTCCGTATCCCCTCGTCGTAGACATCTTCTAACTACTAATCCTCAAGATTCCTCCTACTCGTCTTCCTGCTCATCCTTCTCCTGCTTGTCGTCCTCATCATTCTCTTTTAGCTGCCCCCGATCCCCAGAAGGAGGGCTGGTGTGCCACGGCATCCACCCCCAAGAGCTCCACCATTTCCTCAGCGAAGTGGATGCAATTGCTGTGGATCAGGTCGTATCTCGGGCCAGGGAAGGCAAAATGGAACATGCGGGACGCGGGACGGAAGGATGAGGCAAATGGCCAGGGAAGGAGGGAGGAGGAGGGATGAACATGAAAACGGCGGGAATGGTTGATGAGAATGGGATGCGCATGGAACGACGGAAATGATGGGAAGAACGGACAGAACTGAGCAGGATCCGGAACCCCAGGAACGCGCAGTACCAGCGTCGTGCCATAGGGAGTACCACGAGCGTGCTGACCCTCCTCACTGCCCCCCTTGTCCCTCCGCCCCGCGGAGATGTCCAGAGGTACCACGTCCACTTCCTGGAATGACAGAAACTTGCAAAAACATGGAAAGGTCGAAGGCGCGCCAAGCCTGGCGCCGGAAGCGCAACCAGAAAGGGCCCAGCGACTATCAAAGGAATCCGCGAGGAGCTCCCAAAATTTACGCTTGTGCAATCTCAGTATCATCAGTGTTACTCTTATTGTTGATATGGAGGTAACATTAAAATGCTATGGTTACTAGTGGTATGAATTCGTTTTATTACTCGTATTCTTAGTGGGAGCAATTATAGTATTACTGTATTAATGTTATGATTATCGATCGTAGTAGTCGTAGTCGTAGTAGTCGTAGTAGAGTGGTAGTCGTAGTAGTAGTAGTAGTAGTAGTAGTAGTAGTAGTAGTAGTAGTAGTAGTAGTAGTAGTAGTAGTAGTAGTAGTAGTAGTAGTAGTAGTAGTAGTAGTAGTAGTAGTAGTAGTAGTAGTAGTAGTAGTAGTAGTAGTAGTAGTAGTAGTAGTAGTAGTAGTAGTAGTAGTAGTAGTAGTAGTAGTAGTAGTAGTAGTAGTAGTAGTAGTAGTAGTAGTAGTAGTAGTAGTAGTAGTAGTAGTAGTAGTGGTAGTAGTAGTAGTAGTAGTAGTAGTAGTAGTAGTAGTAGTAGTAGTACTAGTACTAGTAGTATTAGCAGTAGGATTAGAAGTAAACGTAGTAGTAGTAGTAGTAGTAGTAGTGGTAGCAGTAGTCGCAGTAGTAGCAGTAGTGGTAGTAGTAGTAGTAGTAGTAGTAGTAGTAGTAGCAGTAGCAGTAGTAGTAGTAGTAGTAGTAGTAGTAGGTAGTAGGTAGTAGGTTGGTAGGTAAGAAGGTAGGAGGGTAAGTGGGTAGCGGTAGGTAGGTAGGTAGATCGGCAGGAAGGTAGTAGTGGTAGTAGTAAGAGTAGTGGCAGTACCAGTAGCAGCAGTAGCAGTAGCAGTAGCAATAGCAATCGTAGTAGTAGCAGCAGCAGCAGCCAGCAGCAGCAGCAGCAGTATATATAGCAGTAGTAGCCGTAGTAGTAGTAGTAGTAGTAGTAGTAGTCGTAGTAGTAGTGGTAGTAGTAGTAGTAGTAGTAGTAGTAGTCGTAGTAGTAGTAGTAGTAGTGGCAGTAGTAGTAGTAGTGAATGTAGTAATCGTAGTAGTAGTGGTAGTAGTAGTAGTAGTAGTAGTAGCAGTAGTAAAAGCAACCGTAGGTGGTTGAGCCGTGGTGATGTGGTGCACGAGACCGCCAGTAGTAGCAGTAGTAGTAGTAGTACCAGTAGTAGTAGCAACCGTAGTCGTAGGCGTAGTCGGAGTAGCAGGAGTAGTAACACCAGGAGCAGCAGCACTAGTACTAGTAGTAGTAGTAGTAGTAGTAGTAGTAGTAGTAGTAGTAGTAGTCGACTAGTAGTAGTAATAATAGTAGTGGTAGTAGAAGCAGTAGTAGTAGTAGCAGTAGTAGTAGTAGTAGTAGTAGTGATAGTAGTAGTAGTAGTAGTAGTAGTAGTAGTAGTAGTAGTAGTAGTACAGTAGTAGTAGTAGTAGTAGTAGTAGTAGTCGTAGTAGTAGTAGTAGTAGTAGTAGTAGTAGTAGTAGTAGTAGTAGTAGTAGTAGTGGTAGTAATAGTAGTAGTAGTTGTAGTAAGTAGTAGTAGTAGTGTGTAATAATAATAGTAAGTCGTAGTCGTAGTCGTAGTCGTAGTCGTAGTAGTTGTAGTAGTAGTAGTAGTAGTAGTAGTAGTAGTAGTAGTAGTGGTAGTGTAGTGTAGTGGTAGTGGTAGTGGTAGTATAAGTAGTAGAGTAGTAGTAGTAGTAGTAGTAGTAGTAGTAGTAGTAGTAGTAGTAGTAGTAGTAGTAGTAGTAGTAGTAGTAGTAGTAGTAGTAGTAGTAGTAGTAGTAGTAGTCGTAGTAGTAGTAGTAGTAGTAGTAGTAGTAGTAGTAGTAGTAGTAGTAGTAGTAGTAGTAGTAGTAGTAGTAGCAACCAAATTAGTATTTGACCTCCTACCCCTTCTCACGAGCGACGAACGCGCATCAGCGGCCTTGCGATCCCGCGGATACGCGGTCGCACGGGTCCGTCCCGCGCCGAACCTCCGCGGACAAAAACGCTCCGTACCTCCGGGGTCCTGGCCCCGAGGCCCGGCCGGCGAGGCCGCGGATATGGAGGGGAGGAGGAGGAGGAGGAGGAGGAGGAGGAGGAGGAGGAGGAGGAGGAGAACGGGGAGGAGGAGGGGGAGGCCCGCCAGGCCTGCGGACATGAGTTCCGCCTCCTCGCCGACGCAGTGGGGGCGCAGCGGGGGGCCCCAGCGGGGACCCCGCTGGACGCACGGCTGCACGGAGCTCTGGGGCGATCGAGCGGGCCGCTCCCGCTCGATTTACTCCACGGGGTGGGGAGTCGAAGAGCGAAAACTTTTGGCGCCCCGCGCGGATCTCTCGGACCTGCGCTGGAACCCTCCCTGGCGCGCTCCGCGCGCCAGGGGCTGCGCCGGAGGCGCCGCCGGGGGGAGGCCCCAGGCGCGGATCCAAGGAACCCACGCGGAGCGCCAAAACCTATGCTAATTGTTTGTTTTCTTCTTCGAGGAGGGGGCGCGAGTTGAGCAGGGACCGACCGTCGCGGCATTCCTATAGTCCTACCACGAAGTGTTCTTAGAACCCAGGGATTTTCTAAGAACAAAAACAATATTCTTTGAACATAAGCCCGATGTGTTCAAACGAGACAGCCCCAGCCAGAAGTGTTCTAAACACATTTCACAGGAACCGCAAAAGGTTCTTTGGACATTATTTGGTAGGGCTATAGGCGAGCCAGGACGCTTTGTCACTGCTTGAGCAAGGGCCCGCGCCGATCGGCAAAACCGTGAACAAGAAAACGACCACCTGCGCCGGCGCGGACGCTCCTCGGAACGGCGGGCGCCCCAGGCGTACGATATGGAATGGGGGCGTGGCCAGAGGAGCACCGCGAGGACGCGCAGCCGAGATGTCGCTGTCCCCGACCAGGAAGGAGGACTATGCTTAAAGGGTCCCAGGGACGCACAAATAATAAAATAGACACACGTCCCAGGAGTCCACGCAGCTTCGCATACGCTCTAGACCTCCGTCTTCCCGCCCCCACTTCCCATGGTTTTCCCATGCGCGAATACAACTGCGCGGTGGGCCCGAGGGTTTCTGAGCAGCCCCGCCGCCTTTCTGAGCGGGCCCTATCTCGGAGGCCTGGAGGTTGGCACCAACACCAGCACAGGGGGTGACCTCCACGTGGGGAAGATGATCCTAGATCTCGGTGTTGGTGGTCATATTTCGGTCACCTTGGAAGCCAGAAGATTACCCACATCACCGAAATTGGGATCTTCTTCCCTCGGTGGAGGCATACCGCCGATCCTGGTGTTGGTGACAACCTCTGGGCCTGCGACTGTCCTTCTCGCTTCCCCCAGCCGCTCGCGAGGCCGGGGCCCGGCCACCCGGAGCTCACCTCCGCACAACAGCAGCCCCCCCACCTGGGACACCACCGGAGCTCACGAATGTGAGGGGGCCCTGGGACACACAAATAGATACACACAAACAAAAAGATCCCCCCATATTCTCCCATATTTTCGGAGTTTTTGTCTTCCCCCCCACTTCCCATATTTTCCCACATTTTCGGGGGAATCGAGGATGAATTGTGTCTGTGTGTTTTTCCCCTCCTGAGAGTGGCCAAGATAACATCTCCTTCTCGCCCTCACGACAGGCGTCCAAAGGCATTCACACGCCTCCCAAAGAGGTGCGCCCGGACGCCCCAAGTGACCTCCAGTAGCCCTCCCAGGAGAGCCCCAAGAGGCACGATTCATTGTGCTGCGGTGGTGGCGTCTTGGGGGCCGCAGAGAGGCCCCCAGGACGCCCCGAAGAGCGCTCCATAGGGGGCCGGCGGAATGAGCGAGGCGATTAAGTAACATCTCCTTCTCGCCCTCATCTGAATATCGTTTAACCGATCCCCATCCCCAGCAGCGTGGCCCAGGCCCCACTGGCCGCTTTACCCACCTAGATGGGGATACAGTTCGTTTTCTTCGGGTTTCTAGTGGTGTATCCCTAACTGGGGTGGTAATCTAGTGGGGGTCTCGAAGGCGATGGAGATGGGGATGGGGATCGGACAAACGATACCGATCATCCCTCACGGCGTGCGCATCCTCCTCCTGGCCCTCCTAGTCCTCGCAGCGATCACGCCTCCTGCTCGGCCAGTTCGGGATGATGTCCCACCGGATCAGGTTCCACACCTCCCAATCCTGCGCGGAGCAGCATCTCGAGGGAGAGAGGACGGAAGGAGGAAGAGGCGGAGGAGGGAAGGGAAGGAGGAGTGGAGGAGGGGGGAGGAGCGTGGAGGAGCGAGGAGGAGGGAGGCATTAGCAGGAGGAGGGAGGACGATTACGACGAACGAAGATTCCGCTCGAGCGGACTCCGCAGAACCCTCTTGGCACGCCCGCTGCCGCGAGGCTCTCGACATCTGACGCTCCCCAGGAAGGAACAAAACAAAGGCACAGAAATAAATCCTCGGAGATCCGCGCGGAGATGCGAGAATTTCTGTTTACGCAGCTCCTCGCCGAGGGGAAGCCTGCGCGGCGCAGTGGGGGCCCTATCGCACGGATCTCTGGGGCGATCGCGCCCGCCGCCCTGGCTTTGCAGGATCCTGTAAGATCCGGCGCTCTGGCCGACCCGCGTCTGCACAGACCCCGCCTCAAGTCGGGGGTTGCTGGAGGTGCCCCTGTCCCCAGGTGCCCCACTCGCCATCGCTCGGACGTCCACTCCCTGTGTTTTTTTCGGCTTCGTGCGTGGCTTTTTCGCCCCTCGGCGGCAGGTCCAGTCTGCTTGCTCGGCGCGCGCGCCGGCAATCAGGGTGCTCGCGGCCCGTGCTACTCTACTGACGCTGTCGGCGCGCTCGCCTGCAGCTGCGACTCAAAAGTGTCTGTTTCGCCAAATGGTCAAGGATGCTCCTCGATGGTCCCCCCGCCGAAGGAAAAATGCACACGTCCGAGCGATGCCAGGCCCGAGCTTTTCGCTCTATCTTGGATTCCCTCGGGCTCCGTGGGCCTCGTGGGGGGGTGCTCTGGAGGCCGTGAGGGCCGCCCTGGAGATCCTGGGGGCACCGTGGGCCGGGGGGCACTCCGGACAGAAACAACAACATATTGCACGAATTGAGGGCGGCTCCTCGTCGAAACGTGGCTCTCGCCTCGGCGCCGCGCAGATTCGTTTTCAGCATCTCCGAGAATTTTTCACGGATTCTCATGATCAGCATCGCGGAGATGGTGTTTTCGTAGGGTTCAGGAGAATGAGGGTACAGCAGTTACGCCAATTCGCGGTGTTGCAGTCCCAGGAATGGCGTTCTGGCACGATTCAGGATCGTCAAGACGTCCCAAGGGGCAAGCTTTAAGTCGGGCGTGTCCCCCTACAGGCCGATTTTAGGCGAAAAATGAAACATACAAGAAAATACCTGCCAAAAGCTAAAAAATTGTAAAACAATCGTCCCTGGACTATTTTTTCCTATTTTTGAATATTCCCCATGTCAAGGGACATGCCCGACTCAAGGCAAGCTCACTGCCTGCGCTGGCTCGGCCGCGTCGGAGAGGCGTGCGCCCAAGAAGCCACCGCGGAGAACAGTTCTGAAGGGGCCCTGGGACACACAAATAAATGCACACACATCACAGGATTCCCCATATGGTCCTATATTTTCTGGCTTTTCGTCTTCCCCCCCACTTCCCATATTTTCCCATATTCTCCTCGGGAATCGACGATATATTATATCGATTTATCGACGAATTTCAGGAGGGGAGGGGGGAGGGAGAGGGGGGGGAGAGGAAGGAGGTGACAGGGCAGTGGGGAAGGGAAGGGAGGAAAGGGGGGGAGAAGGGAGGGGGCGGCCGTGGCGGCGCAACGGCGTCGGGCCGAAGACCGAAGTAATCGAGCACAAACAAACACCGATACAACTAATAGACGTGCGGCCAACCGTGCATGTCTGACGACGTCGGGATGGAAGGGAAGGTGGCCCCACAGCGGGAGCCCCAATGAACCTTGCTCCACCCCGATTGCAAGTTAGATGCCGAAACAAACAGGGCACGATGGCCGCATTGGACCAGACCCAGAAGGGCCAGGTCCACTAAGGACCGGCCGCATCATCACTTGCACGAGGTCTTCGACACCGTACTGAGGAGGGTAGCGGAAGACGGACGAGGGCGAGGAGGGAGGAACAGAGGCAGCAACAGACCAAGCCTCGTCGAGCACGAGCCTCACGATGTGGTCACGACGCTCGTGTGGAGAACGATGCGCTCCACTCCCATCGCCACTCTCAAGATCCACTGCACGACCACGACTTGAAGTATCCACGCCATGATTGGAAGTGACCCCCCCTCTCTGGAACACGATCCACCGCAGTCCCACAACTGGAAGTGCCCACCCCATGGTTGGAAATACTCATCTCATCCCACTCTCTGTAGCCTGTTTTTTTTCATTTTCTGGGATAACGGCCGTCATCGGCCCTGCCCCCCCCCTTTGAGATGACGTCACGCTTCCACCTCAGAGTCTGCGTACACCGCAACAGCCGTGTGCACCGCAGCGCCTGTGTACACCACAGCGCTCGCGTGCACCACAGCGCCCGTGTACACCACAGCGAATGTGTACACCGCAGCAACCATGTGCAACACAGCGCTTGTGTGTGCACACCACAACGCCTGTACACCGCAGGATCCGCGTGAAACGCAGCGCTGTACACCACGCTGCCTGCGTGCACAGGACAGGTAGAAGGATCATGTCGGTGAGGATCTGCAGCGAGCAACTACGCCCAACGCCAAGGAAGTGCGAATAATGGAATGCGATGTGCTTCCCTCTTCCCTCCTCCTCCATCTTCGTATCCTCCTCTTCCTCCTTTTCCACCTCCTCTTTTTCTTCCGTTTCCTCATCCTCATCCCCTCCTCTTCCTCCTCCTTATTCATCCTTCCGTCCATCGTGCAGGCCGGCGCTACACAACACGACCACATCTCGGTGTGCACCGCAGAATGGTCTATTGAACCTGTCCACTTGGTTCTCGGACGGCCAATCCTGCGAGAGCATTCTGGACGCGGATGGGAAGAGTTAAATTGATGCGGGACGACTCGGGAGGACTGACTCGTAGATTCCAGCGGCTCTCCTTTTTCAATACGGATTCCTTTCCACATCCTACATGAAAACAATGGTTTGCTATGGAAACTTCAGGCGCTCCATTTTGTCACAAGGATTCGTCCAACATTTGATATACAATATTGGCGCTCTGCTGCACACGGCTGCTGTGGTGCACATTGGCGCCATGGTGTACACAGGCGCTGTGGTGCACGCGGGCACTGCGGTGTACACTGGTGCTGTGTTGCGCACGAGTTATGTGGTGTACGCAGGCGCTGTGGTGTACACAAGCGCTGTGGTGCACGCAGGCACTGTGGCACACACACACACACACACACACACTGGCGCTGTGTTGCACGCGGCTGCTGAGGTGTATATTTGCGGTGTGGTGTACAAATATACACAGGCGCTGTGGTGCACGCGGGCACCGTGGTTTACACTCGCGCTGTGGTGCATATCGCCACCTACACGCTGCTGCTACCAGCCCTCGGTCATTTTTAAGCATTTCCAAAACGCCGCCGGCGCGGCGAAGCGTGACGTCATCGCCCCTCCCCCCAGATGACGGCGATTTTCTTACTTATTAATTTTACTCAAAACAAGCTACTAGAACATGATTTACCTCACTCCCACGGCTGGAAGTACCCACCTCAAGGTTGGAAATAATCACCGCAAGGCCACTCGCGACATTAAGGACACGATCCAACTCGCTCCCACGAGCGAGGTCACAAAAAAATAATTCCGGTAACATACGCGAACAAGACGGCGCAGCCAAGGAATACGGAACACATGTGTCCACTCGGCAACAATTTGTCCACACTTAATTGAGCAACGGCACCCGTCCGAGGGCAACGTGTGGAGGCCGATCTCGAGCCGGTTTAGAATTCGAATCTCTTACAACAGGCCGTGCTCGAACTCGTCGGTCGCCAGCTGCATCGCCAGATTCACGTTCGACCGAAGCGCCCCTGGAGGACAGGATCGGCGAACGCCGCGGCGAGCCTGGCCTGGCCGTCCTTGCATGCCGAGCTGACGCGGGAGCCTTTTCACCGGCAGCGCCAATTCCGAGGCGTCCTATATCTCATCCGGTCGCGCCTTCTGCTCCCTCTTTGTCTTGTTGCGACCCCCAGTCGGTCGCCTTCCGTCGAGATCTGGCTGCGCACTACCAATGAGACCTGCACGCAAGCGGGGCCGGGGGCAGCTTCTGGCGCCCGATTGGTTGCCTGCTGGGCCCTCCGCGCGTTCGTCTCTGAGCCTGGCTGCCTCCGTCGCGCATGCCCTCCCGCCAGAAAAGCTGTCGCAGTCTTTGTCAAGCTGTCGTCGGCCACGAAGGTCTGCCACCCCGCGGACTCCGGACGTCAACATTCGAAGCAGGATGTCACCTGGAACCGCTCCCATCACCACGGGGAACAGCCACGCCGTCATCTCAGCGCCCATATTCGAGAGACGCTGCAGGGCGCCGGGAGGAAGACCGCGCAACCTTCCTATCTCCATTCGGGCGTTGGCAGAACTGGGTTGAGTGGAACCTGGTTTAGTGATCTGTACTGGGGGACGCCCCCCCGCCCCGTTCCACTAACCGGAACTGCCGTCACCCGAAAAAACACCAGTTGCGGCAGACCTGGTTTAGAGATCCTGGCCGATTCAAGGGCTCCGGGGCCCTACCACTAACCGCGCCCCCCTACCTGGGGTCCTGGTTTATACCCGATCCATGGCCTGATCCAGGAGCCGACGTCGCGCGTCAGGCGCGGCTGGCTGGGCGCCCCCCGCGGACGCCGCCGCGGCCCCCGCGTGCCGAGGCGCCTGGCCTTGGCGCCCAGCGCAAGCCCCGCGCCAGCGGGGCACGGCCGCTGACGTTGAAGGGGCCCTGGGACACACAAATAAATACAGACAAATAAGAGGATTCCCAATATTTTCCCATGTTTTCTGGGCTTCTGTCTTCCCCCCCCCACTTCCCATATTTTCCCACATGTTCCGGGGGATCGAGGATGAATTGTGTCTGTGATTTTTTCCTCCTGAGACGTATTCGCCGTGCTCTCCTCGCGCGTTCGAGCGAGATCGCTTTCTCCCGCGGCCTCCGCTTGTTCTTGGCGCAGTCAGCGCGCGCGGCAGCGCCAGCGCGGACGCGCGGGGCGCCGCGCGTCGGCGGAGAAGATATCGCGAGAGGCGGCAGGTTTATTATCCTCTGAGCAGCAATACAGTCGAGGCGTTGACCTAAGGAACCCCAAGTAGGGAACGAGGCCCCCTCTTTCTTATAAGTTAACCTTCGACTTCCCATCGAAAACTTGAGGAACACCTTGGGCAAAGTGTGGAACAATTAAGGAACACCGAGCCCCTCCCCAACCAACAGGGTTCCTTCTTCAGCGCCCCGACTGTAGGCTGCAGTGTAGCTTCAGCGCGGTTATGCAGAATGATGGACGAAATGGACGAAAAGGGGCACATGAGCTCATCCGTCTGTAGCACTAGGTGATTCGATGTCGGCGCCGAAATAACGCTTGGAGAATGCGTTATTGCGCTATTCTGAAGGCCCTGAAAGACTGGCTGCGCTGGATGCGCCGAATCGTCATCGTGATCGAGCGCGCGACCGATGCGAGCGACCTCCAGCCGCCGGGGGGCCCTGGCGGGTCAGCGAGGCTCTGCGCGTCCGAAACTCCGCCCAACAAACCTTGCCCGTCGACTCCTTGATTCCGCACTTCCAGGTCGCGGGGGCAGGTGGCGGCGGTGCCATCTCGTTTCCACGTCGCGCCGGAACCGCGCTGACACCCAACTGGGGAGGTATCGCAGCGGCCATGGCAGCTGCTCGAAGGAGACCATGGCCGCCCCGCAAGAAACGGCCCCACGCCCCGGGGCCCGCGAGCGGCGCGCGGATTCCGAATGCCGCGACTGAGCGGCTCGGGGGCTGTGGAGCCGAAGACTGGAAGACCCTGCCCGAAGTCCCTCTCCCCAGCACTGGTCAACAAACTGCTCGCATCCACTGCAGGCCGTCGCGCATGAGGATTCGACTATGCCGTGGCCAGGAGAGGAGAGCGCCCGACTGGTTGCTGGCCAGACACTGCGCCTATCTTCTGAACGTGCCTGGAAATTGCGACGCCACCGATGATGCGCGCGAAACCGCCGCGCTCGCCATTCCACGCCGCGAACAGCCTGCGCCCACCCGTCTCGAAACCACAGCCACGGCGTCGGAGACTGCGCGACAGGTGCACGTGGTTGCCCCATCCTCGTCTGGCTCGGGGCCCCCGTTCTCGCCGATGACTTCAATTGCCTCGCAGGCGCCCCCGCCCGACAGCTTCCGAGCAACGCCAACTAGAATTCCATCCAACTGCTTCTCCTGGGCGGGGCAACGATGAGGGTCGCCAGGCCTGGGAGGATTGCCGCCCTGCACCGTGGCGCCGAAAACCGTTCTCGACGACCTCCAACCCTTCTGGGGTGCCAGCACCTGCCCGCGGGGCAGAAAGCCCGTCGACACGCCAGCGTGCGCCGAGGGGGTTCGCCCTGAGCCCCGCCATCGCCAGCGCTTCGAGCCCCAGGGGAGCGTCGACAAACTGCGCTCGGCCAGTCACAAAAGCAGGCGCTCCAGACGGCACCGACGAGCATCCGTGGACCCCGGGCCCGCGCAGGAGGGGGGCCACGCGACTTCCATCGGCACTTTCTGATCGCGTCCGTCACCCAAAGATTCGCGAAGGCGCTGATGAGTAACGCCGCGGGCGCACTGAACGTTCGCTGCGGGCGACACCACGCGGGTCTCACTGGCATCATCCGCGTAATTTGGACGCGGCGGCAATGCAAGTCTCTGCGCGAGTGGCGCCTACGCCGGGCACGCATCCTCAATCGGCCAAACGCGCGCATCGACAACGTCTGGACGAGCGCGAGGACCGCGAAGACGGGGCACACATTCGTCATGTGTCGTAGAAGGACGAGGACGCCAGAAACCACGCCGCACGCGCGGGCGAAGGTAGCCCAGCCACTTCGGCATCTGCCGCCGCACCTGCTCCTAGGAGCGTGCCCCCCCAACTGCTGTCTGAATCGTGACACTGCTGGTCCCGCGGCGTCGATAAAGGAAAGATCTGGTAGACGACGCTGCGGACTGAATGACGGTCTGCCGAAGTTCCTCGGCGATCGCACGCCCGAAGGCGTTGGGCGCGCCCTCCTTCGGGGTGGCCGATGAAGCCCCGCGGGCCCTCCATCTCCAGAGCGGCGCCGCCTGGCGCGCCAAGGCCCCTTCAAGATTTCGCCGAGGAAGGCGCCCGCGATATATGGGGCCGCATCAGGAGGCCCTCCGACGAAGTGGGCCTCATGCTAAGCCATTCCCATTCTGCGTGGCCCGTGGATGCGCCCTCTTGCGCTGAACCCCTCTTTCCCGTTCTGCTGGCAGAGACCGGTCGCCCCGGTACGATGCCAGGCCGCAAGAATATGCACTGCCCTGCGCGTGCGATGGATGACCCGAGGGAAACACTTGAGGGAGACATTGCGGGAATGCGTCCCTGACCCCGCCCCAAGACCCCGCCTGTCACCCCCATGCTCGATGCCGCGGGACAAGATCGCGGACATCAGTCCGGGGCCCCGGAGTGCCTTAGGGATACTCATCCTCATCGCCAGCTCGCCGCCGACGTCGTCGCCAATGGGGCCCGTCAAAAAGCCTCGCGGGGTCTGCTACTAGTTGCAGAAACGGAAAAAGTGAACACTATGAAGAACCACCGCTCTGCTTCTGGGGGCCTTGGCTAAGAGCTCACGCGCGCGCCTCAGATCCTCGCGCCCTGCACTTACTGCTGGAGAATTGCCGGATCCATATGGCAGGGGGGGGGGGTCGGGGAGGCAATGCGCTGATGCTGGAAGGCCGGATAATCAGTCGGCAACCCCTAGCAACCACAGCTGGGGGCCGTTTCTCGAGCGGAGGGCGCAGACCTCCGATGATCGTGGCACGCATTCGACCGCTGTGCTGTATCCCCTCCTGCGCGGTCCCTTGCGCTGGCCAGCTAGTCGATGGCCTACCCTCCATGCCCCGCCACGCCATCGTGGCTGCCGCGCCCACGGGACCTCCGTGAGCTTGCCGTCGCTCGGACGCCCATTTCCCGTGCACTGTTCGGTTTCGCGCGCGTCTTGTTTGCTCGATGGTCCTAGCGTCCGAGAAAAAATGGTCCTCGATGCTTCTCGCCGAGAAAGAGTGCACGCGTCCGAGCGATGCCAGGTGAGGAGCTGCGCCGTGGTCACCCCTTGCTGGCCCCGTCGGAGGTAGCGAAAATTCTTCTTCGCGCAGCGGGCTACCGAAATCGCAGGCGCCGTATGTATCGTCGGCGCCCGGCACTCCGCCGATGCCGGCGGGGGGCGGGCGGCCGTGCACGTTCTTCAACGCACTGGGCAGCCCGATGGTCGGTCGTCGCCTTCCTGCCGAAGTGCCTCTCGGCCGTCGCACGCACCGCTGACCATCGCTCGGACGTCCATTCCCTGTGCTTTCGTTCGGTTTCGGGCGTGGCTTTTTCGCAGGATGATCCAGGATGCTCCTCGATAGATGCCCGCCGAGAAAAAGTGCACACGTCCGAGCGAGACCGAGACCGTGGCGAACCAATCCTGGCAAGCCTCGTTTCGAGCATGGCCGTGCAGAGCTGCGTCGTGAAAGCCGGGCGCGCGCTCAAAAGAACCCTCTGGGTGCGACGCCCACCGAACATCTCACGCTGCGAGGAGGAGGAGGAGGAGGAGGAGGAGGAGGAGGAGGAGGAGGAGGAGGAGGAGGAGGAGAGGAGGAGGGGGGAGAGGAGGAGGAGGAGAGGAGGAGGAGGAGGAGGAGGAGGAGGAGGAGGAGGGAGGAGGAGGAGGAGGAGGAGGAGGAGGAGGAGGAGGAGGAGGAGGAGGAGGACGAGAGGAGAGGAGGAGGAGGAGGAGGAGGAGGAGGAGGACGTCCGTAGCCATTTTGGCTCAAGCCATTTTGGCTCAAGTCCGTAGCGTGGCTCAGGGGCCAGCAGCGGGCAATAGTTTTTTTTGGCACAGGGGAATCAGCGGCCCCTACCGTCTTCTAAGCTGTCAGATATTGCACTTGGGGTACTCCCGTCTTGTACGTCTGCACATCTGCTTTCACTTTCCACGGCGCGTCGATGGCAAATGACGGAGCGTACGCCAATTTTGAGACGTGGCAGTGCGGCCACAAGAAATGCGGGTATCGCTTCAACTTCATGTCTCGCTCTCGCTGCCGAGTGTGCGGCCGCTCGGCCCCCAGCGTACCTTCACCACCGTCGGCGGCGAGGCAACTTGGGGCGTGGGTCAATGGGCCGCCGTCCAAGGGCGCTGGCCGCGGGGCAGGGGGCTCAAGCAAGGCAAGCGGTGGTGGCGGCAAAGGTCAAGGGTCGCAGCTCAACTACCTTGATCCGTCCTCCATTGAGATCTATGCCAAGCTCGACCAGAAAGACTTCGAGGCTCTCTCTGCTGAATGGGCGCCCAAGCTGGTGGCCAAGGTCGTCGCCCATCGCTCCCTCCTCGCAGGCGAGCCGCAGGCGGAGGCCAAGTCAGCACGCATCGAGCAGGACGTGCTGGCGGCCAAGCGGGACAAGGCGCAGCGTGCCTTTGACAAGGCGCAGGAGGCAGCTGCCAAGGCCATCGCCACCGCTGCGCAAGCCAAGCAGGACTTGGATGAGGCCACGGCCAAGTGCGCCGATGCGGCTGCGCGCGCGGCCAAGGCCTTCGCCGAGATGGCTGCGCCAGCAGCCGACGACCCTGTCAAGCAGCTCACCGCCCTCGCGTCAGGGTTCGAGGCCAACGAGAAGCTCAAGCAGGTGGGGACGCAGCTGGCTGCCCTCATCCCTTCTCTTCAGGCTCTTGTTGTACCTGAGCCTGATGATGATGCCGTGGCAGGGGGAGGCGCGCGAGGTGGCGGTCCAACCGCAGGCGATGGTGCAGCCGCTGCTGCCGACAGCGCACGCGCCTCGGCTGCCGCCGCTGCTGAGTCTGCCCGCCAGGAAGCCGAGCGGGCCGCGGCCGAGGCCCAGGCCAAGGCAGAGGCCGCAGCCCAGCAGAGTCGCGAGGAGCAGTCCTACCAGCAGCTTCTCACCTGGATCCAGGAGTACCAGCGTCAGGACAGCAACAGCGACGAGGGCTCCTTCACCGAGGCTCTGGCCACCACCCATGGAGTCAAGCACGAGTTGGCGTAGGGCATTTTCGACTCGCTGCTTGAGACTGCCAGGAAGAAGGCCGGGCATGAGGATCAGGAGCAGCTTTAGCCAGTGGACCTTTGTCACCTCCAACGTGTCTGGTGTCAGCGGTCTCGAAGCTGTTCTCAGCCACGCTCGAGTACACCGGACTCACTTCTATAGCGCTCACTTCTATAGTGCTCACTTTGAAATTGTGGTCCAGAAGGGGCCGCACATGCAGGCACATGCCGCACAGTCGCATGCACATGTCCATGCAAATATGCAAAAGCCTCAACAGCATTGCCGCACATGCGCGCACATGCCACACCGTCCGACGCAGTCGAATGCACGGTCAAGCAAAACTCTGAAAGCATGGACGCACATGCCCGCACATGCCGCAGAGATGTCGCAGGCGATAGTGCCATGACCACCTGAGCTCGGGGCATTTCGCAACCCAGATTTGCGAGGATGTCTCAGGCAAGCGTGGCCGGACCACCATGGGGCAGGGCATCTCGGAACCCAGAGTTGAGAGGGTCTCAGGCGAAAAAGGCCGAGACACTATGGAGCAGGGCATCATTGAGGTCAGAGTTGCGAGGATGTCTCAGGCGAAAATGGCCTGAACACCTCAACTCAGGGCATCTCGGGCGAGGATGTCTAAAGCGAAAGCGGTCTAACCACCTCAGCTCAGGGCGTCTCGGAACCCAGAGTTCCGAGGATGTCTCAGGCGAAAGGGGCCGAGACACTATCGAGCAGGGCATCATTGAGATCAGGGTTGCGAGGATGTCTCAGGCGACAGTGGCTGACCACCTCAGCTCGGGGCATATCGGAATCGAGACTTGCGAGGATGTCTCAGGCGACAGTGGCCTGACCAGCATGGGGCAGGAGATCTCTGAGGTCAGAGTTGCGAGGATGTCTCAGGCGAAAGTGGTCTAACCACCTCAGCTCAGGGCGTCTCGAAACCCAGAGTTCCGAGGATGTCTCAAGCGAAAGTGGCTGGGCCACCATGGGGCAGGGCATCTCCGAGACCAGAGGTTGCGAGGATGTCTCAGGCGAAGGTGGCCAGATCACCTCATGTCAAAGCATGTCGGCCTCCAAATTGCCGACGACGTCTCACGCGGAACCGGCCGGACGCGAACGCGCCGGCGCCCGGAGACGAACGCCGGCCCCGGCATTCTTGCACGTCCCGCACATGCGCCGCACAGGTACGCACAGTATTCGCACAGGCCGAGCTCGCCAGTGGCCGAGCCAGGCTAGCGATTCCGAGATTCCCTGAGCTCGGGCCGTCAAGCCACTTTCGCCTGAGACATCCTCGCAACTCTCACCTCCTCCTCCTCGTCCTCCTCCTCCTCCTCCTCCTCCTTCCTCCTCCTCTTCCTCCTTCTCTTCTGGCCGAGCCGAACAGGCGGGCGGGCCGGCCGAGCCGGGGGCGTCCGCCTCCTCGGCCCCCCCTCCTTCCCCTCCCCCTCCACCCCCCCCCCCCACCCCTGCTTTTCCGGCCGAGCTGAGAAGGCGCGCGGGAGAATGTTTTACTAGGAGGGCACGCCACCGCCAGCTCACGAACCGGGCGAAGAACCGCCCCCGCCAGCAGCGGGCGAGTCTAAACGCACAACAAACTCTTTCAGGGGCCAGGAGGCATTGGAGGCACAGGGGTCCCAGACAGCTCCTAGGGCATGATCGTGCATGTGCATTGGGATGTGCACGCATGTGCGCCCACGCGCTTCACCGCATGTGCGAGCATGTGCGGGCCCGCGCGGCCTCCCGAAGAGAGGTTGCACAGGCATGTGCGTGCATGTGCCGATGACAGATCTGCGATTCTCGAACACCTCCCGCATGTGCAAGCATGTGCGCGCATGTGCGTCGGACTGTGCGTGCATGTGCGTATGATGGATACATCAAAACACAGCGCACATGCCCCCGCACATGCCCGGGCACGACGTGCACAGTAGGAAGTCCATCCAAGAAGGGCCGCACAGGCCTGGCACATGACTGGCACATGCCGCGCACATGACAGCGCAAAAACGGCCGCACATACACCCACCCAGGGGTATAGATGTGAGTGCGGTGTACGTCAGTGTCACGCCCTTGCAGTCCAAGAGCATCATGCGTTGGCTTCTCCGTGCGACAACTGGGAGGATAAGCTGAGGAAGCGCGGATGGAAAGCAGTGATGACGGCTGCTTCTCCCACTCGCGCTGGCGGCACAGCTGGCGGTCTTCTGCAGCGCGGGCCACAGGCCGCGGGCCTGTCCGAGATGGAGTGCATTCCGTCCACGTTGGCTGATGGACGCGCTCGGGTTTTGCATTGTGCTGGTGTGACACCTAGTGGTTTTCTCTGGACCACGGCATACCTCCACCACTCTGAAGGCCTGTCTTCACGCAGTTGGTCTATTCTGCCCCAGATCGGCGAAGTGGTCAAGATCGCCGGCTTACCTTTCGTGATCGCGGGTGACTTCCAGATGCTGCCAACCGAGTTGCAGGGTAGTGAGTGGATCAGCACGCTCGACGGCGTCTGCGTTTTTCCTGCCTGCGCCACGTGCACAAACTCAAGTGCGTCTGCAGGTCGAGTTATAGACTTCTTCATCGTTTCTGGGGTCATCGCACATGGGGCCAAGATTGAAGTCATCATGGACGGCGGCACCACACCACATTTCCCAGTGTTGATGACGTTGCCAGGAGCGTCCAAGGCCATGATGCAGCACCAGATTGTACAGCTCCCCAAACGTTTCCCTGCAGATCTGCCTGTCACATGCCGTCGAGCCGATCCTCAGCCCAGGTGGGTGCGAGCGTCGCAGCAGATGAAGGAGCTCAGCATTGACCAGCAGTGGCAGCTGCGGGTCACCAATGCGGAGCTCGACTTGGCGGACTTGCACGACATAGATCCCGCAGGTCAGCCTGAGTACTTCGGCCGCGCTCAGCCTTTGCGTTTCTCATATAAGCCACCACCCTGTCCTCAGGCGTTGGCTTTCCCCATTTTGAGTCCAGTTGCCCTCTGGTGGCGCCTGCTTGCCCGCTGCTTTGAAGGGCTAGCGAAGTGGTAGCCGCCGTATTTGCGAGACGGCACCGTCAAACTCAGCCGCTATGCCCAAGCTCGGCTTAAGGTTCGTGGTGTTCCTGCTTGTGATGCCGAGCCTCGGACACAGCTTCTGCAACTACATTTCTGGCTGCCCTATTCGCTCGCCGCTGCAGCTGCGCGGGTCACTAAAGCCCGTGCTCTAGTCATCTTTCGCAGAGCCGAGAAAGATAAGCAAGCGGGGTGGCGCGAGTGGGTCAGACGGCGCAGCATGGACGGCGCCGCTGCCCTCTACGCGCACTCTAGGCCAGCCACACCATGGCACTCCAGTAAGATTAGCGCCACTAGGGCGCCTTGCACGCTTCAGGAGGAGGTGGATTGCTTACGGCTGAGTGGTCTGAGTGGTGGAGGGTTGGAAGCCTCGATGGCCACATCCAGTGGCCAGCGGATCTTGGTCCTGCTTACGAGCGTCCGACGCCCGAAGCTTTTAAGAAGTGCATTCGAAGCTTGCCCAAGAGGTCGGGATGTGGTTTTGATCAGCTTTGCCCGCGGCAACTTCTGGGGCTGTCGGATCCCGCTTTAGAATCGCTCCTCGCCGTTTTAGTTGAGGTCGAAACGGCCGCTGCGTGGCCACGCATCTGGACCAAAGTGGTCTTTCTGGCCAAACGCAATGGAGGGCTTCGACCCATCGCGTTAATTCACATTCTTGCTCGCGTCCAGGGCCGTCTCAGGAAGCCGCTCGTCGCACGTTGGCAATCGCAGCATCCGAGGCCCTACTGGTGGTCAACAGCAGGCCGATCCAGTGACAAGCTCGTTTGGATCCAGTCAGGATCAGCGAAATGGGGTCTGGCCGAAGGCTTTGCCAATGCTCTGGTGCTGCTTGATTTACAGAAAGCTTTTGAGCACATCCGACATGATATGCTGGTTTCGGCTGCGGTGCGATCGGGTTTTCCTATCCGCCAGCTGAAGCTTCTCGTCGAACTCTATCGGTGTCCCAGGGCCCTCTCTCTGAACGATGCCGTCTCCAGTCCCATCGAGACCCTCCAGGCGGCCCTGCCTGGGAGTCATTTGGCAACGTTGATGCTGCAGCTGCTTCTTTTGCTGCCGCTCGATGCTGTGCGCGCAGGCTTTCCGCGCGTGCATCTTGGCAATGTCGTATACGATTTTGGCTTACAGAGGCTAGGTCGCGAGTCAGATGTCGCTAACGAGCTCGTCGGTGCTACTAGTTTGCTGCGTCGCGGGTTGAAGAAAGTGCACTTGCCTGTTGCCCTGAAGAAATCGCGAGCTGTTGCAGCGTCCCCCACGCTGCGCCGATGTCTAGAGCAGCGACTTAGGCAGCTCAAGGCCAAGTCGACTCGCACCGAGCGTAACCTTGGCATTGATGTTGCTGCAGGCCGTGTATACAAGCAGTTCACATGTGCGAGCAGAAGGAAGCCAGCTCGCGCACGTGCTCGTACATTACTTACTTACTCTGGGCTTGTCAAGCAGAAGCGCACGCACACCATGGTGCAGGGTACGGTGATTGCGTCTTTCAAGTGCGGCTGCAAGGTGCCCGGCACAACGGGCGCCGACCTTCGGCAGGCACGCTTGCTGCAATCGCATGTGCAGGCGCACAGTCTCGCTGGCAAGTCGATCAGCCTCATGCTCATGCTTGCTGATTCGCCACGCAATGATCCTGCCCACTCCCTCAACCGCGATCCTCTACGTGCTCTCGCCACGGCTGCGTGGGAGCAGTGGCTGCCGCGCAAGATGCTAGAGCGAGGGTTGATGGGAGGCGGTGGAGCGGTTTAGGGGGCACGGGAGCCCTTGGGCTAGCATCCGCGGGCCCTTCTTTGCGTGCGCTGCCACAGCCCTCAAGCTCGGGGTCAGTTTTGACGGTTTCTCTTGGTCCCGCCCTGATTTAGGCTGCGTTGATGTCTCCGAGATTGGTCCTCGAACGGTATCCCTCTGGCTCGAAGCTGCGGTGGAACGGTGGCTGCGGCGAAAGGTCACCGATCGTGAAAGCGTGCCAGAGCTTCAGCAGGGGTGCAATCTAGAGCCACTTCGAAGCCTCCTCAGATCTAGGAAGCTCCTTCCTACCGAGCGGGGCTATCAAAAATTTGTCTCTTGTGGGGGACAATGGCCTCAGAAGAGGCAGCGGGCGGCCAAACTCACCCGAGACCCCCTCTGCCAGCTGTGCCCAGGGTCCCCAGGCACCCTTCTGCATCGTCACGGCTCCTGCGGCGGAATCCATGAGGTGCTGTCTGATGTTTCACCGCCAGAGTTTGCTGAGAAGCTTGTGAAGTCGTGCACTCAAACGCTTTCCCTTCTCTTCGCTGAGAGGTTGCTTGTGACCGAAGCTGTGCTTCCTCCCTCCCTCGACCTCCCTGATCAATGGTTCTCGGGAGGGCCCGCGGCCATGTCAGGGCATGTCTTTTTAGACGGCAGTTGGTTCGATCAACACCTTCCTCAGCACGCCCAAGTAGCGGCGTTTGCCCTCGTTGCTCTACAGCCAACTTATCCGTTTCGAGTGCTATCCGTCATGTGTGGGCTCGCCAAGCACGTGCGCGTGGACATTGTCTATGCTGAGTTGCATGCGTTTCTGCGCGCTCTGCAGCACTGCGCGCCTGGCACGATCATGTATACGGACTCGTCTCTTGTGCACGACGGTGTGTATGTGTGTGGTCAGCTGTTTTGTTGTTCGGCACGTTCCGCCTGGTCTGAGTTGTGGATTCACGTTTGGGATCGCGTCGAAGACGGGGGCGGAGTCGATATGATCGACCTTCGCGAAGTCAAGGGTCATTGCACAGAGGCGCGTGTGCAGCAAGGCCTGTCCACGCGTCTGGAGAAAGAAGGCAACGGTCATGCTGACGATTGGGCACGGTGGATGGCCCAGCGTGCGAGGATCCCCGAGAGCCTTCGCGAGGCTCGCCAAGCCAAGGCCCATGTCCTCAAGCAGTGGGCTTGGTGGGTTGCCTCTGTTGGGCCTCGCATGTGCGTTTTAGATGTTAGACTGTATGCGCCTTCCCGCCAGGCAGCGCAGCAGTGCCAACACGAAGCCCCATGTGCCGAGCATAGCTATTGCGCCGCCACCGCCAGTCGTGCCCCGAGCCGTCTCGCAGGCAGATCTCGCGCAAGTGCGCGTAGCTCTCGCAGGAGGACGGGAGCACATCATGCACCCGTTCCAGGTCGGGGGAGTGGGCGAGCGTGTGTGGTGTGTTGTGTGTTGCGTGTGGGGGAAGGGGGGCGTCCAAATGTCTGCTGACCTGTCGGCCGCTTGCCCAGGTCCGCCACCTCCCGCCTCGTGGGGAGCTCGTGTGCTCGCGAATCTTGCGCGCGAGCCCGCGCGCTTCTCTATCAACAAGAAGTGGTGGTTTCTCATCCAGCCCTTCAAGACGGGCCAGCTGGTTCGTGCGGGCCTCGGAGCCTCTTCGTCCTCCGCTAGGAGCGACCAGAAAGGCTAACTCGTTTAGCTTTTCTTTGTCCGCGGGGCGTGGCTAAGGGCGGTTGCAAGGTGCGCCCTTAACCACGCGGTTCGGCTTCGGCTCGGCCGTGGCGTCTGTGGTATCGGCACCACACGCCCGAGCCTCGGCGGCGGACACTCGTGTTCGCCCTTCGGTCTGCGCCGAGGAGGAGGAGGAGGACGGCTGCGACGCCCACGCCTCGCCGACCAGAGCCTGTGCCAGATCGTCGCAGTCCCGGCGCACAACCTCCTGGCCGCGACCCGCCGACGTCCCCCGAAGCCGCACGAGCTCCCCCGAGCAGCAGCGGAGCATGATCCTGCAAGCCGCGCGCTTGCCAACCAGAGCGATACGAAGATGAGACCGCCGAGCTCGGGAGCGGCCAAGAGGGGGGTGTCCAAGAGGGGGGGTGCAGATCATGACCGGCGGCATGTGCGCGGCCCAGCGGGGGAGCCAGGGACGTAATGAAATGAGAAGAAGCGCCATGAAATCTGGGGAGATATCATGGCCCCCGCCATGATATCCACCCCCCCCTAGTCATCAGCACCGTCTTTTCCGCCCCCGACGAGTACCGGAGCACGTGACCGCGCAGCTGTGCTCTGCCACGCGAAGGCCGCGACGCAGTGCGTCACGCTGCAGCGGGCGTGCCCGCAGCGCGCCGCCTGCGCGGGCATATGCCGCGCAGACCACTCTGAGAGCGGCTTCTTGATTCGGCTTTGTGACATTTGGCGGAATGGGGGGGGAGGGGGGGGGATCTTGCTCCGGACCTCTGCTTGATGCGACTGTTCGAAACAGTACGGCGTATGGAGGAGACGCCACCAGCCCCCAAAACAGCCAAGATCTACTCCATGGTGGGAGGGAGGGGGGGTGCGAGGGCCTGCGCCGATCGGCAAAACAAGGAGCACGAAAAACGATTACACCACGATCACCAACGTATCTCTGTTTTCCACGACCGCGCAGTCTAATGAATACCTGGCGAGTCGATTGCGATGAAAATGTTTGCAGGTTGCCGGCGTTCACTGCACGAATGAATGAGCGAGCACGGTCGCATCGAATCTACAGCTGCACGACATCGCGGGAAGAGAGCCTCATTAGTATATTCGCGGCCTTCGCGTCGCTGCAAAGGTCTGGAGAGAAAAGAAGCACTGTGAATCAGCAGGTCGAACCGCCCCGACCGAGCCTGGTGGAGCGCATCATGTCCCCGCAGCTGCCGAGGCAATTGCTGGAGGGAAGGAGTCAACACGATGCTTCCTTCGAAAGCTTTGCACTCTTGACTAGCAGGGTCGTGTCGCACGTGTTGTTCGCATGCCGGTCGAAAGGCAAAATGATGTCGGAGGACTGCCCCAGCAGACAGCTCATGGCGACCTCTTCGACCCGTCGACGTCAACACCGCGATGCCAGATAATCTTCTGGCGTCTTCCGGGATGTCCTGAAGCCGCAGTTCGTCTGAACGAGCCGTGCAGTTCCAGCGGATGAATGAAATCATCTGGAGGTGCGCCCAAGTGACCGTGGAGCCATCCTGCCCAATGCGGGGTGCAGTGTCGGATATGCAGCTCGCTCCGACCCCATGTGCGTGATGGCCTGAGCAGTGGGGGCAGGAAGGGGGGGGGAGGAGGAGGACGAGGAGGAGGAAGAGGACGGTGGAGCGAGGGGCGCGAGGCGCGTCAGGCTTGCGCTCGCGCGCACACATCTAGGTCTGTGAGGCCGAAGCGCGCGTGCTGGACGGCAGGACAGGCGCCAAACTGGCTAAGCGCCCGCACGCGGCAAACGACCGAAGGAGGGCGCGTACACGCATCACGATTCTCGGAGCGCCTCCAAATCGAAGCCTCGCAACACCAGGCACCAGCGAAAACAACCACCTAGGCGATCTGGGCACTTGGGGTGCTCTGCTCCGGTCACGCGACAGCAAACGTGCCCATGGACAGCGCTGACAGCTCCGAGCAGTCACACAGGCAGCCGAGCCTCGCGTGGTTGAGGACACGAGAGGGGCGTGCCAAAGAGAACTCGGAAGCCCTCCTCATGTTCCTGTTCCTCTTCCTCCTCCTCCTCCTCCTTTTTCTCCTCCTCTTCCTCCTCCTCCTTCTCCTCCTCCTCTTCCTCCTCCCCGAGGAAGAAAAAGGAGGGCAAGGAGCAGGAGCAGGCGGCGGAAGAGCGGCGTGCGCGGAGGCCCCTTTTCCGCTGCACGCCAACGCTCCGCTCGGTCGCGTTGTTTCTTTTGCCCTTTGCCCTTGCCGCGCGCGGGCGCCTCGGCGCTGCGTTCCGGTGCGCGATGTTTTTTTCGCAGCCAGCGTTTCGGCCGTTTCGGCGGCGTTCCGTTTTGGGCGTTTCCTTTTCCGCCGTTTCGGTGGCGTTGCTGTTTTGGCGGGCCCCGTTTTGGCGTTCGTTTCGTGGAGCGCTGCGGGGTCGGCTTCAGCAGGCCACGCCATGCAGAACGCGTGGGGAGACGCACCCCAGGCATCTGCAGCGGCAACTCTTGGGAGCCTCGCACACCCTCGTGCCGGCTCGTGCGGATCGACGCGAATCGACGCTAGATCGACACTCATCGACGCTAAATCGACGCTAAATCGACGCCAACCGACGCTAAATCCGCGCCATCTCACGATTCCCAGACGCCAATCGGCGCTAATCGACGCTAAAGACAGATTAAGAGGGTACTCTGGATGGGGCAATCATCGCCCCCCCCTTGGATCCGCTGTGGGGGGTGGGCACGTGCTGTCGGAACGGGTGGAGGGGGGTTGGAGGAGGAGGAGGAGGAGGAGGAGGAGGAGGAGGAGGAGGAGGAGGAGGAGGAGGAGAGGAGGAGGAGGTAGGAGGAGGAGGAGGAGGAGGAGAGGAGGAGGAGGAGGAGGAGGAGGAGGAAATGGTGGGGGGATGGGCAAGCTCCGTCGGAATGCTAGTCGCCCACCCCCACCCCTCGATGGATATCCCACCCGGAGGAATCGGCGCTCAGAAAGGGATTCAGAGGACATGCCAGGCTCCCGTGCTGTGCCACCGAAGGCATGCGAAGCGCGCGGCGGACGACGGGCGGATGGGGGGACAGCGAGGGAGCGGCCAGCGAAGCGGCGGCGGGCAGCTCCCAGCCACGGGAGGCGGCGGCGAAGAAGGGAGCGATGGCGGAGGGGGCCGACGGGAGCCGCACACGGGCTCTCTCGTCCGTGCGCTGCCATCTCCCCCGTCTCCACCCCGCACGAGGGCAGAAAAGAGCCGCACCCATCAACCCTCCGGAGAGCTCCGTGCCCCCAAGGGCCTCCCCCCCCACCTCCCTGCGAGGCGCTCCGCTCTGGGCATTCTCGGGCGGGGGGGCGCGTCCCGAGCAGGCTGCCACTAGCTCGGAGGGGGGGGGGAGCGGCCAGCCCCCGTAATAAGCTGGTGGTGGTGGTGGTTCGTTCCTCTCTGGTGAACCCCCGCTTTCGTCCGAGAGGGGGGGGGGGGCAACAGCCAAACCCGGAGTTGACGATGCACCGCCGACAGGCCCCCGACGAGGTGTCGCGCGCGGCGTGTCGGCAACGGGCGAGCGACCTGAGGCATGCGCTCCCGACACTGACGAAGGGGCCCCAAGACACAGAAATAAATACATACAAATAAACATATTCCCCATATTGTCCCGTATTTTTTGGGGGGTCATCTTCCCCCCCACTTGCCATATTTTCCCATATTTGGGGGAATCGACGAGTAATTGTGTCTGTGTGCTTTTTTCCCTCCTGAACTGAGCCACCTCGTGATCGCAGAGACGCGTCGAGGCTCGAGGGACGTCGCTGGAAGCGCTGCAGCCGCTCCCCAAAAACCCGTGCCCGCACTCCGGGGCTCTGCCCTGCCTTGCCGCACCTCGCCATCGCTCGGACGTCCACTCCCTGTGCTTCTGTTCGGCTTCGTGCGTGGCTTTTTCGCCAAGTGTAGGAGAACAGAACATCAACAAAAAAACTCGGAGGTCCGCGCGGATTTCTCGGATCGGCGCTGGACCCCCCTCCCTGGCGCGCGGAGCGCGCCAGGGGCGGCGCCGGAGGCGCCGCCGGGGGGCCCCAACGCCGATCCGAGAAATCCGCGCGGACCTCCGAGTTTTTATGTTTATGCCAATTTTCGTTCCCCTAATATTTGACTATTTTTGAATATTCCCCCTCTAGGGGGACACGCCCGATTTCACGCAGGATCCAGCACGTGCCTGTGCGCCCTTCGCCGGCACAGCGGAGCACAGCGAGAGCCACCATGTCCCGGGGCGCCGGGCCGCGCACAGGGCTACTTTTTTTGGTCGGACCTGTCCGCCTACAAGGGGGATTCTGGGCGAAAAATTAGAACTACCCTGAAAATGATCAAAAGATGCCGAAACATATTCAAACAATAGTCCCCAGACAATTCTTTACTATTTTTTGATTTTTTGGGAATATTTTTGAATATTCCCCCTGTAGAGGGACAGGCCCGACTTAAGGCGACTTGCGGATGCAAAGAGGGGAGCCTGGGTGTGGGGATACGTGGGGGTCGCCGGGCCAGAACGGAAGATGCTTGGAGGTGCCGGGCCAGAACGGGGAGCATTTCTCAGGTAAGCGCATGTTGTTTTTCTTGGTTTCGGAACCCTGTGGCATTGGGTGCCGGGCTGGGGAAGGGGATGCTCTGAAAAATCGGCAGCAACAATAACATGTTTGAGTCAGTGTTCGGTCAGTCGTCGGCGCACGTCTCTGGAGCGCTGTTATCCCCGCCACCTCGAGACCCCGCTCTGGCACGACTCTTCGGTGGCAATTCATGGGAGCGTCCCGTACCATATTGTCGGCTTTTGCGAATCGACGCTAAATCGGCGCTATACGACGCCAGATCGACGCTAGCCAGGGCTAAATCGGCGCTATCTCATCGATTCAAGAGGCTAATCGACGCCGATCGACGCTAGATCGACGCTCATCGACGCCAACCGACGCTAAATCGGTGCTATCCCATCGACTTCCCGACGCCGATCGGCGCCAATCGACGCTGAAGACGGAGCTCAGAGGGTACCCATCGGTCGGAAAAAGTAGGTGGAAAGACGTAGGAAAGCGTTGAATGAAGGGGCCCACAAACACACAAACAAATACACACACACACACACAAATAACAGGCATCCCCATATTTTTCAATATCTTCTGGGTCTCTGTCTCCCCCACCACTTCCCATATTTTCCCATATTTTCCTGGGAGTCGACGTTTCATTGTGCCTGTGTGCTTCTTGCACTCCTGATGGAAGCAGATGGGGTCTTCGCCCGCCCTCCGAAGCGGAGGGAGGAGGGGCAGCCGCTCGGCCGCTGAAGCAGGCAGGGAGCCCAAAGCGGAGTGGAGCCACGGACCCCAAACACACCTGCTTCCCACTTGGCGGCGAGCGAGGGGGGGGGACCTGAGAAGGAGGAGGCCTTCTCAGAGGGCGGCGGGACCTCGGAAGCCCTCGCGCCTTCTGAGAAGTTGTTCCTGTCTTCGGGGAAGCCTCATCGGGAGCGGCAAAGAGGGGAACGTCCAAGAGGGGGGGGTGCAAATCATGACCGGCGGCATGTGCGCGGCCCAGCGGGGGGGCCAGGGACGTAATGAAATAAGAAGAGGCGCCATGAAATCTGGTGAAATATCATGACCCCCGCCATGATATCCACCCCCCTAGTCATCACCCCCCTCTTTTCCGCCCCCGATCTTCGGGGAAGGCTCACACAGCCTCTCAGGAGGCCCGGGTACTTCCGAGCCTTCTGCGAAGGCCCGCCCCTTCTCACGTCCCCCCTGGGCGCGCCGCCGATCCACGACCGAGGGGGTACACCGAGCCCCCACGACCTGCTCCGCCGAACGACGCCCAAAATGGCTTGGGAGCCAGGGGCCCAAAAGACGCCTGCTTTTTCCACGACCGAGGGGGTACACACGGAGCTCCCACGACTTGCCCCACCAAACGACGCCCAAAGTGGATTGGAGCCAGGGGCTCCAGAAGCACCTGCCTTCCACGACCGAGGGGGTACACCGAGCTCCCACGATTTGCCACCGAACGACGCCCAAAGTGGATTGGGAGCCAGGGGCTCCAAACACACCTGCTTTTTCCACGACCGAGGGATACACCGAGCCCCCATGATTTGCTCCGCCGAACGACGCCCAAAGCGGATTGGAGCCAGGGGCTCCAGAAGCACCTGCCTTCCACGACCGAGGGGTACACCGAGGAGCTCCCACGATGTGCCACCGAACGACGCCCAAAGTGGATTGGGAGCCAGGGGCTCCAAGCACACCTGCTTTTTCCACGACCGAGGGGTACACCGAGCTCCCACGACTTGCTCCGCCGAACGACGCCCAAAGTGGATTGGAGCCAGGGGCTCCAAAATCACCTGCCTTCCACGACCGATGGGGTACACCGAGCTCCCACGGTTTGCTCCGCCGAACGACGCCCAAAGCGGATTGGAGCCAGGGGCTCCAAAAGCACCTGCCTTCCACGACCGATGGGGTACGCCGAGCTCCCATGACTTGCCCCACCAAACGACGCCCAAAGCGGATTGGAGCCCGGGGCTCCCCAAAAACACCTGCCTTCCACGGCCGATGGGTACCTGGCCATCGCTCGGACGTCCATTCCCTGTGTTTTTTTCGGTTTCGTGCGTGGCTGTTTCGCCAAATGATCAAGGATGCTCCTCGATGGCCCTCGCCGAAAGAAAACTGCGCACGTCCGAGCGATGCCAAGGTACACCGAGCTCCCACGACTTGCTCCGCCGCGCTCGAAGCCGCCGCGCGCCGCGCGCCGCTCGTGCAGAGCGGCGGGGACTCTGCCGAGGCGCTCCTCGCCGCGCCTTGGCCGCTCGCGGGCGCCGCTCGCGCGGTGGCCGCTCCCCTTGCCGCTCGCGGCCGCCGCGCGTCTGCCGCAGCACCGCCGCCACGGCCGCCCGTCGCCGCTCGTGCAGTCAACCCGCACAGTCGGGCCGCCGACCTCGGGAACGATAGGGAAGGAACGAGTTGGCGGCGCGCACGAAGGGGTAAGGGCCCTTGAAGGGGGGTGGGGGGGAGGCTTCTCAGGAGGGGGCTGCTTCTAAGAAGGCGCGGGCACTCCGTCTACAGACACGGCCCGCGCCCTCTTAGAAGCAGCGGTGCTTCTAAGGAGCCTTCCCCCTTTCCCCTACCCCCCTCTGCGCGTGGCCGAACGAGGTCCCCTTTTTCCAAATATGTCCATGAAGTCCGAAGGAACACCTGGTGGGCTGGCCGCCAAAAGAGGAGCGGAACGCACGCAAACCTAAGGAACGGCCGAGCCCTTTTTGAGAAGCAAGTGTTCCTTATTCAGCGGCACGAATGCGCGGTATGGATGCAAGGGCCTTGGAAGGCCATGTCGAGACCTTGCGAGTGGGGCGCGGCCAGCGAATGCGGCCAATGATGGGCCGAACAGGCAAGGAAGCAAGGGCACCGTTGGGAAGGTTGCTCATCATCATCGTTCGGGTTGACTGTGGTCGCCACTTGTCTTCGCGGGGTCTGCCGAGGCTTCGCCGCGTTGCCGCTGGTCGCCGCTCGTACAAGCCGCTCGCCGTCGCTCGCCGCCGCTCGCACTCGTTGAGCTCGCCGAGGTTTCGCCACGCTGCCGCTCGTGCTCGCCGCTCGTCGCCGCTGGCTTTGCAAAAGTTTCGCCACGCTGTCTCTCGTCGCCGATCGCAATGCCGGGTGCCCTTCGGGCCGTCTCGGGGTGAGCTCGGGCACCCGCGCCGCCAGTCCGAGGCGCGCTGACGGCCGAAGGCGCGAAGATCGCAAGCACACAACTAGGTCGGGCACGTCTCCCGACAGGCGGATTTTGGAAGATACTCCAGAATAGACAACAGAAATAACAAAAAAATGCCACAAATAGTAGGAACGTCGTCATCAGACCATTTTGCGACTATGCTTCTAGAAATTCCTCCTGTAGAGGGACATGCCCGACTTGAGCATACAAGTACAAGACCCATGGTGAGGAAATTACGATTATAACAAAGCCCACAATTCGGAAGCTGTAGGGCAAAATTTCCGCATTGTGGTCTTCGGCGCAAAAAACAGCTTCAATAATATTGCAGTGCTGCCCCTTGGGTGTTTGAAGACGTTTAGCATGCCCCCCGTTTGGGCTTCCGGCAGCCCAAAAAGGTCCAAAAGGCCCCCGAGATGTCCCCAAGACGGCCCAACAGAGCCCCAAGACGCCCCCGAGAGGGCCCAAAAAGGCGCCCCAGAGGGCCCCAATCATCTCCCTGCAGATCTCAAGAGCGCTCCAGTGGAGCCTAAGAACCTGCACCACATTGCTTGTACCACGTAGCTCTCACCACATAGCTTACACCACAGAGCTGGCACCACATAGATTGCACCAGATAGCGTGCATTTCCACACGCTACTGCCTAATTGTGTGGGGTGCACGCTGCAAGCATTACGTCTGAACTCTCAAGTCTGAACCATGTTGTTGACTCCCCTGTCTAGTTCGCGCCGCATTTTTTCAATTGAAGTGTCCATTCCTCTTGGGTCTCGCACCCTGACGTCTACAAGGGGACATATTATTGGATCTCAAAGCGTGCTGTTGGCCCTCAGGCCTACACAACGAGGGCTCCCGCCAGAGAGTCCCCTGCACCTATATTATGTACTTTATTAAGTGGTTGAGGGCGTTTCGTCTTCGGGAAGGTTTACACCCCCCCCCCCTCCCCCCTTCCCGGGTCTGGGGGGGGTGGGCCGGCGGGTAGCTAGCGCGTCCAAGATGGCCCAAGTTGGCTCCAAAAGGGCCTTAGCAAGCCCAGCACGGCGTACAAGATGGCTCAACGTAACACAAGATCGCTCAAGATGGCCTCCGTACTCCACAAGACCGCACCAAGACGGGCCCAGGTGGCCTTTGGGACCCCCCAGGACACATCCTACATGCCAAACTCAGCCACCCAGGGAAATCCTATGATCCATGAGTTTGGCCTCCTCGCCCGTTTGCTCTCGCGATGGCCTTCCGATGTTTCTCAAGACGGTTCCCAGAGGGCCCGCCAGAGACCTACAGTCAGGGCGTTGACCTAAGGAACCCCAAATAAGGAACGATGCTCCTTTTTACCATAAGTTGAACTTCGATTTCCCATCGAAAACAGAAGGAAAACTTGGGGCAAGCTGTGAAACAATTAAGGAACACGGAGCCCCTTCCCAACGAAATGGGTTCCTTCTTCAAGGACCCGACTGTAAGGGGGCACACGAGGGCTCCAGGATAGCCCCAGGACCGCACAGGACCCGCCCCTAGAGAACCTAAAAAGGCGATCGTCGGGGCTCTACAAGGGGGGGGGGGGGGGCGAAAAGAAGTCCCCCCCTCCCTCTGTTGTCCTCCAAGCTTGTCCCAAGAACTCCTCCTCAAGGCTCCCACGAGGGCTCCAATAAGGACCCCAGAGGCCGCCAAGAGACCCCCGAGATGCTCGAAAAGGCTCCCATGGGTCCCCAAACGGCTCTCAAGACGCCTAAGAGGCAACCAAGCAACTCCACCAGACATCTAGTAGCCCTCTTGTTCACTGAGGCTGCCAGGGTTTTCCACATGATGCCACGCTCCCCCGATAAGGACACTTCCCTCGAGCATCGTTCCTGGATGGGGTGGCGAGGATACGCGAAGCGTTAAGACCTACGCTCTCGCTCGGGACTTCCTCGCAATCTGCTGAACAACCGCGCTCCCGCCCCAGACTTCCCCAGTGTGCTCATCAATCGCGACCTCGCCAAGCAAGAGCTTACACTTCCGCCCAGGACTTCCTCCCATTTTCTGGCCCGACCCGCCCGCTGGGAAAGGAGAGCCCAGAATCAAATCGAGAAGTCGGATCGGCGGCATCGAAAAGAGTGGGACCGGCGGAATCGAAACGAGCCCTGCGCTGGGGTCAACCCAATCTCGGGCGTTGGCTGAACTGGGTTTAGTGGGACCTGGTTTAGAGATGGGGACGCCCCCCCGTTCCACTAACTGGAACTGCCGTCACCCGAAAAAAACACCAGCTACGGCAGACCTGGCTTAGCGATTCTGGCCAATTCAAGCGCTGAGGGGCCCTACCACTAACTGGGTCCCCTTGCAGTCAGTAAGGATGCGCGGCAAGGATGCAAAGGCCCTTGGACGCCCATCTCGAAGCGCTTCGAGCGGGGCGCGGCCAACGACATCAGGAGTGGCCAAGAGGGGGGTGTCCAAGAGGGGGGGGTGCAAATCATGGCTGGCGGCACGTGCGCGGCCAAGCGGGGGGGCCAGGGACGTAATGAAACAGGAAGAGGCGCCATGAAATCTGGGGAAATATCGTGGCCCCCGCCATGATATCCACCCCCCCCTAGTCATCACCCCCCTCTCTGCCGCCCCCGACGACAGTGCCCAAGGATGGACCCAGGAAGCCAGGATGCCAGGATACCCCTGGGAGGGATGCCTATCCCTGCTCCGCGGGTCGACCGTGCCTGGAGTCCTGGCCATACCCGACAGCCGCCTGCTCGCTCGAAAGCCCCCCCCCTTGCAGGGCCCGCCCGCCCGACAGGGTCCGCCCGCCCGATCCGACCCGCCCGTGAGGGTCCGACCCGCCCGCCCCGCCCGATAGGGTCCGCCCGTCCCGACCCGCCCTGCCCGACAGTGAAGGGGAACTGGGAACTGGGACACACACACACACACACAAACAAATAGACACGAATAACCAGATCCCCCATCTTTTCTCAGATTTTCTGGGTTTCTGTCTTCCCCCCCACTTCCCTGATGTTCCCATACTTTCCTGGGGATCGACGATTACTTGTGCCTGTATGTGCTTTTTGTTCCTCCTGAGATAGGGCCCCCCCGCCCGCCGGGGCCAACCCGCCCGCTCCCGCCCCTTGCAGGGCGCGCCCCTCCCCGACTCGGCCGGCCGGGCTCCGCCCGCCCGGCCCGCCCGCCCAGGCCGCCTCTCCCTGGCCATGTGGAACATCGACCCCTCCCCCTCCTCCTCCTCCTCCTTCTCCTCCTCCTCCTCCTCCTCCTCCTCCTCCTCCCCCTCCTCCTCCTCCTCCTCCTCCTCCTCCTCCTCCTCCTCCACCTCCTCCTCCTCCTCCTTCTCCTCCTCCCCTCCTCCTCCTCCTCCTCCTCCTCCTCCTCCTCCTCCTCCTTCTCCTCCTCCCCCTCCTCCTCCTCCTCCTCCTCCTCCTCCTCCTCCTCCACCTCCTCCCCCTCCTCCTCCTCCTCCTCCTCCTCCTCCTCCTCCTCCTCCTCCTCCTCCTCCTCCTTCTCCTCCTCCTCCTCCCCCTCCTCCTCTCCTCCTCCTCCTCCTCCTCCTCCCTCCTCCTCCTCCTCCTCCTCCTCCTCCCTCCTCCTCCTCCTCCTCCTCCTCCTCCTCTCTCTCCTCCTCTCCTCCTCCTCCTCCTCCTCCTCCTCCTCCTCTCCTCCTCCCCCTCCTCCTCCTCCTCCTCCTCCCTCCTCCTCCCTCCTCCTCCTCCTCCTCCTCCTCCTCCTCCTCCTCCTCCTCCTCCTCCTCCTCCTCCTCCCTCCTCCTCCTCTCCTCCTCCTCCTCCTCCTCCTCCTCTCCTCCTCCTCCTCCTCCTCCTCCTCCCCCTCCTCCTCCCCCCTCCCCCTCCTCCTCCCCCTCCCCTCTCCCCCTCCTCCTCCTCCTCCTCCTCCTCCTCCTCCTCCTCCTCCCTCCTCCTCCTCCTCCTCCTCCTCCTCCTCCTCCCCTCTCCTCCTCCCTCCTCCTCCTCCTCCTCCTCCTCCTCCTCCTCCTTCCTCCTCCTCCTCCTCCTCCTCCCTCCTCCTCCTCCTCCTCCTCCTCCTCCTCCTCCTGTACCCTCTGAGATGCTGGCGTCTCCATTGTGTCGAGCCCGGGCGTTTTTGTCGCCCTTTCGCGGTCCCCGGGGGGCCTCGCAGATCGATCTGGCTCGGAAAAGGATGCAGAGAGGTGAGGTCGGGGGCTACAGTCGGCGCGTTGACCTAAGGAACCCTAAATAAGGAACGAGGCCCCTATTTCCCATAAGTCAAACTTCCATTTCCCATAAAAATCCTCAGGACAACCTGAGGCAAACTGTTAAACAATCAAGGAACACCGAGCCCCTCCCAACGAACAGGGGTCCTTCTTCAGCGCCCCGACTGTACAGTCGTGATTTGTCACGATGGTGCCTGTTTTTTGGATCCAGGTAGGTGTACTTGCATGGCGTTCGCCCCAGGTGCCTTTCGACTTGCGTGACTTCCGCACGTCAAGCTGTTGTTGGCCTGCTTCAGGCTCAGCCACCCCCCCGTCCATGCAAGTAAACTTGCCCGAGTCTGAGAAAACACAGGCTCATGTTGCATTGTTTCGGTACGTCGGATCTCAGGGCTGGCCATGTCGAACATCGAAATGCGGCTGGAAAAAACAAAGGTGCCGCGCACAGTGGGCAGGCTCGCAGACGGAAGGGACGGGTGTCGCATGGCTCTCCGGGTGCACACGATCAGTGACACGCGTGAAATGAAGAATGAGCTATCTCAGCATGATTGTTGTCTGAATGACTGCAGAGACGCCAGCCCCCCGAATGAAGTCCCCCTCCTCACCATCCCACTCCGCCCCATAGGCCGCTCCACCATGATCATCCTCATCCTCCGCATCCGTCCCCTCCACATCCTCCCCCTTGCATTTTCTTCCCTGACGGAACTCCTCTCATCCTCCGAGCCCGGCCAGCGAGTATGTCTATGCGCCCCACCTGACAAAACGCCCCACCGCGTGCGTAGCCCACCTCCTCCCCCACCGCCGCCTCCTCGACAGAGACTGCATCCTGCTGCCCGTCCTCCACCTAGTCCTGCTCTTCCACCTCCTGCCCCTCGGCCTCTTCCTCCTCCTCCTCCACCACCTCATTCCTCATCATCAGCATCAGCATCAGCATCACCATCACCATCATCAGCATCATCACCACCACCACCACCACCACCACCACCACCATCATCATCATCATCATCATCATCATCATCATCATCATCATCATCATCCTCATCCTCATCCTCATCCTCATCCTCATCTTCATCCTCATCCTCATCCTCATCCTCATCCTCATCCTCATCCTCATCATCATCATCATCAACATCATCATCATCATCATCATCATCATCATCATCAGCAGCAGCATAATCATCATCATCATCATCATCATCAGCAGCATCAGCATCATCATCGTCATCATCATCATCATCGTCATCATCATCATCATCAGCATCATCATCATCATCATAATCGTCATCAACATCAGCATCATCATCATCATCAGCAGCATCAACATCATCATCATCACCATCGCCATCACCATCATCATCAGCAGCATCAGGAGCAGCATGATCATATTCAACACCATCATCATCATCATCAGCAGCATAATCATCATCACCATCAACATCATCACCATCTCCATCACCATCACCATCACCATCATCGTCATCATCATCATCATCATAAGCGTCATGATCATCATCAACAGCACCATCATCAGCATCATCATCACCATCAACATCATCACCACCACCACCATCATCTTCAACATCATCACAACCACCATCATCACCAACATCATCAACATCATGCGCATCGTCGCCGTCATCTTCTCCGCCGCCTCATCCTGCTGCTAAGTATCATAATCCTGCTTCTGCTGCCACCCCTCCTCATCATCACTGTCCTCCTGCTCCAGCGTTCTCTTCATGCTGCTACAGCTGCTCCTGATCCTCGAGCGGGCCATATGCTCCTGTTACATGTTCCTCCCTGGAGGCCTTGCCGACAGGAGTGTAAGCAGCGAGTTCACGAGCGGTATGAACGCGCAAACGCGATGCCTACGTTGCAAGACGCGATCGCTCCATCCTCCCCCCGTGACGAGGTTCGGAAATGGTGAGGAGGGAAGGAGGAAGGAACGGGGGCGAGGGGGAGCGAGCGGGGCGAGGGGAACACAACATCGAAAAAACGTATGCCCGTCTACGAGTCTACACCAGACTCGGGCATGCCTGAGCTCTACGCGCGCCCCATCATGCCCATGCGCGGGTCGGCAGGAAGGTGAATGTAGTCCTTGCGGGCAGGCGGTGGGGGCTCCTGCACAGCCAAGACGCGATGACCTCGAAGGACGATGGGGATCAAACAAAAAACGGCCCGAGAGGACTGAGGGGACGAGAAGGGCTGGCCCGAACAGGCGAGGATCAGAGAGAAGGAAGAGAAAGCAGAAAGGGCGACAGGCGGGGCGTGAGAAAAGAGGGCAGAGCGGGACGAGGATGAGGGAGCTGGCGTGGGAAGGACGACGGGGATGGGGGGCGGGGGGCAGAATGCGGGGAGCGTGAGTAAAAAATGGAAGGAAAAGGGGAGGGTGGTGAGGATGACGCGACCTCACAATGTTCCTCCTGCTTCCCCATCCCTCTTTCCCACCCCTCATATTCGTTGTTGTTCCTCTTCCTCCCCCCATCCACGTCCACCTCGCTCCTGTCCTGCCCTTCTGCGGCCCACAAGGACCTTCGCGGCCGCCAGCAGGCACCAGGCAGGCCCCAATGAGGCCCAAAGAAGCCGCCGACAGCCACACATGAGACCCAGAGAGGCCCGAAAACTCCGCCCAAGAGGCCTCGCGAGTGCATCACAAACGCGGGTTCTGTGGAGGGATGGACCCCGAGGAAACCCAAAGAAGACCGCTTGCTTCCTTCCCCTGTTCTTCCTGTCCTGCTCCTCCTGATCCTCCGTTCATATGGTCCCTGTCCCTCGTTCATCTTTCGTCCCCGTCGCCGTCCTCCTGCGTTTCCGCTTCCTCATCCACCTCCCCTCCTAATCAACAACCTCTTCGAACGCACCGCGGAAATGCAACGCCCGACTTCCGCCGACGCCCACTAGCCGCTAGCCTGTGAAAAGACATTCGATCGGCTGACCTGTTCCCCCCCTCCCTATGCAGTGTGGATTGTCAAGAATGCAACCGATAGACCTGAAGCCGCCGATCCACGGCACTGCCTCCAGAACCTCAGCACGGATCCCGCTTTCACGGGACTGGCGTCTCAGGCGCGCGGCGCGGGGGGTTAGCAGCATCCTGCGCTGATTTGAGTCCTGTCACCTCTGGCACAGACAAGCTTTCTCTTAGGCTGGTGGCTGGGGGTGGTGTGAAGGGCGTCCACAGTGTCAACAGAAGCGAACTGCAGCTCCGGCTCTCGCCGGAGGCGCCAAAACCCCGGCCTCGACGGGGGCGCGTGTCTGTTGTTCCTCCCAGGGCGCCCGGCGTTGCCGGAGGCTCCAGGCGTTTGTTTGCGCACCGCTCCCCCACGCCCCCCCCCCCTGGCTGGCCCCGCGCGCGGCGCAAGGGGGAAAGGGGGGGCGGCGCGTTCGGCTCGCACGCGAAATCCTAAGCCCGAGCTCTATAGCAGCAAAGCTTCACAGCGCAAAAACATGCGGTGCAGAGAAGACTGCTGCGGGGCGGGGATGTATATGATTATATATATATATATATATATATATATATCCACCGCCTGGGAACCGACGTCCTGGTGCCCCTGCGGGCGCTGGATATGGATATATGTGGGCCCCCAGGGGCCCGAATATTGAAGGGGCCCCAGGACACACAAATAAATACACACAAATAAACAGATTCCCTATATTTTCCAATATTTTCTGAATTTTTGTCTTCTCGCCCACTTCCCATACTTTCCCATATTTTTCCTGGGAAATTGTGTCTGTGTGTTTCCTCCTGGTGCCCCTGCGGGCGCTGGATATGGATATATTTGGGCCCCCGGGGGCCCGAGTATATCCATATCCACCGCCTGCGAGGACCCCAAAAATCGATCCTCCGGGCGGTGGTCGTGTACAAATTCCCGCCTCGGAGTAATGTAGCTCCGCTGATAGAGCTTGGGCCTAGGATTCCGGGTGCGAGCCGAAGGTGGTTTGGGGAGGTCCATTCCCTATTTTTTTTTCGGTTTCGTGCGTGGTTTTGTTCGCCGAATGATCAAGGATGCCCCATCGATTGTCCCCGCCGAAGGAAAAAAAGGCACACGTCCGAGCGATGCCAAGCAGGATCCTGCGTGCGAGCCGATGGGCGGTTTGGGGAGGTCCAGGGAGGCGCGAGGCGCGCGCCGTGCCAAACACGACTGCAGGGAAGGAGCTCGTGCTGCATGGCAGCTTCTCTGCGTTGCAGTTGGGTCCTGCTGGTGGGTCTTCGTGGTTCGGGCCGGGCGAAAGGGGGGAATAGCGAAGGGGGGGGGTGAGAATCAGCTCGCGTAGCCGATCTTCCCGGCGCCTCCCGGCGCCGGAGGCGGCCATGTGTCGAGGAATGGGCCACTCGGTGGGGCCTCGGAACTGTAGCTTGGCTGCTAGAGCTTGGGCTTAGGATGCCGCGTGCGAGCCGAAGAGCCGAAGGTGGTTTGGGGAGGTCCAAGGAGGTGCGAAGCGCGCCGTGTCAACCACGACGGCAGGGAAGCAGTTCGTTCTGCATGGCAGCTTCTTTGCGTTGCAGTTGGGTCCTGCTGGTGGGTCTTCAAGGGCTCCCAACTTCGCGCTTCGCGCTGCGCGAAACGCGAATAACTTCGCGCTCTCGCGCCGCCTCCCGAGGAAGAAGAGGAGGAAGAGGAGGAATCGGAGCCGAACCGCGAAGCGCGAATAACTTCGCGCCCTCGAGGGCGCCCTTGGAGAAGCAGCTCGTTTTGCATTGCAGCTCCTTTGCGTTGCAATTGGGTCTTGCTGGTGCGTCTTCGTGGTCTGGCGCGGTTGGGCCGGTCTCTTTGAAGGGGGTGGAGGGGGTTGAGAATCAGCTCGCGTAGCCGATCTTCCCGGCGCCTCCCGGCGCCGGAGGCGGCCATGTGTCGAGGAATGGGCCCCTCGGTGGGGCCGAACCAGCTGCACGCAGCAGATTTCGTAACCCCCCCTTTCCCAATCCCCCCCTTTCGTCCGGCCCGAGTGGTCTGGCGCGGCTGGGCCGGTCTCGTTCTGGCCATCGCTCGAACGTCCATTCCCTGTGCTTTTGCTCGGTTTCGTGAAGGATGCTCCTCGATGGTCCCCGCCGAAAGAAAAATGCACACGTCCGAGCGATGCCAAGCGTTGGTCTGATTGGCAGGATGTTCCTGGACCCGACTCGCATTAGTGGGCCTCATCGGTTTGTTTGCGCAGGCTCTGCCTCTAGTTCGGTTGTTTGTGTTGCTGTGTGTTGTTCGATTGGCTGGGCTGGCCTTTGTTGGTTGGCCTGGCTTGCTTGGCATGGCCTTGTCAGCTCTAACTCGTTGAGTGGCTCATCTGGTGGGTCTGGTCTAGTCTGGCTGGTCTGCCCTGCCTGGTTGGTGGATTGGTTTCCGCTGGCGGTCGATCGGTTACTGCGTCTGGCTTACGTCGTCTGGTCCAGCTAATCTCTCTACCTTTCCTGGGTCTGCCTGCTGCGCTGGACTTGGACGAGGACGAGGAGCAGCAGCAGGAGCAGCAGCAGGATCAGCGCCAGCGCGGATGGAGAGAAATCCGAGGAGGATCGGGAGGAGGCGTGACCGAGGAGAGTTCGCTGCAGCAGCCATATGAGCTCTGAGGCCCCAGCGCAAAGTTCAGCGCCGGGGCCCAAGAACTGTTCGCTCCCAGCGGCTTAGAATATGCAATATTCCTCGATTGGGTAGCGCCGCGACGAGACCTGAAAACGGGGTCGCGAGGGCAGACTTGCGAAAAGCAAACCTTGCACTCGCAAAAATAGAGACCGAGGAGAAGCGAAGAATGCGCAAATGATCCCGTGCTGTCATGGTCATCTCCCCCCCCTCGCCGGCAGGTCCTCCTGCAGGTGCGGCCGGAACTCGTCCGACCTGCACCACTTCTGTAAGCACAGGACACCTGCTGCACAAAGGGGGAGGAGAGGGAGGGCAAGAGGCGACGTCGACAAAGAGGGCGGACAGGGAGGGGAGGGGGGGAAGAAGGGAGGGTGGCGACGAGGAGGGTGGGTAGGACGGGAAGGGTGGGCCAACGGGTGGGGGAGAGGATGGGGAGAGGGCGACGACGTCGATGACGAGGAGACCGGACAGGATGGGAAGGGTGGAGTGGAGGAGGACAGCGCAAGTTGGGTTTGTTCTGGTTCTCCTCCTCCTCCTCCTCATCATCATCCTCCATCCCCCAGCTCAATCATCGTTCCTCCTCCTCCTCTCGATCCTCCATCCTCGAACCTCCATCCCCGTCCTTCTCCTCGACCCCTAACCTCCCCGTCGCGTCGGGTGTAAAATTCTAGACGCTTCGCTTATCCCCACCAGCCCATCCCGAAACGATGTCCAGGCGAGTTGAGGTGATCAGGGAAGTGCGGCAGCAAAGAGGAGGACGGCCGAACCGTGCAAAGGAGTGAGGAGGAGAAGGAGGAGGTGGATGGATGGATGGATGAGGGAGTGGGAAGACGGAGGATGAATAGGATGAGGAGGAGGCGGAGGAGGAGGAGGAGGAGGAGGAGGAAGAGAAGGAGTAGGAGCAGGAAGGAGGAACAGGAGGAGGAGGAGGAGGGCAAGCACAAGGGCCAGAGGTCTCTTGGATGCCTCTAGGAGCCTCTTGGAGTATCTCTTGGGCGATTCTTGGGGGCCTCTTGGGACGTCTTGGGGGTCTCTTGGCGATCCTGGGGGGCTCTTCGGGGTCTTGGGTGCCTCGGGGGGGGGCCTCTTGAGGGTCTTCTTGGGGGCCTTCTGGGGGCCTCTTGGGGGCCTCTTGGGGCCATCTTGGGGCCATCTTGGGACCTCTTGGGGCCTCCTGGGCGCTTCTTTGTGCCATCTTGGAGGAGATCTATCAAAGAAGAGCTGAGCTTTAATTAGCGCTGCCCCCCCAGGAGGCCAAAATGGGGCCAAAACCCTGCTAAAATCAATGATTTTGGCTTCCTCGCCGAGGCTGTTTTGGACGCTCTGACCGCTCCCCGCCCCTCCTGTCCAGGTCAGTGGGGAGGGGGTAGGGGGAGGGGTAAACCCCTCCCCGAAGGGGAAGAGGGAGGGGTGGAAGAGGAAACGCCCTAAACCACCGACGCCCAGAGGGCTGGTGGGATTAATGGAGGGCCCAGGGGGCCGTGCCCATCTTGGGGCCCAGGGTGCCCCAGGGGGGGGCCCTCTGGGGCACGAGCGGTGCACGTGTCTCCTCCCCCCCATCTATCGCGCCTCCAATCATGAATACCCCATCGCCCTGATTTGGCGGTGCGCACAAAGGCTTCTTAGAAAGAGGCTGCGTCGCAGAAGGCGCCAACCCCACATGGGGAAACGAAAAGGTACCGATACCGCTACTCCCTGGACCTCTCCCGGGGTGCGCTCTGACCAAGATTTCGAAGCGGATCCAGCGGTGGCGACGAGGGCCTCCCAGGAAACCCCAACAAAGGGAAAAGGAGGCGAGGGTAGCGGTATATGGGTACCGTGTCCTTTTCTGACAGCATCCATACCCCTCGGCTGGAAGAAATAGGTATAATCATGAAATAGGGAGGCATTGAACAGAAACATTGGGTTGCGTCCGCCCCCCTCGGGAGGACGGAGACAAGGGGGAAGCCACTCGATCATGGAGGTAGGAAGGCGCTAAAAGCGGAGTGAAACATTGGGAACCAAAGATACCGACTTTCAACGACCGATGGGTAGAGGAAGAGGAGGAGGAGGAGGAGGAGGAGGAGGAGGCCCGCGACCTCCAAGAAGCAGGGGGTTTTATAAGAAGCCTTCCCCCCCCTCTGCGGGCGCCGGGGGGCGAGGCGGGCCGAGGACACACATGTAGGCGCCGATGAGGCTGCCGACGCCGGGGGACTCGGGCGTGGCCTCCCCCGGCGTGCGGGCGCGGGCCCAGCCCCGCCATTCTCCTTCTTCTCCTCCTCCTCCTCCTCCTCCTCCCTCCTCCTCTCCTCCTCCTTTCTTCTTCTTCTTATATTATTATGCTTCTTCTGCTTCTTCTTATTATTATGATTATTCTCCTCCTCCTCCTCCTCCTCCTCCCCTCCTCCTCCTCCTCCTCCTCCTTCTCCTCCCCCTCCTCCTCCTCCCTGGGGCGGCCCTGCAGGCTCCTGCGGGTGCGCGGGCGGAGCGAGGGGCGGCGGCCGCGCAGAGCGCAGGGGACCGAACGCGGGAGGAGGGCCACCCGACGAACAGGCGGGCGCTCCTCCCTGTGGGGGGGGGGGGGGGGGGCGACCCGTGGGCGGGGGAAGGGAGCGTGCACTCTTCGTGCCCCGTTTTGGTCCCCAGAGGGGGCCCCTGCCGGGCCTCTCTCCGTGGGCGGGGGAAGGGAGCGTGCACTCTTCGTGTCCCGTTTTGGTCCTCAGAGGGGGCCCCTGCCGGGCCTCTCTGGGGCACAAAAGGCGCACCCTTCTTCGCGCCCCAGTGCATGGGTTAAGTTAGGAGGCCCTCAAACATTCGGGATGGGGTTGTTTTTGCAGAAGTATCGAATAGCAACGCCCCGAATTATTATTCCTAATGCGAAGTCGGGGACCTCAGCAAGGCCACGTTTTCATCGCGTCATTAGGGTTAGGGTTGCTTTCTCCTGCTCTCGATGATCTATCTCCCCCTGACGCCCGACACATTCCAGAGCGCGCGCGGCAGGGTCCTAAGAGCCACGCGGGCGGCCGAAGGACACCCGAACGGCTCGACCGCAGGCCCATCGAGCTGCAGCTGCGTGGAGCGCAGGAGGAGCGGCCGAGCGGCGGCCGCGTGAGCTCTGCCCCTTTTTTTTCACTCGAGGGCAGAGGGAGCGCCGCTCCACGCCGGCGGTCCCAAGGCCTCCGGCCTCTGGAGCTGGAGGCTCGAGGCCTCTGGTGGCCCCTGGAGTGCTCGAAAGCACTCGATGTCGTGAAAAATCTTGCCGTCGTCTGGATGCAATCCGGAGAGCAGCCTCTTTCGAGCAACATATATTTGACCACCCTTTGGCGGCCCCTTGCACTCCACCAGAAGCCCTTAAAGAAAAAGATAGTGTGAATGCCGCACCGCGCACAAAAGACCAGGAGTCCGCCGCCGCAGGTGCCATCAGAAGGAGCGTGAGAGGAGCGCACCTTGCTCTTGCGCTCTCGAAACTCGCCCGAAAAAGGCGTGCCCTGTTCACTGCGGCGACGAGAGACCGCTCCGTCCAAGTGGCTGAATGTGAAACGCCCAGCGCACCTCCACGGAACATGCTCAGCCCTCTGCCAGTCATGGACAAGCGTTAGCTGAGTCATAACTTCATCTGGCTTCTTGACTCTTTTCACCCTCGGGCACCTGGGCCAAACCTCCAGCATCCTGGGAAGGATACTTACAATGCAAGCGGCGTCCTCCCTCGTTGCCTCGAGATCTGCCCACGACGTCGGATGGAACATCGGGTGCATTTGGAGGGCTGGCTTGGCCAATCGATCGCACTTCTTCATAATCGGAAACGGAAGCTTGCCCCGAGCCAGTGCTTTGTCCTCCTTTTGATGGGGCTTGACCTTGATAGCTGCGTCTAGAAAATTTCGGCTGTCGTTGCCACAAGATGCGCAGAAGGTGCCTGCATACATGTTTCTATGCGACAACCAAACAGGCAGAGGCTTGTGAAAACCATTGCGCAAGAGGGCAAACCACGGGCCCCGAGACAGCCACTTCGAGCTCCTCGGCCTCCGAAAAACCGCGGGCAGCCCAGGCGGCCCAATCCAAACATTTGGAACCCGTCCTCGCGGAGGTCCCGTCAGCGCCCGCAACGGGGCCCCGCGCTGCAAGATCATCGTACATCCACTGTGGAAACCGCTCCTACCTCTTTCATGCCATTCAAAATTGACACGCCGGGGGTGCAGGAGTCTGGATCGCAAGAGGGGCGAGGAATGACCCCAAGCCTGTAAGGCTAGCTTGCTGTCAGCTCCTTCGACACATGCAGCTAGGACCCAAGGGGGGGGGAATGTCGTTTCTCAGCGTCGCGGCGGCAACCGACTGGCAGTGGGGCAGCCTGCGCGCGACCGCATCTCCTGCAGATCCGCGCAAATGAAGGGGCCCTAGGACACACAAATAAATACACACAAATAAAAAGATTCCCTGTCTTTTCCCATATTTTCTGGGTTTCTGTCTTCCCCCCCACATCCCATATTTTCCTATCTTTTGGGGGGAATCGACGATTAATTGTGTCTGTGTGTTTTTTGTTCCCTCCTGATGCTGATCCGCGCAAAGCACAGCGGTCCTCAGTGGCACATCTTGCACCAGGCGCTCTACAGGCCGCAGGCGTGGCCAACAGTTGCCACCCGCAACCCGCTGGGAGGGGGAGAAGGCGCACCCAGCACCCCCCTGGCAGCCACTGCGTGCGCCGGCGCGCCAGCGGCCCTCGGCTCTCCTCGAAGCGATGGCCACGGCACGCTCCCGAGCCCCCCGAAACGGGCTGGAAACTTGAGCCAAGATGGCTAGAGGCAAAATGGCTAGAGCCAGAATGGCTGGAGCCAGAAAGTCTGAGAACCGCAGTCGCGCGCGCGCGCGTCTGGGACCGCCCGAACCCTCAGCAGAGAGCAACACACACACACGCACACACAAACACGCACACAAACGTTCACATACAATCCCACACGAACACACACACACACACACACACGCAACACACTCACGCACACACGCACGCACACACGCACACGCACGCACGCACGCACGCACGCACGCACGCACGCACGCAAGCACGCACGCACGCACGCACGCACGCACGCACGCACGCACGCACGCACATACACACACACACACACACACATACACGCGCGCGCAGGGCAAGACATCGCAAGATACACGGACACAATGTGCGGCGTGCTCGCCTGATGTCATGTAGTTACCCTTATCGATCCACCTTATCCCCCTCATCCTCATCACCCCTGCCCCCCATAGTCCCAACTTCCCCCCCCGCCATTTGTCAGATCCCTCCGCCTCCACCCCCCTCACCACTACTTCGTCTTCCTCCCCGCCGTGCGCTGCCTCCCTTCTGTCGGGGGCGGCCAGGAGCGGGGCGTCCAAGAGGGGGGTGCAAATCATGGCCGGCGGCATGTGCGCGGCATGTGCGCAGCCCAAAGAGGCGCCATGAAATGTGGGGAAATATCATCAAGGGCTCCCAACTTCGCGCTTCGCGCTGCGCGAAGCGCGAAGCGCGAATAACTTCGCGCTCTCGCGCCGCCCCCCCAAAGGGAGAAACGGAGGACGAGGAGGAGGGGGAGGAGAAACGAGGACCGCGAAGCGCGAAGCGCGGATAACTTCGCGCCCTCGGGGGAGCCCTTGAATATCATGGCCCCCGCCAGGATATCCCCCCCCCCTAGTCATCACCCCCCTCTTTGCCGCCCTCGCCCTGCGCGACCTCCCTTCGGACCCGCCTGCCGAGGACCATCGAGGCGCATCCGTGATATCTTCTGGCGAGCGAGCCACGCACGAAATCAGACAAAAACACAAGGAAGGGAAGTCCGAGCGATGGTCAGTTCGATTGTCCCGATGGGAGGATGGAGGGAGAGGAGGAGGAGGAGGAGGAGGAGGAGGAGGAGGAGGAGGAGGAGGAGGAGGACCTCCCTTCTGCCCGCCTGCTCCTTCTCTCGCCCCCGCCGCGACGCGAGGACGCGGATATGGGGGCCGGGAGTGCGCGGTGCCCGCTGCCGCCTGCCCCACGCCGGCCGTGCGTCGTCGTTAAAGGGGCCCTGGGACACACAAATAATAAATGCACACAAATAGCAGGATTCCCAATCTTTTCCCATATTGTCTAGGTTTTTGTGGTCGGACGTGCGTCGGCCGTGCGTCGCTGTGCTGGTCAGACCCTCGCTGTCCTCAAGTCGGGCGCGTCCCCCTACATCGGGGTTTTCGACGACAAATAAAAAAATGCTCAACAAATGCTCAATAATGGTCAAAAAATACTCAAAAAATAGTCGCCCGACTATTTTTTGACTATTGTTGAATATTCCCCCTGTAGAGGGACAAGCCCGACTTGACGCTGTCCGTGGTCATCCCTCCATCCGCGTCCCCCTTCCCTCGGGACAATCGAACTGGCCATCGCTCGGACGTCCATCCCCTGTGTTTTTGTTTCGGTTTCGTGCGTGGTTTTGTCGCCAAGTGAACACGGATGCTCCTCGATGGTCCTCGCCGGAGGAAAAATGCACACGTCCGAGCGATGCCAAGCGAAATGGGTGCGGAAAGAACGGGTGCAAAGACGGACAGCGCTTCCAGATAATGTTGAACAGGACTCTCTGTCGGTGTCGCCGCGGAAGTTGTTCACTTGAGACAGAAGGCCGCCTGCCCAACATCGGCCGCTGATTGTTCTGGGCGGTATGAAACGTTGGGAATTGTACACATGTTTTCCGACTTATTTCGGGCGTCCAAATCCCCATCCCAACCCGTCCGTCATCCTTCTCGTCCCTGGTCCTTTTCCTCTTCCTTGTCGTCGTCCTCCTCCCTCGTTCTCCCTTATCCAGCCCCCTCCTGAGAGATTTATATATATACACACATATATATATATATATATATATCCTCCTCGGCATCTTTCTCCTCCCCCACTCCCCCTCCCCCCACCCGCCTTCCCCCTCCTCCCCTCCCTCCTCCCCCTCCTTGTCCTCTTCCTCCTCCCCTTGATCCCTCCCTGCATACCTTGGCGGCGCGCACAAGGGGGTTGCTTCTAAGAAGGCGCCGGCCTGATATCTCTAGATAAAGCCCGCGCCTTCTAAGGAGCAGGGGTGCTTCTAAGAAGCCCTCCCCCTCCCTCCACTCCAATCTGCGCGTGGCTGAGTACCCTTCTCTCTCTTTCATCCCCTCCTCCCCCTATCGGTCCCACCGAGGCGCGCCCGACTTCTGCTATGATGCATGCCTCGCAGGGATAGCAGAGAACAGCATGCAGCAGTCAGACCACAGACGTTCGTCTCATGCCACCGTGCCACCAATCCTCCTCCCCCCGCATCGCCGCCCAACCCCGGCGGCCATCATCAGGGAGCCCTGGAAGAGGTAAAAGAAGCCGCGGCCCCATATCTTTTCGAGTCCTCCCCCCGCGCGCTCGCGCGGACCACATCCCAGAAACAACTTCGAGCACCCAGAAAAGCATCGAAGTGGTGTCGAACGAGTGTTGCCTCCCAGGGCCCGACACGTGGAAACCCTCCAGTTTCGGCATTTCCTTGGTGCTCGAAAGGTCTCTCTGGCGATCGAGGCTGAAGCAGGTTGGGACATCATGAGCGTAGGGTTCAGTCGGGCGTGTCCCCCTACACAGGGGATTTTCCACGAGAATTGTAAAGCTACTCCAACATGGTCAAAACATGCCCAAACAATCATCCCCAGACTGTGGTTTGACTATGTTGGAATACTCCTCCTGTAGAGGGACGGGCCCGACTTGAGCATAGGGTTAAATCGGGCCTGTCCCCCTACAGGGGATTCTGGGCGACAAATAAAAACTACTCAACAAATAACCGACAAATGCTAAATAATAGTCAACATATCGTCCCCAGACTATTGTTCGACTATGTTTTTGAATACTCCTCATGCAGAGGGACGGGCCCGACGGTACGTACGCCTAGGGACGAGGGCGTGGGGCAGGGGCGCGGGCACTCCTGCGGGGGCAACGGGGAGGAGGGGGGGGAGGGGGGGGGGCACCTCCTGCGGGGGCAAGGGGCACGGGCGGGGAGAGGCTTAAGGGCTCCCAGCTTCGCGCTCTCGCGCCGCGCGAGGCGCGAAGAACTCCGCGCCCTCGCGCCGCCTCCCAGGGGGGAGAGAGCAGGACGAGGAGGGATCGGAGCCGAGCCGCGAGGCGCGAGGCGGGAATCACCTCGCGCCCTCGAGGGCGCCCCTGGAGAGGGGAGGGGGCTTGGGGGGGCGAGGGGAGGGGCGGGGCGGGGCGGAGGGGGCTTTTGGGGGGGGGCGCGGGGAGGGGCGGAGCGGGGCGAGACCACCCGTTCGGGCTCTTCCAGACGGCAGACGAGGGCCGCTGCTCTTCCGTGTCGGGTCGGCACAGAATCGAGGGCCTGCCGCTTCGCACGGCTTGCCTGTCTTCCCTGGTTCCCCTCGTCTGTTCCGCTCCCAGGAGCATCTGGCCGCCTCCTTCCAAAGGAGCACAACTCTCCTCCGTAACGAAACAATGCGCAAGCCCATACAAGACGCAGCTGCACACAACATGGCGCCCACTCCGCATCATTCATTCAAAAGGGTACAGGGATCCAGGGAAACTACCGAAAACCATGCGCGGATGCGCGGATGGAAGGCGATTCGAATTGACACTGGGGCTCCCGCTTGATAGTCCTCGAACTCTACGGCCCAGAATTCGAAGTTCCGCAACCATTTCAATCGTGTAGATCGCTGCCCCCAACGCCCTCAAGACAAATATGGCTCTCGCTTGAGTTCTCCTCAGTGGCAAGAGCTTTGAACATGTGGAGAGCTTGCACGCATGGAAGGCAAATCCTCTCCGGCCGCTCTGGTGGCCCATCTGGTGCAGTTTTGCACCCTGGATCAGTCTTTCACTGTCCAGAGGCCCGAACCCGACCCCCGGAAGCCGAACAGAGGAGCAGGACCTTCCCGATCGCTGGACACATCCTCGGATGTCCTGCACAGTCGGAGGGACGAAGCCCCTTTCTGAATCCCCAAAGCGCCTCCGTGCACGAGGAGGCCCAGGGGACCAGCAGTGGAGGGACCCAAGGAAAATCGAGCCCCTTCCGGAACGAAACTGCTCCTCATTCCAGAGTCTTCACTGCATGGCCATAAGTCGGCGGTGGACAAACCTCCCTTTAGTAAACCTCCCCTTAATGAAAACGGCCTGGGACAGAAACCGACGGACCTGGACCCGCAAAAATGACGGCCGCGACGCCCTCTCGTGAACCGAAAACGGCCAATTCCTCAATCGACGTGTCAGGATAGGAGGTCTGTCCAACCCCGAACCTAAGGAAAATCGAGCCCCTTCCGGACCTAAACTGCTCCTCATTCCAGAGTCTTGCCTGCATGGCCATGAGCACCTCGCTGCCTGCCTGCTTGCGGGAACGACGGAGGGCAGGTCCTCCACGCCACGGGGCCCCGCCCGGATGACGGGCGAACGGATGGAAGGCAGGCCCTGCTTCAGAACGGGTCTGCCCGTCGGTCGGAAGAAGCGGGCAGAAACATGAAGCAGGAAGGCGATGGAAGAAGACTGGGTGCCCGCCCGCCCCCGAAAGGAGGACAGAAACGGGGAAGCCGCTCGATCGTTGAGGTAGGAAAGCGCATAAAGTAGATCGGCGTCTCAGAAGAAGAACAACAAAAAACATAAACGTTTGGCGCTCCGCGCGGAGTTCTTGGATTTGCGCTGGACCCCCGCGCCAGGGGCGGCGCCGCAGGCGCCGCCGGGGGGGGGGGGCCCAGCACGGATCCGAGGAATCCGCGCGGAGCGCCACAAGTTTCAGTGTTTGTGTTTGTTTCTTCATCGAATCTGGGAATGCAAAAATGCCTACACGTCGGTCGGCAGAAGTAGGTAAGAACATGAAGTAGGAGGGCGGACAAAGTAGGCTGGGTTCAGGCCCTCCCAGACAGTAACAAAACGCAGCCGAAGCACCTCGATTCTTGAAGTAGGAAGGCGCTTGGAGCAGATTGCGATCTGGGAGTCCAGAAACGCCCACTTCCAACGACCCGCAGCACTCTCAACGACCGATGGGTACCTCGCTGCCTGCCTGGCCCGCCGGAACGACGGGAGGCAGGCCCTGTGCACGCAGCGGGGCCTCGCCCGACGCCGGCAGGCCCACGCAGAGGGTCGCCCTCCTCCCCCTGGAAGGCTGGCTCGGTGCCGACCGTCTCCTCCCTCGCCGTGCCCCTCCCTCGCTGCTGCTCCTCCCTCGCTGCCTCCCCCCTATCCCGCCCTCCATCCCTCGCCCTCCGTGCCCTCCATCTCCCTCGTGACCACCACCACCACTACCACCACTACGATCATCTTCATCACCGTCCACAACATCACCGCCCTCATCATCCCCATCATCCTCATCACCATCATCCTCATCCTCGTCCTCATCCTCATCCTCATCCTCATCCTCATCCTCATCCTCATCCTCATCCTCATCCTCATCCTCCTCCTCCTCCTCCTCCTCCTCCTCCTCCTCCTCCTCCTCCTCCTCCTCCTCCTCATCATCATCATCATCATCATCATCATCGTCATCGGCATCATCAGCATCAGCATCAGCATCAGCATCGGCATCGGCATCGGCATCGGCATCATTAACATCAACAGCAGCAGCAACAGCAACACCATTACCACCGTCGCCACTGCCAACATCCCCATCACCACCATCGACATCATCACAATCATCATCATCATCGCCACCATCATCCTCTCCTCCTCCTCCTCCTCCACCTCCTCCTCCTCCTCCTCCTCCTCCGCCTCCGCCTCCGCCTCCGCCTCCTCCTGTTCCTGCTCCTGCTCCTCCTCCTCCTCCTCCTCCTCCTCCTGCTCATCAGTACATATCGCCCAGCTGCCTCGCAGAGTGAGCTCATAGGTTCGGATCCCATGGTTAGCACATATCCAGCTGCCCCCTTCCACAGCGCGCAACTTGCGCCCACGCGCGAAGGTCATGAAGACATGCTGCTGACTCCTGTGATCTCGAACTGATGGGAGCTGCGACTTGATGAGGAAGATAAAGAAGTGCAAAACCCCAAAGGAGAGGAGGGGAGGGAGAGGGGGAGGGGGGGGAGGAGGAGGAGGAGGAGGAGGAGGAGGAGGAGGAGGAGGAGGAGGAGGAGGAGGAGGAGAGGTAGAAGGAGAAGTAGGAAGGCGGAACATCAAGGTGGAACATCCACTAGACAAGGAGCCTGAAGAGCAGCGGGAACGGCGGGGACAAAGCGGAGGGGGGAGGAACATGAGAAGGAGCCGGAGGAAAGCGCGAGGAGAAGCAGCGGGACCATCACGATCCGCATAGGTCCTGAAGCCCAAGTGTGCACCCAGACCTTTGTCCTCTCGGCCATGCTCGAGTGCGACGACACGTCGAGCTCGGTCAAGCACGTCACCTCCGAGGGGCGGAGCTGTCAGAGCTGCAGTGCTCCCGGCCGTGCCAGCCAGCTCGCGTCGCCCAGCTGGTGCGCGCGGACGAGGAGGTGGGCGGGCAGCGGAGGACGAGGCAAGAAGGCAAGCGGGGGGCGTGGGGGGGGGGGGGGCGAGCGAGGGAGGGGAGCGGGCGAGGCGGCGAGACGCGCGGAGGAGAGGCAGGGCGGGGGAGGAGAGGGGGGGAGCGAAGGGCCGAGGAGGAGTGCGGCAGTGGCACACGGGGGGGGGGGGGGAAGGCGGAAGGCAGGCGGGGGAGGAGGCGGGGGGGGGGGGGGGGGCGAAGGAAGGGAGGTGCGGCTCTGGCACGGGGAGGGGGAAGGCAGGCGGGGGGAGGGGAGGAGAGGGGGCGAATCTGCGACCTGGAAGGGGTTTTGTTTTGGGGGGGGAGTATTTGTTGGGGGGGGGAAGGAGAAAAGGTGGAGGGGTGGAGGGTGCAAAATGGAAGAAAGGAAGCGGCATGCCCTCCTTCTGCCGCTGCGGGTGAGGGGAGGCGCCGCGCTGCCGCCAAGACGATCGCGGCAATCAGCACAACTATCACGCCAGTGACGAAGCCCACATCTCCTGCCGACCACGAATCCGACAGACCTTCAGGTCGCACAGTCGGACACGTGAAAGTTGGACAGGTGATGTTGATCGAAGGGATCGAACACGACACAGCTGGACAGGTGACCGAACAGTCGGGACACGGCGGGCACTTCTGAGTACCGAGCGCCCACAAGATACAGAAGTCGGCGGCCTTGGAAGCTGCTAGTGCGGAGAGCCACGCGACCATGGGAGAGACTCGAGCCGGAACATTATGTTACGGCACTCGTGACTGCTTTATCATAGCTCGTGCACTGAAGAAAAAGCATGGACAACAACCCTGCCATGTGTTCTCCCTTGTTTTTTATGTGTTCTGCCTTGCGCGCTGCCCGCGCCGCAGCCGGCGCCGCAGCCGCGCGGCCCCCCGCGGCGGCGGAGCCCCGCGGGCAGGGCCTCCCTCTCGGAGTCCGCCTCCCCCTCCCCCTCTCATTCCACAGGGCTCCATCTGGCCCTCTCTCCCTTTATCGCCCGCCCTCCCTCTCGCCCTCCCTCCCTCAATGTCCCTCCCTCCCCCTCGTTCGCTCTACCTCGCGCTCTCTGTTTGTGGGTTCTCTCTCTATCTCCCTCATTGACTTTCTCTTTGTCTATCTCTCTCTCTCTCTCTCTCGCCTCCGTCTTCCTCGCAGGGCTCCTCCACCAGCCTCTTCCTGCTTGCACATCCCCGCCCTCCTCCACCCGCCAAATCCATTCCCGGTTTGCTCCTGACTCATCCCGTCCCCTCTCTCCATCACCCTTTCCGCGCTCCACGATGCGCCCTCGTCCACCCCCTTCCTCACCGCTCCTGTCCCCTCCTTCGGTGGCAACTCATGGGAGCCTCCCATACCATATTGTCGGCTCTTGCGAATTGACGCTAATCGACGCTTGTCGACGCATCGACGCTAAGTCGACGCTGATCGATGCTCACCGACGCTAAAACGGCGCTCTATCATCGACTCCCAGGCGCTCATCGGCGCGAACCGACGCCAAAGACGGAATGCATAATACCCGGGCTCCCACGACTCGCCACCGAGCGCTCCTGTCCCCTCCTCCAGCTCGCAGAGATCCAGGCCTCGGAACAAATTAGCGAACACTCATGCCACATTTATCCGTCAACGGCTCCCCCTCCCCCCAGTGTTCAGAGTTGGCGGTGGGTCTGATGAGATGCACTTCGACCGCAGTCTCCACCGCGCGTGCCAACATTGAGGTTGTGGGGGGGGGTGTTCAGTGATTTCGAGAGCGGCCAAGAGGGAGGTGTCCAAGAGGGGGGGGTGCAAATCATGACCGGCGGCACGTGCGCGGCCCCGCGGGGGGGCTAGGGACGTAGTGAAATAAGAAAAGGCGCCATGAAATCTGGGGAGATATCGTAGCCCCCGCCGTGATGTCCACCCTCCCTAGTCATCACCCCCCTCTTTTCCGCCCCCGATCTTTATCCTCCTGAGATAGGGCCCCCCGCCCGCTGGGGCCCGCCCGCCCGCTCCCCGCCCATTGCAGGGCCCGCCCCTCCCCGACTCGGCCGGCCGGGCTCCGCCCGCCCGGCCCGCCCGCTCGGGTCCGCCCGCCCAGGCCGCCTCTCCCAGGCCATGTCATCGACCCCTCCTCCTCCTCCTCCTCCTCCTCCTCCTCCTCCTCCTCCTCCTCCTCCTCCTCCTCCTCCTCCTAGTCATCACCCCCCTCTTTTCCGCCCCCGCTAATTGTTTCCCTCTGCCGTCTCTCTGGCGGGGGCGCGGTGGCCATGCCGAAGAGCAGCAGGTAGCAGCTCACGACGTAGCGCATCTTGCTCTCCAGGCTGGCGGGCGGGGGCGAGGCGGGCGAAGAGGCGCGCCAGCGCCCTCGCGGGGAGGAGGAGGAGGAGGAGGAGGAGGAGGAGGAGGAGGGAGGAGGAGGGGAGAGGAGGGAGGGAGGAGAAAGAGGAGGAGGGGAGGAGGAGGAGGAGGAGGAGGAGGAGGAGGAGGAGGAGAAGAGAATGAGGAGGAGGGGGGAGGAGGAGGAGAGGAGGAGGAGGGGAGGAGGAGGAGGAGGAGGAGGAGGAGGAGGAGGAGGCGGAGTGAGGAGGAGGAGGGGGAGGAGGGAGGGGGAGGAGGAGGAGGAGGAGGAGGAGGAGGAGGTGGAGGAGGAGGAGGAGGGGGAGGAGCGAGGAGGAGCAGGAGGAGGGAGGAGGAGGAGGAGGAGGAGGAGGAGGAGGAGCAGGGGAGGGAGGGAGGGAGGGAGAGGGAGGGAGGGAGGAGGAGGGGAGGAGGGAGGAGGGGAGGGAGGGAGGAGGAGGGAGGAGGAGGAGAGGAGGTGGAGGAGAGGAGGGAGGAGGAGGAGGAGGGGAGGGAGGGAGGGAGGGAGGGAGGGAGGGAGGAGGGAGGGGGAGGAGGAGGAGGAGGAGGAGGAGGAGGAGGAGGAGGAGGAGGAGGAGGAGGAGGAGGAGAGTGCAGATGGCACGGGGAGGAAGGTGGAGACTGGAGGAGGCTACGCAGCTGACCCGTACGCGGCCGTGGGCGAGACAACGCTGTCAAAGATACGAAGCCATAACTTGATAGACAAGTTGTTGATCATCGAATGTTGCGCACATGTTTGCTTCGAATGTGCCACCATATCGAAACATCGGGGACGTTGTACATCTGGGCAATGCCCGGTGCGGAGCGACCCCATTCCCCCCAGATCGCTCATCCAGAAAATTTCGCTCTGGCGGCACCATCAATGTGGACGGGTACGAAACCCGCATGATGTACAAAATCCACAGGATAAACCCGCATGCGCAGCCAATGCAGGCGGATACGACCCCCCAGGCTGCTGGGAGCGCTCGGGGGGCGCTTGCGAGCGCCTGCGGTGATTGGGACTCTTCCTCCTCTTCCTCCACCTCCTCCTCCCCCTCCTCCTCCTCCCCTTTCCTCCAGTTACTCTCACTCTTCGGATGTAGAAAACATCTTAGGGCTTGCGCGCGATGTCACAATCCAATCCTGGAAGGACGGAGCGACACCAGGCTGGCCACGAGCGCGCGACGATTACACACCTGCCCAACCAGTAGGACCCCACGTGGACGCCCCACAGACCCACGCGGAGGCCCGAGACCCACACGCCACGCCCACAGGGATCGGGTCGGGCGAAAGGGGGGGATAGCAAAGGGGGGGGGGTGAGAATCAGCTCACGTAGCGGATTCTCCCGGCGCCTCCCGGCGCCAGAGGCGGCTGTGTATCGAGGAGTGGGCCCCTCGGGGAGGCCGAAACCAGCTGCATGCAGCAAATCTCGTAACCCCCCCTTTCCCAATCCCCCCCCTTCGTCCGGCCCGACACAGGGAGACCCACCCCTCACTCCCACAGAGGGGGGTGGGGTTCTACGGGTCGTCCGCGGTCAGCGGCACCCAGCGCGCCCCGTATTCCACCCCTGGATAAAGTGAGCAGAGGGGGTGGGCTCTCGGGCCGTCGGCGGCCCTGGCCGCTACACGTAAGGAACCTCCGGGAATAGGGGGGGAGATGGTCGTGCTTCTGGGCACCGCTCACAAATCCGCCGACCCTGTGTCGGCGTGTGTGAGGGGCTTGTCCGTTCCCATCGTTCGCTCGTCGTCTCCGTCGTCTCCTGTCCCTGCGCCCACCCTTTCCCTGGGCCCATCGTCTCCTGTCCCTGCGCTCTCCCTTTCCCTGGGCCCGTCTCCCCTCCCCCCCTTTCCCCCTCTTCGATGGGCCCGTCGCCGCTCCCCCCCCGCTTTTCCAGGGCCCACCTCTCAAGAGCGACGTTGTCATTGAGTCGAAGGGACGCCCCTTCCCTTTGATCCCATCCCTGCCGGGCTGGGGGGTCCCGGGGGGGAAACCGCGTCAGATACAGTGGGGGCGTTGACCTAAGGAACCCTAAATAAGGAACGAGGCCCCCTTGTCCCATAAGTTAAACTTCGATTTCCCATCGAAAACCTAAGGAAAACCTGAGGGAAGCTGTGAAACCATCAAGGAACACGGAGCCCCTCCCCAACGAAAAGGGATCCTTCTTCTGGGCCCCGACTGTACGACTCCCCCCCTGGGGGTCCCGGGGCCCACACAAAGCCTCAGACGGGTCAAGGGCCGAGCCATTGTACCACGCCCTCTCCTCCCTCCCCCCTCCTCCCTCCATCCTCATCTCTCCTCTTTCCTCCGTCCCCCTCCAGAACCGAACAGGCCTCCTGGACGCTCGGCCACGGGACACCCCAGGACCCAAAATTCCGAGGTCCCCGGGACCCTCCAGGACTCAGCCCCGAGGACCTCCTCCCAGGACCCAGCACCAGGAACCAGCCCCCCAGAAAGTCCAGGACTCCCAGGCCCCAGGACCCCAGGACCAATCCTGCACCATGCGGCCCTGCTCGCCTCGTTCTGCTGCTATTAATTTCCCCCCTCTCCTCCTCCTCCTCCTCCTCCTCCTCCTCCTCCTCCTCCTCCTCCCTCCTCCTCCTCCTCCTCCTCCTCCTCCTCCTCCTCCTCCTCCTCCTCCTCCTCCTCCTCCTTCCTCCTCCTCCTCCTCCTCCTCCTCCTCCCCTCCTCCTCCTCCTCCTCCTCTCCTGCTCCTGTTCCTGCTCCTCCTCCTGCTCCTGCTCCTGCTCCTGCTCCTCCTCCTCCTCCTCCTCCTCCTGCTCCTCCTCTTCCTCCCCCTCCAGCCTCCTGCTCCCTGACGTCCTCCGCCTCCTGCTCCTCAACGTCCTTCTGCAGGGTCGGCGGCACCGGTCGTAAGGCCTTCGCAATATGACTGACTCCTGCGAGTCTGCTCAGGCTGATCGCGTGCTTCGGTTTGATGGTTTCCCTCCCCGCTCAGTTCCACTGCTGGCTCAACCACGACCATGGTCAAAGGAACTCGCCTGTATGTTGTTTCTGGCTGGGCTGATAGGGTATACGCGGCGCATCGATGTCAACAATAATATGGCACTATTAGAGGCTTCCTAGATGGGGTCGGAGCAATGGGGTCGAAGGATCGCCCCGCATCGACGATACATCGGCGATTCATTGGTGATGCACCGATGCATCGGCGACGTCGGCGATGCATCGGCGACGTCGACGTGAAGCAAATCGGGCCCCGCATCGAGACGCATCGGCGAGGCATTGGCGATGCGGCGCGATCCTTTGACACGATCTACTCCGATCCCATCTAGGAGGCCTAGAGCTGATGGCCTTAGATCGGGCATGTCCACCTACAGGCTGATTCTGGAGGAAGACAAAACAAGGTCAAAACATATTCAAACATGGTCAAACATAGTGAGAACATCGTCCCCTGCCTATGTTGTACTCTTTTTTGAACCCTCCCCCTGTAGAAGGACATGCCCGACTTCACAAGAGCAGTCAGAGCACGGCGTGACTGCCGTGCGCGTGCGGCAGACGACGAAACCAGAGCGGTGGCATCACCTCGGGGCCGTGTGCTCACGCGTGGTGGAAGGGGCGAGGAGGGGGAGGGGGAGGGGACTGAGGGGAGGGAGGGGAGGGAGGAGGAGAAGGTGGAGGAGGAGAAGGAGGAGGAGGAGGAGGAGGAGGAGGAGGAGGAGGAGGGGAACGAGGAGGGGGAGGGGGAAGAGCAGAGGGAGGGAGAAGCGGGCACGTGCCTGGTCGCCTGGGCCCGAGCACGAGCAGCAGCGATCCGCTCAGCAGGCTGGCGCGGCGGCGGAAGGGCCCCGGGTCGACTGGACTGGGCGGACGGGGGATGGGATCCGGAGTGTCCCTCAGATTGCGCGCGAGGTGCCTTCCCAGGACTTGGTCTCGAGCCTGAGTTCTGCCTACAAATAGAAGAAAAGCACGCTCGCAGGGAAGTGGTCGTATGCCCCGTCGTCTTCCAGAGCAAGTGGCGGATGAAGACGCTGATGCATAGTTGCAGGGAAGCCATGCCGGGCTTGCAAAAACCACTGAACTCGACACACGCGGAATGAACAACTACAAAACCCAATGCTGGCAACCACGACGCATTTACACACCCGCACACCTTACCGTCCCACATCATGCACCTCATCAAGAATACAGAACGGGCCGCATGCCAACACAATGCAATAGAAGCTCGTACGACTGGACATGGGCAACCATATATGGATCTGGACTCTGTCGCTGCATTGGCCCTCCCTGCGCGCACATGCTGTAGATCGAGATGACTTGGATGAAGCTGTACACCACCACGGCCGCACCTCGAAGGTTTGGAGCAGGCGAGCCGAGGAAGCAATAGCAGGCCCAGCAAACATTCAGTCGAGTTGTTTGTTGAAATGAAGAACGCTTCATAAGGAACCAAGCTCCTTTCTGGCACCAGAAATGGCTGGGTGCCCGATGAGGGTTAGAGAAATACCAACGGAATGACCTAAGCAACAGCGAGCCCCTTCCAAACCCACAGCGGTCCTTATGTCAGCGAGCTTGACTGTGCGAACGATACGTGATGTACGCGAAGCGAAAGAAACTCGATGAGAAGAAGCTCTGGCCTCTCCCCGACATCCCGCAAATATACACGCAGCCCAGATTCGATTGACCACTCTTCCCCAATCTCCTCATACTGGCTTCTTGATCTTTGTCTTCCTCCACCCTCATCCACTCCTCTCCCCTCCCTCCTCCTCATTCTCCTCCTCCGCTTCAGCCTGGTCCTGCTTTCTCTTCAGCCCAGCGCTACAAGATGAATGCACATCTATCTGACCAAGAGAGGGCAACAGTAGCCTCCAGCCAAGCAGGCGTTGCGCATAGGTGTCTCCTCGCACCCCTTCGTTTCTGGCAACAATGACAAACTCATCCTCCACTGCTTCTGTTTCGCGTCCTCCACCTCCTCTCCTTGCCATCATCCGCATCTTCCCGTTTCTATCCTGTGATCTCAAACTTATACGAGAGCCCTCGTCATCAAACTCCTCCTCTTCTCTCTGCTACGTCTAATTACCTTGTCCTCCACATACCTCCGTTTGGGGGGGAAGAGACGCGGAGCAGGCCCAGGACGAGGAGGATGAGGACAAGGCTAATGACATCGAGGACGAAGGAGGATGAGGACAACGAGGCCGACGAGGTGGAGGACGAGGAGAATGGCGAGAGGAACGAGGCGAAGCTTGAGGCGGGGCGTGCCAGAGCCGGGCTGCCAGTGCCGAGCTGGGCGTGCCAGTGCCTCTGCGAATCTATGGATGCAGGCCCCTGCTGGCAAAGGCCCGCCCGGGGCGCCCTCCGTGGCTTCGACTACTGTCGGACCCAGGCCAGAATAACATCCTTTATCCTCCTCCTCCTCCTCCTCCTCGCCTCCTCCTCGCCTCCTCCTCGTCCTCCTCCTCCTCCTCCTCCTCCTCCTCCTCCTCGCCTCCTCCTCCTCCTCCTCCTCATCTTCCACGGCCTCCGTCTCCGCCCACTTCGTCACCGACGTCGTGGTCCTGTTCAGGGTCGGCGGCACCGGCCGTCAGGCCTTCGCAATAACATCCTTTAAGAACATGAGACCCTCCGCCAGCCAAAACAAGGATACCCTGCCGAGGATGCACAAGACCATCCAACAAACACGAAGAGCACTACTAGGGTACCCTCTCCGAACCGATCTCGATCTTATACCTCGGTCCGACTGTAGGACGCGAGGAGCAGTCGCACAGCACATCGGCACCAGAGGGCCGCACGACGGCGTATCGACACCAGCCGGCGTCTGCAAGGCACGTGACGAGGCACGAACACAGCTTCGACACCGGGGGAGGGGAGGAGGACGGAGCCGGGAGGGGAGGATACACTTAAGAGTGATAACGGCGAGAGGGTGAGGGGACGGCGAAGGAGAGGGAGGAACAGACCCAAAAGTCAGAGCGCGCCAAAGCCAGCAACGGAGGAGAGAAAAGGGGGCGGCGAGGATGGGGAGGAAGAGCAGGTTGAGGAGGAGGAGGATGATGACGACGGGGGATGGGGAGGGGGAGGTGGAGGAGGAGGAGAAGGAGGACCAGTGTGAATAAAACCTCCCTTCACACTCCCACTTCAGTGTCCCCTACAACAATTCGTGTCCACTGACGAAGCTGCCTCGCTGGGACTCCAACGCCACGAATCGACTCGACTGCTGCGTCTTGAAGATCCGAAACCGTGCCAGAAAACCGCTCCTGCGATTCCACCACCGCGCATCGACGTAACTGCCGCGCCCTCACAATCCACGAGTCCGTCCGAAACATGTCTGGCACGTTGGCCCAGGGAATCCGTGAACCTCTTGCCAATGTTTCCGGCGAGCGGGCGCGGCCCCGAGGCGAGAGCCACGCTTCGAAAAGGAGCCGCCGCGAATCCTTGAAGATTTTTTTGCGAGGGCTTCAACGAGAATTTTGCGCGGCGCTAAGGCGAGAACCACATGTTGAAGACGACCCGTCCTCAATCCGCGAGGCGCTGGCAAACTCCAAACGAATGTGCGCGGCGCTACGGCGAGAATCCCACTTGAAAAAAAAACGCCCGCCCTCAATCCGCAAGACCCGTGCAAAGATCTGAAAAACATGTACGCGGCGCCGAGGCGAGAGCTACATCCTGAAAACCGCCCGCCCTCCATCTGTGAAGCTGCCGCCAGGATGCAAACCTCAGATTCATACATGGCGAGGAGCCTCCAGCGAAGCGCCCGGCCCGCCCTTTCGACCGGCCGCGGGGCGCGACAGGAAGGTGCTACTTGAAGGAAAAGTGCTGGAGTACAGTGGGGGGCGAAGCGGAGCGAAAAGAGACGGGGGCAAGACGCCCGAGGGGGTACGGGGGGAGAGTGAAGAGCAAAGAAAGGGTGAGAAGGAGGAGGAGGAGGAGGACGGGGGAGGGATGTGGAGGAGGGGGAGGGGGCGTGGGATCATCTGCGAGGGAAGACTCTGAAGGGGAAAGGCGCTGCCTTCCCCCCCTCCTCCTTCTCAAATCCCTCCGCCTGCCTCTTCCTCACCGTCCTGCTCGTCCGCCTCCTCGACCTCGCCCTCGTCTGGTCGTCGTCGCGCCGCTCGTGCTGCCTGCCCTCTTCGTCCTTGTCTTCCTCATCGTCCTTTTCTTCCTCTCCGTCACCATCGTCATCCCACTTCTCCTCCTCCTCTTCGCCATCATCTCCCTTCCCTCCTCGTCCCCCTCTCCCTCCTCCTCTCCATCATGCTCGTCGCAGCGTCGTCGCCGTCTTCACCGCCATCCGCCTCCTCCCTCCCCTATTCCTTCTCCTCCTCCTTCTCCTCTTCTTCTTCTTCTTCCTGCTCCTCCTCCATGTCCTCCTGCTCCGACCGATCCTTCCGCACCGTCCACGTCCTGCTTCCTGCGTGCTCCTTCTGCTCTCCGCCTCCTCGTGCTCCTCCTGCTCCTCCGCCTCTTGGCTCGCCTCCTCCAATTCCTCTGGGCTGCTGGAGGCGGCCAACGGTCTGCAGCTGCTGGCGCGCGCGCCCGCCCCGCTCCCAGCACCCGTCCTGCTGCAGGTAGCCGTGGACCGCGGCCAAAGTCGCCGACGGGTCCTGGCCCCCATCCCTCCCTTGAGGGGCCACACTCTTCTCTAGAAGACAGCCATAATCTCACCAACAGCAGCACTATCAGCAACAGCCGCAAACGCAGCAGCAACAGCAACAGCAGCAACAACAACACCAACAACACTAGCACCACCACCAACAAAAAAACGCCCGACAACCACAATACCAATAACAACAATATCAGCATCATCATCATCATCATCATCATCATTTTCATCATCATCATCATCATCATCAGCATCATCATCATCATCATCATCATCATCATCAACAACAACAACAAAAACAACAACAACCACAACCACAACAACAACAACAATAACAGCAACAGCAACAGCAACAACAACACCACCAGCATCATCAACATCTTCAAAACAGCAGCAATTGGATAAACATTCAACGGTCCGCGGGAATTCCTTGGATCTGCGCGGAGGCCCCCTCCCTGGAACGCAGAGCGCGCCATGGGCGGCCGTCGAAAGTTTATGTGTATGACACGTTCTTCAATTTTCCCTATCCCCCGTCCATTTTCCTATCAGCACGAAGCATCGTCACCAGACTACTGTTTGTACTATCCTGTCGGGGGACATGCCCGACTTAATCCTCGCTCCGCCCGAGGATTGAAAAACAAAAAGTCGGCATGAACAGAAGCTTCTGGAGTTCCGCGCGGATTCCTTGGATCTGAGCTGGACCCCCTTCCCCTGGCGTGCGGAGCGCGCCAGTGGCGGCGCCGGAGGCACCGCCATGGCGTTCCAGCGCAGATGAAAAATCATCGTCACCAGACTATTCTTCCGGTTTTTGGAATAGTCCTCCTCTCGAGGGGCATGCCCGACTTCAGTCCTTTGCGCAGCGTAGCATATGATGACTCTCTCCAGATCCGACCATCGAACCCCGCTGCGCCACTGCGCGCCCTTCTCGCTATCGCTGGCCCCGTCAGTGTAGCTGAAGGGGCCCGAAGGCACACGAGTCAAAACAATGAAACCCGAAGATTCCCATATATTTTTCTCATGTGTTCTTCATGTTCCTCCTCCTCCTCCTCCTCCTCCCACTCATCCTCTCCTCCTCGGCCCCGCCCTCGTCGCTCTCCTCCTCCTCCTCCTCCTCCTCCTCCGCCCCCTCCTTCCAGTCGTCTTCCTCGGCCTTCATGCTCGTCGTCCCTCCCTAGGGGGCAAACAAACCTACCTCGCTTTTGACCACCCTCGCTTCCAAGAGATACCAAGCGATGCCCAACTGCGGCCTGTACTGGCCAGGCCGCTTGACGAGGAGGCGCGTGGTATGACTTGGCTTTGCCTGGAAGCGAAAGCGGGGTAGGTAATTCACGCTCTGACTCCCACCTCTCCGCCCGAGGGAGCTGCCCCCGACCCGCGGGGGCGCCTGAAACGCCGCCGCGCCGGCGCCCGGGCGCGGCGGGGCGCTGACGGACCCGGCCGCGCTGCCGAGCCGCGGCGTGGCCTCGCCGCCCGGGGCGCGCGCCGCGCGCCGCCGTCGCTAGGGGGGGGGCATGCTGGCGGTCTCGGAGGCCCGCGTGGGGTTCCTGCCATCGCTCGGACGTCCACTCCCTGTGTTTTTGTTCGGTTTCGTGCGTGGTTTTGTCGCCGAATGATCAAGGATGCTCCCCGATGGTCCTCGACGAAGGAAAAAGATCACACGTCCGAGCGATGCCAAGTAGAGGGCAGTTTGAAATACATCGGATTTTAAAAAATCTAGGATCGTTTTATACATGACTAGTTCATGCATGCATTTATGCATGAGCTCATCGTTGTTTTTTAAAACTGAAGCCCGGCATTTTTTAATACATGATCCGCACGCGGAGCGTGAATTAAATACGGCACTGTAGGGGGAACAAAAGGTCACATATATAAACATAGAAACTCCGAGCTCCGCGCGGATTTCTCGGATCGGCGCTGGACCCCCCTCCCTCGCGCGCGGACCGCGCTAAGGGCTGCGCCGGAGGCGCCCCCGGGGGGCCCCAGCGCCGATCCGAGAAATCTGCGCGGACCTCTGGGTCTTTATGTTTATGCCACTTTTTGTTCCCCTGGACCATCTTGGGCCCATTTTTGGCCCCGGGGCCGTCTTGCAGCGATCTTGTTGGCCCCTGGGGCCATTCTGGGCCGTCGGCAGCCCAAAGGAGCAAGAACGTTCACATTAAGAGCCATACGGCAGTCAACGATGTTTGTGAGGGGGGGGAGCTAGGTGCGCTCGCGTCATATTTGGCGTTCTACCCATCCCTCCCATCCCGTAGCATGGCGTGGATCCCCTGTCTGTTCGCACAGTCGGACGTCGAGCGAGGCAATGATCGCGAGAGGGTTCGTGATGCATCGTAGAGCACGGCATGGTATGGCGTAGCGGAGCACGGCAGAGCGTAGAGTGTCATAGCATGGCGTGGCATTTAGTGAATCATTGCATCACAAAGCATTGCAACGCAAAGCATGGCATCGCACATCGGCGCAAATCAACACACCGCACAGCATGTCATGGCATGGCCCCGGGTTCCTTGGAGGGAAAGTGGATCGTCCTCGAAGGGTCTGGGCCGGTCTGGAGTCGCGGCTCCATGTTTAGCTCCCTCGGCTCCCAGAAAAGCTCCCCACAAGGCGGGGCTGATGGAGAGCACCCGCTGGCTCTGCTTGCAACATCGCCTCTCTGAAAGCAGGAACGAGGCTCCCGCGTGATACTTTCTCCAAACGACGCCGCCCCGAAGTGGGGGGGGGCTTTCTTCTGTGGCCAAACAGTCCGAAGAATCGGCACCGGATGTATAATCATTTGGGATGGTTTTTTTCCAAGGGTAATATTCTAAATTTATTGCCTACTTGGAAGGACGGAAAACGCCCGCGCTGCAGCGGGAACACGTTTCGGAACAACCAGACGCGCAGAAATGGGGCCAGCGCTGCAACGGGGGCACCACTTTGAAGAACCGAAAAGAATCGGATTGTAAAAAATACATGAAAAAAGCAGGAAATCAAGCCAACGCTGCAGCGGGAGCACGATTCGGAACGAGCAGAGGCGCGGAAATTAGGCCAACGCCACAGGGGGGGAGCACGATTCGGAACGAGCGGAAGACCGAAAAGGACGCCAGCGCTTCAGCGAGAGCAGCATTTTGAAAACAAAGCGAAGCGAAAAGGCATCTCCCAGGAATCCTGCACCAAAAAAAACGCACGCGGATGGGGGGCAGGATACCCCCAGACGTCATCAGGGAAGGGATGAGAATACAGTCGGACTCGATTGGACAGGACACGCGAGGGGACACAAGGCCCTTCCGAGGGCCACATTGCCACAGGAATGTAAGAAGCATGGGTCGCGAGACACAGGACACACGGGTATTCTTGATTTGGCAGGGTCGACCTGCTGATCTGGGCCGACTGTAGCATTCAAATTGTGTGACTGTGGAGAGGGGGAGGAAGGAAGCAGGAAGGGGGCGAGGGATGTGGGAGGAGGGAGGGAAGGGGGGAGAGAGGCAGGGAGGGGAGAGAGGCAGGAAGGGAGGGAGGGAAGGCGGTGTGGGAGGGAGGGAGGGAAGCAGGAGGGGAGGGGAGGAAGGGAGGGGGGAGGGAGGAAGCAGGAAGGGAGGGGGGGGAGGGGGGGAGGAAGGGAGGGGGGAGGAGGGAGGGGGTGGGGGAGGGAGGAAGCAGGAAGGGATGGGGAGGAAGGGAGGGGGGAGGGGGGAGGGAGGGGGGAGAGAGGGAGGAGAGAGAGGGACCCAGACCCCCCTGGCGCCGTGGGAAAGATCACGACAGGAGGCTCTTCTATGATCTCTCGACCTCTGGGGGGCCCGTACCGTGCCCCGGGGCCGTCAAGGAACTCTAGTCGAGGCGCTGTCAATAAGGACCCCAAATAAGGACCCCAAATAAGGACCGTCGAGGATCCTAAATAAGGACCCTAAATAAGGACCCTGATAAGGACCCTAAAGGAACCTACATAAGGACCGTCAAGGACCCTAAAGGACACTAAAGGACCCTAAATAAGGACCCTAAAGGGCCCAAAATAAGGACTCTAAATAAGGACCGTCAAGGAAATAAGAGCCCTAATAAGGACCCTACAGGACCCTAAATAAGGATCGACACAATCAAACATCAGGACACTGAATAAGGAACGAGGCTCCTTTCTTCGACAAGTTAAACTTCGATCTCGCATAGAACGTGTCAGGAGAACCTTAGACAAGCTGTAAAGAAACTAAGGGACCCTGAACCGCTCCCCAGCGAAAAGGGTTCCTTCTTCAGCGGCCCGACTGTACTCAGGATGAGAGACCGGTCGGGGGGAAGGGGTCGAGACCTCTGAGGGGTCGACGCTGCAAAAAAAACACGCCGTCGGGGGTCTGGGGAGGGAGCACGGAGGGGAGGGAGGAAGCGGGGTGGAGGGGGGAAGGGGGGAGGGAGAGATGGAGGGAGGAGACATGGTGGGTGGGGGGGAGGGAAGAGGCGGGAGGAGGGAGCAGGAGACGAGAGGAGGGGGAGAGAGCAGGGAGGAGGGAGGAGAGGGGAGGGAGGGAGAGAGGAAGTAGAGGACGCAGGCAGGCAAGGCGGGCCACCTGGCCATGCCTCAAGGGGGCCTGGCTCTGACCGTGGCTAAATCGTGGAACCCAGGGCCTTGACCGCAGTGCTAGGGGCTCCCCGTGTTTGACGGGGGTCGAATGTTTTCGCGGCCGAAGGGGCATGGTCGCAAAGGTAACCTTAGAGAGTCGTGCATCCTAGCTGGGAGGGTTGACCGTACAGCAGCAGGAAGGGAGGATGAGAAGGGGGGGGAGGCCAGGCGGCTCGGACGACTCGGCGGAGGCTGCGAGGAAGCCACGCGGCACCAGTGTGGCCTAGGCCAGAAAAACATCCCTCAAGAACACGAGACCTTCCGCCGGCACAAACACACATGATATCCTAGGGTACCCTTCCCAGGATGCACAAGATCATACAACAAGCAAGAGCACTAGGGTACCATCCCCGAGCCGACCTCGATCTGATACCTCGGTCCGACTGTAATCACGATGAGCGGTAAGGATGCACGGGCCTCGGAAGGCCCTGTTGGCGTTTTCGAACGGGGCTGGCCAGCGAAAGTCGCCAAGGATGGGCCGAAGGGGCAAGGTTGCAAGGGTAACCTTGAAGGATCGCTCATCCATACAATGCGGGCTGACCGCACTGCAGCAGGGATGGAGGATGGAAAGGAGGGGGAGAGGCCAGGCGGCACGGACGACTCCGCGGAGGCTGCGAGGAAACCCCGAGACCAGCGGAGAGGCGTCACAGCCTCGGCCGCGCGGGGAGGGATAGTCGGGCCGGGCGAAAGGGGGCGATAGCAAAGGGGGTGTTTGAGAATCAGCTCACGTAGCTGGCTTTCCCGGCGCCTCCCGGCGCCGGAGGCGGCCATGTATCGAGGAATGGGCCTTTCGGTGGGGCAGAAAGCAGCTGCATGCAGCAAATTTCGTAACCCGCGCTTTCCCTATCCCCCCCTGTCGTCCGGCCCGAGAGAGGGGCGAGAAGGCAAGAGGGGCGCGCGGGGTGAGGAGCGGCGGCCTCGGAGGTGAGCCGGCCAGCTCAGCACCACCCGGCCACCACCGGCCTTCGCTGGGCCGACGCGTCTTGCTGAGTGGGCCCTTCTGCCTGGATCCGGGGAGGCCCCCCCCCTGAGGCCCCGAAGAGCTCTGGATGCGTGCAAGCGCGGAGGGCGGCGGAGAGTAACCAGCCTCGAACGTATCCCTATCCCTAAGATAAAAAAGCCAAAAGTCGACGACAATCTTAGGGATGCGCCCTCAGAAACGGAGGGAATCCCTAAGATCGGCATCGAGATGAGGCGATGCCAATCATAGGGATGGGGATATGTTCCAGGCTGGTGAGAGAGAGGAGGGGGGGAAGGAGGAAGGCGGACAGAGAGGAGCGAGGCTGCGGACACGCAGAGGGTGTCCAGGATCCGCGCGAGCTCAGAAAGGGCGGTGACCTGGATCGGGATCTCAGACTCGTCCTCCTTTCAGCTGCGCTGCTGCGCTGACGCGGTGGCGGCTGGACTCATGCCTCGGCATTGCTCTGATCCTCCACACCGTCCCGTTCTTGCGTCTCGTCTCACTGCACCTATTCAATGTGCGCATCACAATCCTGGTCATTCGCCATATTTTGGTCGTGCTTCTCGTCGCCGTTGCCCTCTACTCATCATCATCATCATCATCATCATCATCATCATCATCATCATCATCATCATCATCATCATCATCATCATCATCATCAGCAGCATCATCATCATCATCATCAGCATCAGCATCATCAGTATCACCATCATCATCATTATCATCATTATCATCATCAGCAGCATCATCAGCAGGAACAGCATAGTCATGGTGCTCAGCCTCATCCTGAATCGCATCATCGTCATCGCCATCATGATGATGATGATCATCATCAGCAGCAGCATCAACATCAGCATCAGCATCGTCATCAGTATCAGCATGAGCAGCAGCGTCAGCATCAGCACCAGCACCAGCACCAGCATCATCATCAACCTCATCATCAGCATCCCCATCCTCCTCACCATCATCCTCAACATCATTATGATCCCCATTATCCGTATCATCCCCATCATCATCAGCATCATCATCACCCGCATCACACACCATCAGCATGAGTATCATCAGTTTTGTAGCGACCACCATCAACATCGTCAACATAATCAAGAAGCAGCAACAACATCATCATCTCATCTTCATCGTCATCATCTGCCTCATCCGTTTCCCCCTCGTCCTGATGTTTTCATTGCATCAACGTGCCAATCCTCCTCACTCGTCGCCCTCATCCCTCTCTCCTCCCCCTCATGTGTTGCATGTCACATACATCCTCCTGACCATCCTCCTCGTCCCAGACTTCCTCGTCAACATCCCCTCGTCTTCCTCCCCACCCTCCTCCTCCTGCTCCCAGGCGTCCTCTCCTCCCAAATCGCCCTACTATCTCATTCACCCACCTCCGCCTCCGACCCCTCCTCGTGTCCTTCCACGTCGTCGCCGTCCTCGTCGTTCTTCCTGCTCGCTCTTCTCGTCGATGGCGTTATCCTCCTCATCCTCCTCCCCGCGCTGATGGACCGGCACTCACCAACTGGACCGCTCCCACCTGCGATATGCCATGCGCCGCCGTGGTGTAGCAGGAGAACGTGATCGTCTCGCCGTACTCGTCGCGGCGCACACAGAGCGGGCGGAGGCCGAGGCAGAAGAGGCGGAGGTGGACGCGGGGGCGGAGGAGACGGGGCGAGGATGGGGGACGGGGGATGTGTAGATGAGGGGGGATGTGGGGGAGGAAGAGGGGGAGGATGGGGGATGTGTAGAGGATGGGGGCATGTGGGGGAGGAAGAGGGGGAGGATGGGGGATGTGTAGAAGAAGAGGGGGAGGATGGGGGATATGTAGAGGAGGGGGGGGGGGGCAGCAGCTGGAGGAGGAAAGAGGGTCGAAGATCGGGGGTGGATATTCGAGGATCGAGAGTGGGCAATCGCCAGTCCAACCAGTGTGGTGGGAGGGGCGGGAGGAGGAAGGAGGAGGAGGAGAAGAAGGACATGGGTGGCAGGGCAGTGCGAGGAGCGCGGAGGAGCAGCGAGGGGAGGGCGTCAGGCAAAGAGGAAGAGGAGAAGGAGAAGGACGAGAAGAAGGACGAGATGCAGCGGGAGCAGGCGGATACGAGGAGGGTATTCGGATGAGGGGGAAGAGTGCGAGGGGAGAGGAAGAGCAGCATTAGGAGGCGGATGACGATGCGGGAGGAGGGGCGGATGCAAAGGCACAGGCGGGGGCACAGTGGGAGAAGGAATGCTCAGACATCGCTTACTCGCCCTAGCTTGGCGGCCGATCCAGAAAGAGTTCGGTTACACAGCATTGAGAGTGCCATCGTCAAATCTAGAATCATGCGCGGCCCATGTGCCAACGCACAGCACAGCTGGCCATAAGTACACACCTGACACAGGCACTTGCGTGCCAAGCGACGCTGGGCAGGGCAGCTTGGAACCAGGGCGAGTTGAGACATCGGCAGCTCTGAGGATATGTTCCTGGATCCCCTCTGGGCTCCCACGCACTGAGCTGCGTCAAGCCGTGGCGACGAAAGTTTTTTTGGGTGCCCGGACAGAACATCTAGGCGACACAACCCGAAGGGAGGTGCCAAGATGCCTGCATGAATCCCACCCAGCCCTCTGGGCGTAGGTGGTTTAGAGAGTTTCCTCTTCCACCCCCCTTTATTTCCCTTCGGGGAGCGGTTTACCCCTCCCCTCAACCCCCTCCCCTGGACATGGACGAGGGGGCGGCGAGGTGTCAGGGCGTCCCAAACGGCCTCGACGAGGAAGCCAACATCATTGGTTGTACCAAGGTTTTGGCCTAATGGTGGCCTCTTGGGGGGGATAGCGAATTGCGACCATCCTCTTCTTCGATCTATGTCCTCCAAGATGGCCCCAAAAAGCGCCCAGGAGGCCCCAAGAGGCCCCAAAATGACCCCAAGAGGACCCCCAAGAGGCCCCCAGGAGGCCATCAAGAAGACCCCAAGCGGCCCCCAGAGGCCCCCCCGAGGCACCCAAGACGCCCAATTGCCCCCCAGGACCGCCAAAACACCTCCAAGACGTCCCAAGAGTCCACCAAAAAGCGCCCAAAACATATCCCACGAGGCTCCGAGAGGCATCCAAGAGACCTCTGGCCCTTTTGCTCGCCCTCCCCCTCCTCCTCCTCCTCCTCCTCCTCCTCCTCCTCCTCCTCCTCCTCCTCCTGCGTCCCCCTCTCTGCTCCCGCACTTCCCTGATCACCTCAACTCGCCTGGACTTCGTGTCTGGAAGGTGGGGCATTTTTTAGTCAGCGGCCGCGGGCGAACGCGCCGGCGGCGAGTCAGGTCAAAACGGGCTACGCAAAGACTAATGAAACAGAAGAAACGCGGGATAAATAGAGCAAAGCAACGCGCGAGGCGACAGCTAAGCGCCGGCCGAGGCCTCAGATGGGTGGCTGAATAGACTGAGACTGAAGGGAACTGCCAGCGCGCAAAGCTGCAAGTGCGTCGGATGCGCCATACGTCGGAAAATCAACGACGGCCAGGGACAACTCCGATAGAGAGAGAAAACGCGAAACCGTACCTCAGACGACTGCGTGGGCACCAGGGTGGCCGTGGCCAAAGAACTGTCGGTCGAGGTAGGAAGGACAAATGCAAAGGCGATGCCCCGGACGTCGGCGAAGCGCGAGAACCAGGGTGGTCCAAAGGACCGTCGGCCAAGGAATTGTCGCCAGGAGGCGAGAGCGCTGGCAGGCTGCAACTCCTAGGGTGGCGGAAGCCGAGTGACCCCTAAGCAGCAATATGCACGAGTGCGGGGAAGCGGCATAACCGCGACGCGGCCAAAATGGCGCGGGTCACCACGTACCTGTGCGAGAGAGGGTGTCAGATTGACCCAACACGGGCCCGACCGGGCACAACGCACAGGGCTGACACACACAGTGATTACGAGCGGACGAGTACCTCGGGTGAGCGGAAGCCGAACGAGGACCATCCGCACGCTCAGAATGCTGGACAAGACGATGCCGGGACGGCCGCTAGCCCAGGATGAGGAACCGCGATTTTGGAAGGTGGGGATACGCGAATCGTCTAGAATGAACCTGCAGTCCGACCTCGCAACATGAATGGCAGCACAGACACACCCCAGGCGCCCCCCTGCCGAAGACCAACTGCAGTTGTTGCAACTGGCCCTCATCTGAGAAGACGACGACGACCACCACCACCACATGTGATAGGCATGAGGGAGGGTACCGACGATCAAATGAGGGCAACGATAGGGGAGGACTGGCATAACCTGGAATCGGCGATACATCGCCGATAGATCGGCGATATGCCCCCTGTAGTGAATCCGCACCTTCCTGCGCAGGTTGGGACTATCGGGCCCTATCGGCGATCAATGGGCGATTGGGGGTCGATGCATCCCCCCTATGTCTGTCCCCCCCGATCGTTGCCCCCGATCAAGCTAGAAGCCATCAGCCGGTGGGCCGAAGCCAGGCGAACCTAGAGTCTGAGCCAGCGGCGGCGCCGCGCTGAGAGCCAGCAGACTGGTGAGCGGAGGCCTCGAGGGGCCAGGCTGTAACAGTAGGTCGGGCATGTCCTCCTACAGGCGGATCTTGGAGGGAAAATATAAAACAGCCAAACATATTCAAACCATTTTGACACGTAGTAGAACAATCGTCCCCAGACCTATTTGTGTTGCTCTTTTGGAATATTCCTCCTGTAGAGGGACATGCCCGACCTAACTGTAGCACGCGACGACAAAGCAGGCCAAAGCAAAGCGTGGCGGAAGAGAAGGCAGTCCTCGTTGTGCACCTCCACATAATTCGTCCCCTCGCGTCTGCTTGCAACAGATAAGGAACAAGCAACACAAGCGTGACTGCCCCATCCTCGACTTCTCCTGCTCCTACGCTGGAAAACAAACAACATTGATCCACAATGTCAGAGACCCGCGTGGCTTTCTTGGGTTGGTGCTGGACCACCCTTCCCAGGCGCGCAGGGCGTGCCAGGGGCGGCTCCGGAGGGGCCGCCAAGGGGGCCTGGCGCAGATACAACAACTCCGCGCAGAGCTTCGATCGATTCTGTTCACACGCTGGTCGGAAGAAATTGGCCGCCCAAAGAATAGCAAACAACCGCCAACACAGATCGATTCTTAAAATAGGCAGCCGCTTGAAATCGATTAGGTTTGGAAGTTCCAGACCGACTTACTTGCAACGACCGACAGCTCTGCCGTTTCTCGTGTTCGATCTGCGCACTTCTACCGCTCGGCGTCCGAGGGGTGACCGTGCGCGGCCGGGAGGCCTCCAGGAAGCAGGACATCTGGCCTGTCTATGATCCTCGGAGCCCTCCGATGCGACACAGACCGTGCAGTGAGGACCGAAACAAGCTGCATGCTCGGTGGAGGTGAACGGGTCTTACGCGAGATGGCACCGCGACCTGACGCAGCGGCTTACGCAGGTCGCCAGCGCGGCACGCTACATTGGAGACGAGGGCGCTTATGCGCGACTTTACGCGAGCAGCTTAGGCGCGAACGTCGGCGAAGACGGCCCAGATTTTTTGGCGTCGCTCACACTCGGCAAGCACACGTCCTGAAGATCATCGAGCATGGGAATCGCTCACCGGACGGGCCCTGGAAGAATTGCGCGACGCGTCGCGCAAAGTGGCAATCGGCGTCCTGAGGGCGAACTGCCATCTGAAGTCGACCGAGGGCCATCCACCGCTCGCGAAGCGCGGCGGGTGTGCGTCGTGCCCTCAGGGGGATCAGTACTGCTCAATCCCTCTCTTGGCCCTGTTTTCGCACTCGTGGAGCATGCCAAACCAGTTCAAGCATTCGGCTTAGGCGAGCAGCAATCACCCTGGGTTCAAACTCTGGGGTCCGCCCAATGCCCCAGAGTGGTGGATGGGGTGAGCGGATCTCAAAATCTGTTCATCGTCTGAGCCAAGGTGCTACGGAAGAATCGTTCAGGCGAAAAGACCCCTTGGGACTGTCCCCTTGAGCATAATCCGTTACAAGTGGAGTGTCAAATGGTCCTGGGGAGTCCTCTGTATTGAATGCCCATCGGTCGGAAGAACTGGGACAAACATCAAATAGGAAGGCGAACAAAATAGGTTGGGATCAGGCCCTCCCAGATAAGAACAAAACACGGCAACATAATGAATATTGTTGAAGTAGGAAGGCGCTAGAAATCGATTGGGGATCTGGGGATCCAGAAAGGCATACTCTCAACGACCAACCTGTATTGGGGACGTTAGCGCAACTACTCTTTGAAGAGGCCCACAGCCCCCCCCCCGTGGCTTGGGATATCCGCAGAAATGTTAGGCGATGCCGCAAATAGGGCGGATTTGAAGTCCGCCCTGCTTGTCAACCTCCGCTTAATGCCTTCTGCCCTAACTTCGCCGTCGCTGCTTCCGCCATGACCTTTACGGAGAAGCCCGCCCTTCTCCTTCTGAGACGGGAGTGTCAGTTCTACCTGTTGACATCGGCGGGGGTGCATGTCCGACACCAGAGTCATCAGAATATCACTAGGACGGAGCCAGGACGAAGATAACATCGGGTGAGGATGAATCGGGAATCTCTGAGATCCTGCGGCTCTGGAGGATATATCGGGCGCCGCGGCCTTCTCAGAGCGTTCCGGAACGCCCTGAGAGCGTTCCGGAACGCTCTGGAACGGATTTGTCCTCGACCGGGCCCCGCCGGAACCAGCCAAAGTACGGCAGGTCCGAAGTCAGGGCCGAGTTCCGGCGCTCCTGGACTGCTTCGCGTCGCCCTTCGGGCTTCCAAGCAACTCTGGGCCTCCCACAAGCAGTCCCCGAGACAGCCCGAGGGCGCTCCAAGACGCCAAAGACGGCATACATATGGTCCAAGAGGCCCCCAATACGCACCAGGAGGCTCCAAGAGACCCCCCAAAGAGGGCCCAGATAGACGAAAAGCATGGATGACCCAATCGTCTTAGGACGGTTCTGAAGTTCTCGCCGTTTCTGGTTTCCGACGCTCTAAGACGGGCCCAAGAGAAATCCAAGATCACCCCAAGACGGCCTGCGGGGCCCAATGCGTCCCAAGAAAGTCCCAACAGAAGGCCATGAAGAGGAACACGCACTGACATTTTAGGCCCTCGGCCCAAAGGTAACCACCAAGACCGCCAGCAGGCCACCAAGAAGCCCCAAAGGGCCCCACGAGGCATCCATGAAACCCTACTTATGACTGCATGCAAGGTGCTTTCGAAAGGCCTCCAAAGAGATCCCACATACACGTCGGTCGGAAGCAGTAGGTAGAAACATGACAAAGGAAGGCGGATAAAGTAGATTGGGTCCAGGTCCTCCCCAAGAATAACAAAACACAGCAAAAGCATGTCGATTCTTGAATTGGGAAGGCGCTTCAAGTAGATTGGGATCTGGGAATCCACAAATACCGGCGTGTAGGCGTCCAAGAAGCCTCAGACCTGCATCCCAGGAGCCGAGTCGGGATCGGCCTTAGGCCGCTATAGATCCGCAGCCCCCTGCGGATTCGTCACGGGAGTGCCCCGCGTGCTCCATGTCATGGTCTTCCGATCCCCGTCGTTAGATGCTCGTTTCGGGGACCTCCCTGGGGCCCACCTAAAGGATCTGTTCGACTCAAGCTCGACCCCAGTTCGACTCAAGTTCGACCCAAGTTCGACTCAGGTTCGACCCCAGTTCGACTCAAGTTCGACTCAAGTTCGAGACAAGGTCGACTCAGGTTCGACTCAGGTTCGACTCGAGGACGGCTCATAGCGCCAGCCACCCAAAGGTCGCAGAGGCCGCCGAAAAAATTGCCCAATCGCTTCCAAGACGGCCAAGATGGCCTCCGATTTTGCCCAAGATGGTCCAAGATGGCTTCCAAAACGGCCCAAGAAGGTCCAAGATGCCTCCGAGCCCAACCAAGAACCGACAAGACGACCTGAGATGGGCCCAAAATGACCGAAGATGGCGCAAGAGGCCCCCAAGAGGCCTCCGAGACGGCCTCCAAGAGGGCCCGCAAAATCAATGATTTCCCTCAAATGGTTTGAAGATTTTGGCATGTGTTTCTTCTCGGCCTTCCGACGGCCGAGACGGCCCATGAGTCCCCCAAGATCGCCTCCAGATCGCCCAAGAGGCATCCAAAATGGGCTCCAGAACGGCCCAAGAGGCACCCAATACGGCATCAAGGGGGCACCAAGCCCGCCCAGGAGGCTTCCAAGACCCAAGATGGCCTCCAAGACGACCCTGGAGCACCCCAAGAAGGCCGCGAGTCGGTACAGAGAGGCCCCAAGATGGTTTCCGACGGCGTCAGATGGGCCAGGAACGCCCTGAGACGGTCAAAGAGGTCCTAGGAGGCCCCCAAGATGCCTCCAAGAGGCCCCCATAAACCTCCTAGGAGGCGCCAAGAGTGCCCCAACAGACTCCCAAGATGCCCACTCCTCCTCTTCCTCCCGATTTCCCCCGCCATCCTCCACCAAGGGTTTTCACAACGGCTGGGGGAATACATGGTCCGACAGCCTGGCAGAGCTCTGGCCACAACGTTCGGCCACATGGGCGATTCCAAAAGCCAGGGAGCGGCGGCGATTCGCCGTAGGAGTCTTCGATCAGCCGCTGCCTGTTGATAGGTCAAAGAGGTGCCTGGGTTGCGTCCGAATAGCCCCCATCTGGGGAGTGTCCCCGAGCTTCCCTCCTTTCCTGAGCGGCTTCATTTCTCGTCGCGGAGTCGGGGGCTGGGGGCGACGAATCGCCTGCGAAAGGAGGGGAGCAGCACGACGAGGGAGGCTCGAGGACGCGCGGGAGCGGCGAAGCACGCCCGGCCGGAGCGGAACGGAAAGGGGGGAGTTCGGTGGCAACTCATGGGGGCCTCCCATACCATCTTGCTGGCTCGTGCGAATCGACGCTAAATCGACGCTGCTCGACAGGTCCGCCCGCACATCCGCCACCGCGCTTCTGCAGCGCCAGGCGTGCGTGTGTCTGGCCCCCATCGCCTCCTGCGGAGCAGCAACATGTAGTTTGGCGTGTAATCATCTGCCCTTCGTCGTTGTCCTCGTCGTCCTCCTCCTCCTCCTCCTCCTCCTCCTCCTCGTTGCGTCCTCTCGGCGCGCATTTAGCGAGTCCAGGCCGGTTGGAAAAGCAATTGGCGCATGCTCGCTTGCTGCTGCGCGCAGTTGGCGTGCCGCCCTTCTGTCCTTTGCCCACGCGCATTTGGGCGTATGGCTGCTTCGTTCCACGCATCGAGCCCACGACGCGCTCTGTGACCACACCCCGACCTGTTTGGCCTCCAAGGCAGAAAATGTGCCCCCAAATACGGGGTTAGAGGAGGATGACAACCTGGGAGAGGAGGAGGAGGAGGCGGAGGAGGAGGAGGAGGAGGAGGGAGGAGGAGGAGGAGGAGGAGGAGAAGGAGGAGGAGGAGGAGGGGAAGGGGGAGGGGGAGGGGGAGGAGGAGGAGGAGGGGAGGGGGGGGGGACCTTCAGTGGACCCCCCCCCCCCCCCCGCGTCCGCCCACCCCCCGCCCCTCCCACCCGGGCGCCCGCCCGAGCGCAGTGGTGGGGACCGCGCGGCAGCGCCACTGGATCTCGCCATCGCTCGGACGTCCATTCCCTTTGCCTTTTTTTCCCCACATCCTGAGTGGGGTTCTTGATTTCCCAGAACACCCTCTCCTTCTCCTCCTCCTCCCGCGTCCTTCTCCTAAACCATACCATACCAAGCCATACCATACCAATACCTTACTATACCAATACCATACCAAGCCATACCAAGCCATACCATACCATACCATACCATACCATACCAATACCATACCATACCATACCATACCAAACCAATAACATCCCAAGCCATACCAAGCCATACCATACCAATACCATACCATACCAATACCCCTCCCACCCCTCCCACCCCTCCAGGGAGGCCCCGCCTGAGCGAGGAGGGTATTCGCATCACCTGTTATTTCTCAGGTTTCGTGCCCCTCCCACCCCTCCAGGGAGGCCCCGCCTGAGCGAGGAGGGTATTCGCATCACCTGTTATTTCTCAGGTTTCGTGCCCCTCCCACCCCTCCAGGGAGGCCCCGCCTGAGCGAGGAGGGTATTCGGAATCACCATGTTATTTATCAGGTTTCGTGCCCCTCCCACCCCTCCAGGGAGGCCCCGCCTGAGCGAGGAGGGTATCGGAATACCATACTATTTACATGGTTTCGTGCCCCTCCCACCCCTCCAGGGAGGCCCCGCCTGAGCGAGGAGGGTATCGGAATACCATACTATTTACATGGTTTCGTGCCCCTCCCACCCCTCCAGGGAGGCCCCGCCTGAGCGAGGAGGGTATCGGAATACCATACTATTTACATGGTTTCGTGCCCCTCCCACCCCTCCAGGGAGGCCCCGCCTGAGCGAGGAGGGTATTCGAATCACCTGTTATTTATCAGGTTTCGTGCCCCTCCCACCCCTCCAGGGAGGCCCCGCCTGAGCGAGGAGGGTATTCGCATCACCTGTTATTTATCAGGTTTCGTGCCCCTCCCACCCCTCCAGGGAGGCCCCGCCTGAGCGAGGAGGGTATTCGCATCACCTGTTATTTATCAGGTTTCGTGCCCCTCCCACCCCTCCAGGGAGGCCCCGCCTGAGCGAGGAGGGTATTCGCATCACCTGTTATTTATCAGGTTTCGTGCCCCTCCCACCCCTCCAGGGAGGCCCGCCTGAGCGAGGAGGGTATTCGCATCACCTGTTATTTATCAGGTTTCGTGCCCTTCCCACCCCATCCAGGGAGGCCCCGCCTGAGCGAGGAGGGTATTCGCATCACCTGTTATTTCTCAGGTTTCGTGCCCCTCCCACCCCTCCAGGGAGGCCCCGCCTGAGCGAGGACGCTATTCGAACACAGTGTTATTTATCAGATTTCCTGCCCCTCCCACCCTCCAGGGAGGCCCCGTCTGAGCGAGGAGGGTATTCGCGAACAGTGCTATTTATCAGGTTCCGTGCCCGTCCCACCCCTCCAGGGAAGCCCCGCATGAGCGAGGAGGGTATTCGCAAACCATGTGATAGAAAAGGATGGAGAGGGCGAGGGCAGGTCGGCAATTTCTCTACAAAATGTTGCTTGATCCCGCTAGCCCAAAAACATCATTATGTGGGGAACTCCGTTAGCATAATTGGTTTCGTGCGTGCTTTTTTTTCGCCAAATGATCAAGGATGCTCCTCGATGGTCCTCGCCAAAGGAAATATACACATGTCCGAGCGATGCCAAGCCCTCCGAGAAGCCCCCCCAGCAGCCTTGCGGGAGGGTTCTCCGAGGGTTGCGGCTGGGGCTTCGGGAGCCTCGAAAAGGAGACCGTTCCCTGGCGAACCCTAGACCTTCGAACGAGAAGGATGCAAGGGCATGGGAAGGCCATGTCTAAGCAGCCTCGAACTTGTCCATATCCCTGAGACTGACACGCCAAAAGGCGATGACAATCTTAGGGATGCACCCTCAGAAACTGACGGAATCCCTAAATATCGCCATCGTGACGAGGCGATGCCCAACACAGGGATAGGGATCGGCTCCAGGCTGGTGTCGACACCGTGCGAGCGGGGCGCGGCCAGCGGAAGCGGCCAAGGCAAGGCAGAAGGGGCAGGATGCAAGGGCAGCCATGGGAAAATCACTCATCCGTACTGTGCGGGTTGACTCTAAACTTTACAGGCCTCCGTCCCGCGCGGGTGCTCAAGGGAGGTGACCTTGAAAAGGGGGGATACCCCCGTTACCACCCGCCCGACCACTCCGAGTTGTTTCCTGATGGTCCCGGGGCCCCGAAGGGGGCCCGGGAAGCCCGAACAGCGCGGCCCGCCCGCTTCCTCCGTGCTGAAGGTCGGCATCGACGTGGGAGGAAGCGAAGCGCCAGCGGCAGAACGACGACCGGGAGGAGCAGCAACACGACGAGGGCGAGGAGAGGGCGAGGAAGGCGCGCGACGGCTGATGGACAACATCCGGCACATTTGATGTTGATGTTTTGTGAGCAGGGACCGACCGTCTCGACATTCCTATAGTCCTACCACGACATGTTCTTAGAACATAAAGCCGATGTGAAACAATAAGACAGACTTCGCCAGAAATGTTCTAAGAAAATTTAGTGGAAACCACAAAAGGTTCTTAGAACATTGTTTGGTAGGCCTATTAGGCTAGCCAGGACGCTTCGCCACTGCTTGAGTTTTGTGAACTCCCAATTGAATCTTGGCGGGGCGAGCCGCGACGTGTCGATCTGTCGACTGGCCGAAGCCCTGCCCCCCGCTGGAGGTGCCAGCCAACATCGAATCGGGGGCGACGGGGCGCGTTGACGCGTGCGTCGGCATCCCGGTCGCACGGGTGGTGTGGGATCTGTCCATCAGCCGGAAGTCTTGCGGGGGCCCGCCTGGGGAAGCGGCTTCTGCTTCGCGACAGCTGGGCTGTTGGGCGGCAGACTGATCGGCCTGCGGCGGGCAGCGGGTGGGGGCAGCGGGGGGGGGGGGGCAGAGCAGACGGGGAAGGGGGAGGCGGGAGGGAGGAGGCCCGGGGGCGTCCAAGCGGGGGGGCGTCCGAGAGGCTGACAGGGGAAGGACTCGGCCAGGCTGAACTCGGCGCAGGCCAGATTCAGCCTGGCCGAGTTCACCCTGCCTGGCCCAAGGCACGTGCGCGGACAGGGGGAGGAGAAGAGAACGTGCTGAAAGAGGAGAGGGGGCCATGAAACACGGGGAGATATCATGGCCCTGGACATGAAACCAATATTGGACTTCGATAGCAACTCATGGGAGCCTCCCACACCGTCTAGTCGGCTCCTGCGAATCAACGCTAATCGACGCTGAATCAGCACTCATCGACGCTAACCGACGCTAAATCGGCGCTATCTCATCGACTTCCAGACGCTAATCAAAGCTAATCGACGCTAAAGACGGAATGAAGAGGGTATACACGGCTCCCATGATTTGCTACCGAGTTCGACTGTGTCGTAAAACCCGCGAGCCAGATGCTGCCTGTCCCCACCACTCTCGCCCACCCCGTGGCGCGAAGAAAGGAAGGCGATGAGCGAAACGGGCCCCTGGGGGGCCCCCCCCAGCGCATGTTGCTCTTATAACAGCGACGTGGGAGTGCTGACAGAAAAAGAAAAACAGGCGCGCGGAGCGCGCCAGGGGCGGCGTTGCAGGCGCCGTCAGGGGGCCCAGCGCAGATCCAAGAAACCCGCGCGGAGCACCAAAAGTTTATGCTTCCGGCGATTTGTCTTGTTCGGTGTCCCACGTCATGGGATGGCCATTCGAGGAGGACCCCCCCCGTGCCCCACAGGAAATAAAGGCGGCCCGCGGGGCCGCCCGCGGGGCCCAGCGCGTTCTTCTTCTTCTTCGAGGTTACAGGGCAGTTTTTAATACATTGGATATTTAAACATAAAAAATGTGTAATGCATGATTAGTCTATGAATACATGTATGCACGAACACATCGTTGTTTTTAGATGAAATCCCTACACTTTTAGTACATGAGCCGCACGCGGAACATGTATTAAAAACGACACTGTAGAAGGGATGCGCCGTGAAAGGGAAGGCCCTGCGGAAGTACCGAGAGCCCGCCACCCAGGCGGGTGGGGACCAAGAAACCCAGACCCCCGACGTCGTGCTTTTTGTCCATAGCGTCGACTCCCAGAAATTTCGGACCCCTCCCTGGGACTGGCCTCTCATTCTGAGTCGGTTTCAAGCGGCCCCGAGGCCCGGCCAGAGCCCCCAGAGTCCGAGAAGAGGGAAAAGCCCTCCCGTCGTGTTTTTTGTCATGACTCGAGGGGGCCAGGGAAACTCGTCGCCACACATGTGATAGAAAAGCTGACGGCTATCACCACGGATGGGCTCGTCGGCCACCCCGTGCGACGCCGACTCCTCGCAGGGCGTGACTTTTTTCCGAGCTCGAGCTTTTGGTCCCGAGCCGTCCTCTGACTCTCCCCCGGCCCCCATAGGACGTTGCCTAATGGGGAGGCGGTGGCTGGGGGGTGAAACGGGTGCACGTGTCGGGTCTGGGCCCGGACGGGCCCCCCTTCGGGGTCCGAAAGGGCACCTTTTCTGCAGCCCTCGCTGCCCCCCCATTCATCTCCCTCCCGCTCGCGAGGCCCAACCTCAAGGTCGGGCGTTGGCAGAACTAGGTTTAGTGGAACCTGGTTTAGTGATTTGTACCGGGGGCGCCCCCCGTCCCAGTTCCACTAACCGGAACTGCCGTCACCCGAAAAACACCAGTTACGGCAAACCCGGTTTAATGAATCTGGCCAATTGAGGAGCCCCAGGGCCCTACCACTAACCGGGTCCTCTTACCCGGGGTCCTGGCTATACCCGACAAGGCCCCAGGAGAGCCCCGGAACCCGAGACCGACCAGGCGCCTCTCCGGGACCTGGCTTCCTCGGGGCCCGTGACCCCCAGACAGGAGGAAGAGGAGGAGGAGGAGGAGGAGGAGGAGGAGGAGGAGGAAGACCCCTTCGCGTGAAGAAAAAAAACACGACGGAAAACGGTTCGCTGTTTGCTGGGCCTCCGAGGTCTTGACAAACCCACGACGGGAAATGGTTCGCCCTGTTCGGCCTCCGGGGGCCCGCACCAGGCCCCCGGGACAGCCAACAAGACGACTCGGGACGAGGAGCCGGCCGCGGGAGAATCGGTCGAGGCCTCTGGGGGTCGACGTGCGATGCAAACATTTGCTTCCGGGGGCCGATTTCGAAATACAAGTTTTGAAGAAATTCGAGATTTCCTGGACATTATCGGAAAGTTGACGATTCGTGTGGGAATGAAGTTTCTCTACAACTGGAGTAGTTTCGGTCTTGTTCGCTCGGGAATTACCAGGTCTCTAGATGCTGCGACTACTCGAAATATTTGTGCAACTCACGCGACGGGGTCTGGGCCCATAGATCCTCCCATACAGTGGAGGCCCGACCATGAGAAACCTTCCACAGGAAACCCAACCCTGGGACTCCAGGACGTCCACCGATTTTTGGTGTGGAGCGCCACGCCTTCCACAGCAAAACCATCGACACCCAAGAAACCCAGGGCACCCTGGAGGCAAGCAGGGTGTTTCTTGGCATGGGACTGATGAGACGTCCAATCCGCGGCACCAGTTGCCCGGCGTCCACGACCCCTTCCTCGGGGGTACGGCAGGTTCGCGTCGTGCAGGCCCAGGCGTGGGTCCCTGAAACAGCGGGTATCGTTCAAACCTGGAACGAGCGGCCGCACCCGAAACGTCAGATCTTTCAACATCGACCGATTCTGGGTCGTTGGGGGCGTCCAACGTTGAACGCCACCGGCGGGGCCGCCGTCGGTTCACGACACGAACCTACCGTGAGCACCGTGAGCGTCCCAGGTTCAGTCTTGATGGCTCTGGGGCCCGATAACGAGCCCCCGAAGCCGAAATCTGGGAAAAGCATGTCGCCGAAGATCTAAGAACCCGTCGGTAGAGCAGAGACCAGCCGTCCCAACATTCCTGCAGGTATACCACAAAAATGCCCTCAAAACAGAATAATGTTCAGAGCACGAAGCGGATTAATGAAAATTACCCCAGTGCGACCCTACCTAGATGTTGGAGCCCCTAGGAAAGCAGCATTAGTTGCTATGCTATGCTATGCTATGCTATGCTATGCCATGCTATGCTGCGCTAGGCTATGCTATGCTATGCCATTACATGCTGCGCTATGCTATGCTAAGCTATGCTATGTCATGCTGCGCTGTGCTATGCTACGCTATGCTATGATATGCTATGTTAAGTTGCGCTATGATATGCTATGCTATGTCATGCCATGCCATGCTATGCTATGCTATGCTATGCGCCGCTATGTTATGCTATGCTATGCTATGATTGGCTATGTTATGCAATGCTATGCTATGCTAATGCAGCGCTGCGCTATGCTAAGCTAAGCTAAGCTAAGCTTAGCATCGAGACTACCTCGGCATCTGTCGCACATTGCTCTTGCTGTGCCTTTCCTTTGCTTTGCTTTGCGTTTGCTTTGCTTTGCTGTGCGTTGCTTGTGCGTTGCTTTGCTGGCGCTGCTGTTGCTTTGCCTTTGCTGTGCTGCTGTGCTATGCGATGCTCTGCTCTGCTATGCTATGCTGCGCTGTGCTATGCTGTGCTATGCTGGGTTGTGCTATGATATGCTGTGCTGCGCTATGCCATGCTACGCTATGCTATGCTGTGCTCTGCTATGCTAAAGCTCGGCGAAGCTAAGATGAAGGTAAGCTAAACTAAGATAAACCTGAGCTAAGATGAAGCTAAGCTAAGCTAAGATGAAATAAGCTAACATAGATGAGATAAGCAACGCTAAGCTAAAGGGACGCAACCGGGGGAACCGCGGGGCGGATACTGGGGGAACCGCCCGGGGAGGGTAGCACTGCCCGGCCCTTTAAGCACAGAGGGTAAGAACCCTTCTAGGCAGAGCCTAGGTAGGGAACAAGCCTGCCTCAGCCAAGCAAAAGCTAAGAACATGATTACACCAGAAACAACATCCAATCAGTGGATGGCTTCGAGATTAGTGATATGGACATTGATCTCGATTGTAGGATGCATAGTGAGATCGAAAGTGGGATCGGTGGTGAGGACGATAGTAAGGTAGATCGTGAGGCCGATAGCTAAGTCTATTCAGCGAGATCGATAGTGATATCGATCGTGAGATCCCTCGTGCGATCTATAGCTAGATCAATTGAGGAATCGATAATCAGATCGATTGTGAGATCGACTGAGATCGATAGAGAGGTGGGTAATGAGATCGAGGGCGAGTCCGATCGACAAAACGATCCACCAGGAACCCGGGAACCAAAAAAACCTGGGAACCCTGCCGCCCAGCGAAATCGGCCTGGACCCCGGAACCAAGAAGCCGGGAACCTGGAACCGGGAACCGGGGAACCTTGAAGGGGCCCTGGGACACACAAATAAATACACACAAATAAAAATGTCCCTCATATTTTCCCATATTTTCTGAGTTTTTGTCTTCCCCCCCACTTCCCATATTTTCCCATGTTTTCTGGGGAATGGACGATTAATTGTGTCTGTGTGTTTTTTCCCCTCCTGAAACCTGGCGGCCCACCGAAATCGGCCGCCAGCCTTCGCCAAGTTCTGCAAGATCCGCTCAGTCCCCTCAGAGTGCAAGCGCTGACTGGGGAATGGCGGGCAAAGCACACAAAGTTCTCAATACATTCCGTGGTGGGCTATCGGCACTCAGGACGCTTCGCCACTGCTCGAGGGAACTCGATTCTTGCAAGATTGCTAATGCCCGTGACCAGCCCCGCCAACCACCCCCAGCTTCCCCCCTGCTCACGGCACGACCCGCGCTGGCGCCCGTCTGGGACTGAACCATCCCTAGGCATTCCCCAAAAAGGAGCCTGGGGCGAATCGCGACGTGACTGGCTCGGGGATCTTCTGACCCGGGTTAATCCAGACCGGGGTCAGTAGGAAACCAAAAACTGCAATGCAGGAAAAAAAACTGCACCGCAGGTCTTCGCAGACCCGGGTCAGCCAATACGCGCGGCCGCCTCGCGGCTCCCTAACCCGGGTCAGCCAGAGGGGGTCTTCGCAGGATCCTGCAGGATCTGGCGCCCTGGCTGGCCCCCGTTTGC